CGCCCCAGGAATGCACATGTCTCTGCAATATAAGAATGACGCAGTACAAGAATGCGATGCACAAGAGAGTAACTTGCGGAGTGCTAAATGAATGGGACTCAGCAAGATCCTCTTTTGCGTATCTTCAGGTAGAAAAAGGGACAGAAAGTGGAACCCGGATTTTATGGGTCAGCACTGAGGCATCCAGTATTTTTTTCCCCCTTTAATGTCCATATTTCAAATGATGGGCATGTACTGTATCACTATGTGAAAAAATAACATCGTACAGTTTTAATGAGGTTTCGAATTCTAACTTCTACCAATCTAACAGAGTATAGTATTCACACATAGGCTGAAGAGGATTCATTACAAATCCAGTCCTTTTACTGATCACGAGGCTCATAAAATTTTTCACAAATCTGTGGTTAATATATGTTTACTTAAATGAAGAGAGTGCATGAGTTTAATCAAGATAATTCAAACGGTAATAAATAGCTTGTGTGTTTCTTTAGCACTGGGGCAATCTCTTACGAAACAGCAGCTCATTTTATTCCAACGGCAAAGGTTGCATTTCAGACCTGTATAGTTCAATCCCAGACAGGGCGAAACCTTGGGCAAGTTTCCTTACTCCACACAGAGCCTAATAATAATCCCTCCAAAATCAAAAACAATAATAAATTGGTCATTTTCAATCTACGACTGTTTGTGGGACATTGCTGTGCGCAATTGGCTGCCACGTTCGCCCACAAATATACAGTCAATTCACTTTACAGTGTCTTCTGTGAAGCGCTTTGGGACGTCCTCCCGACGTGAAAAGCGCTATATCAAATGCAAGGATTATTATTATTATTATTATTATTGGATGGCAAAAGAGAAGCATTTCAAGGATCCACAAGAACCTGTAATGCTTACTTTGATCATTAAATTCTACAATTTCATCTCCATCAAGAACATTTCAGCACTGTTCATTTAAACCTTTATTCATTCCAAGCTGAAGAGAGGTATTACCTTCCTATTTTTTTCTGACACAGGATTAATAACTATCAAATTGATCACATTTGGAATAGAATGGTTTGCTGTGCACATTTTCTTATGGAAAGAGTTGCACCGCAGAATATAAGTTTATGCAAAAATCACTTAACTACTGGCTTGATGAGAATATTTCAATAACTAATGTAACACCAATATTTTGCTATCAGTGTTGTGGAGACAAGAGAGACATTAAAGAGGGACAGATAATAATTACAATCCTTGCATTTGAGTTAGCGCCTTATCATGTCTTCAAGATGTCTCAAAGTGCTTCATAGTAAAGTGAATTTACTGTATATTTTGTGTCCCACAAACAGTCGTAAATTGAACGACCAAACTATTATTTTAAGGAATTATTACCCCCGGAAAAGCGATCGCCAATCGACTAACAACCGGGTTCCTACTTACTGTGGAGTAAGGCATGTGGAGTTAGGAAACTTGCCTAACATTTTGGCCGTCCCAGGAATTGAATCGAGGACCTCTCGCTGGTAAGAATGAGATAATCATTCTTCCATGGTTGAAAAATGGCAATTAAGTAAGAGGCTCATTAAAACGAAGATGCCAATCTAGAACCAAATTACTGCGTAAGAGTTCTCATATTCCACCTTATCTAAAGCAAGCGAGACCCACATGTACCAACAAAGAAAACTAACTTAATAACTTCAAGCCTACAGTAACAGGAGGCCATTGATGCATAGGGTCCATAACCTGTTTGACCACCACTAATGGAGGAAAAATATCCGTAGAGGGCTTCACAACGATTGTCTCTGTGAGTGCAAAAAATACAAAAAGGTGAATCCACCCAGACCACATTATTGTTCCTATACAGGACCTATTTCAGACAATTCTAGTTTCTTTCTTGCACTGAACCGTGAGCCACTATGAGTTTCAAAGTCCTTACTTGAACCCACAACCATCGAACCTACAGGCCAGAATGCTCCCAACTCAGCTAGACATTGTAAATAAGCACAAGTAATATTTAAAATCAAAGACTGGGCAAATACATATGTGTGGGTATAATATTGTGTAGGTGGTATACATAGAAATCTCAATCTGCTTTAAGCATGGTGGTAGACTTCAGCATGAATTAAACACCCAGCTGACCAAAAAAAAAAGATTAAGTGGCACAACAGTGATAGAAAGTTCCCTTCGGTGATGCTGCAATGCAGGTATTAATGAAGGTCAAAATGAACAAGAGTCATTCGAGGATTGCTGCCAGAAAAAAAGGCTAGGGAAGAAGTAACTGAATGAATCAATTCAGTGCAGACAGGGATAAAAAGCTGGCAAAAAGGTACTGAAGGTAATTTTTTTTAAAATATATTTTTCAAGTATGTTCTGTGTGTGAAGCAACTGTTTTGAAAAAAACGAGCACTGAAATGCTGTTTGTAATCAACTATTTGAAAGCCAGTAACCATCTATATGCTCTGATGTGCAAACATAAATTAAATGTACTTGAAAAGGTTATTCCGAAGCTCAATAACGCCTGTCCTTGATTGTATGCATGTGAAATTGGCAATGATGAAAATAAATGCCCAGAGTTGTTTGGATGGGAGAGGGGGGGAAGGAAATGAATAAAATTATAATTAAGGTTTCTGACCTTCTCAGAAAACTAATTATGACATCCAAGTTTGGTGTTCAGACGAGTTAATCTATCAATATGCAATGTACTCCCAAAGGACACCAATTTCTGTAGTTCAGAGTGCTTATCTATTTCATTCCTTAAAGTCTAATTCCAAAATATTCCCACTCTCATTTGTTCTCTTTAAAATCTAATATCAGATCGAAAGATTATCTGCCTCAAATGACTGACTTAAGTGTAAACAACTAGTGTAGAAGTTAATGATGCTTTAACCCATTATAATTCGCTTGGCTGCACTTTTCATGGCAATATTAATCCGAACAAAATCGTGGCTAAGAACTCTCAGAAACCCTTTGAAGATCATCTCTATTTTATTAATTTTGAGAACAATTGTGATAAGATTGTATTTGAATCAATGTCAAATAAAACCGTTCAAATCCTAGATTTAATTGTACGCGCAATTTTGAAGACATTTTAAAACTTTCATGCAAGAAGTACAAAAAGATCAATTCAAGAAATTTTCTTTTTTTTAACTGAAATTTGGAAATATTCCTTGCGAATCGTTTCCTTGCACCACTTTCCCTTCCACTGACGAGCCATCCGAAAACTAAAGTGCACTCACTAAAATAACAGAAAAACCTTCCATTTTCTGTGGTGCTAACCTACCTGGTTACTGGTTACCCGATGAGGCTTCACAGCAAGAAATAGTCTTAAGATACTCACATTTAGCTTTTCAAACACTGATGGCAACATGCAGACGATTCCATGTTTTAACTCTGCATTCAATCTGATGCACACACACACACACACACACCCCCGTCCTTTCACAGGCTGCTGTTTTCTGTGGAATCTCACTGGGTCTTCACATCCCAGCCTCTCAGAGCCCTCTTAAATGCGCTGCTTTTATTTTTACTGACCTGTGATGTTTGTCTCGTGGATTGGGAATGTTCCAAATTCTCAGGAACACACGAGGAGCTCGGTTGAGAAAGTGGAGTCGTGCTCATCGGTACGTAACGAGTCCCTTTCTGCAGCCTGGGGGGAAAAAAATCTTTTCACGCCATCGTCATAGAGGAGGTGCAACCTGCCAATGAGAAAGGGAAGGAGGCAGCACTGCCAAGGTCAAGCCTGACGAGGAGACACTGCAACCCTCTGGTAACACCATTCAGAGTAAAAAAAATAACCTTTAAAACACTGTGGGCCATCGTCTCCTCCTCTACCCTTCCATCGGTTTGTTCCAGCCAATTCATGTCAGATCATTTATGTTCCTTCCTTCTAATAATTCCTCCCTCAGCCCCCCCCCCCCAGGTTCTCTCCAGCCAATTTGTGTGGATAGCTGGTGAATTTAGGCAATGGCATTACACCAATTGGTTGGTATATTTCATCTTGGTTTGAGTTTGCCAAAACGTATTCTTTCTCCAGAAAGGGAACTATTGCATCCAAGATTTTAAATGATCACACGTGTAATCAACTGAAATGTAATTCAAGAACACATGAACGGCATAAATGATCTGCAGCCTATTTATCTGCTCGAAATGTAGCCTTCACACATGATCCTCGTTCACACAATGCCTTTACTTCTCCAAGTACAGTGTCAGTGTCTGACTGATCTGTGCTTGTGCTGTTACCTGGCTCCCTCTTGTGATAAAAGCAGTTCAGTTTATTTTATAGTGTAAATGTGAGGCAGTCAACTCAATCACGAGAACAGAAATATTAATATTAAACTCACCTGGATTAACACAAGCAGTGTCTCATTAAATACCTGTCGTTTCTAATATCCTTTTCTTAAAACCTATCCCCACGTCCATAACATATATGCCAATGAAAACATCTACTCAAATCTTAATTTTGCAAACAATCCTGGAAGGAAAGAAAATGATTTTTTGCAGGATCCATGACTTGAGATGACAGGGAAATAACTTGCTTCCTGTCGGCCTCCATAACCAGATAGTCTAATAATTGCCTGGGGTGATTTTCACTCACTCCTTTTGTGGAAGCATTGGGTTTAATTTATTTTGCCTCCAATTTTCAGAGCAAATTATGATGATTTTCAATTACGTGCACGAGTGCAAAATTCACACACGTTTAACGTGATTTCGATGCGACTAATTTGCTGGAAGAACATGGTTTCGCAGGAAGCAAAGCAACCCCATTCCAGCAAATTAAAAAAATATATATTTTTTTGCCATCAAAAAATATCACATTTTGTATTTGGTCAATTAACACCAAAATTCTAACTGTTGGAAAACTAATTCTTAAAAGAAAACCCAGAAGGTTAAAGAACCGCTGTTTGAAAGAAAGTCTTCTTATTTCTCACCTTGCAGGAGAATGTCTCGCACCACATTCCCTTCGTCCTTTTTTAAAAAAATATTGAACACTTAAAAAACACAAGATGAACCAAACTAAAATTGGTGACTCGTTTCAAAACAATCACAGCAAGTGATTTAACTTTTAATGTTTGCTCGAACTAACAGTCATTTTCACATTTCATAGTTCAATACAATCAATTACTGTAAGACTCCTGAGGTGATTGCAGTGGTGTACGTTTTGGTGAACTAGAAGTTGCGAAAGACTACTACATTTGCTTAATATTCATGTTGCAACATTTACATTAATAACTTGCATTTATATAGCACCGTTCACGTCAGATGGCGTCTCGGAGCGCTTATAACAGTGGCGGAGCCAGATGCCGGGTTAAAAAAGTGCTAATGCACGATATGGTCTTTCAATTTTTATTTTTTTAAAAAAAAATCGGCAAATATTCCCTTTTCTACTAGGAGATATCCTGAAGTGAACTGCTAATTAGAACAATATTTTATTCATGAAGATGCATATCCAACTTACATGTTCCTTGCACTCATGTTCCCACCCTTACAATTTTACACTGGCACTCCCTTCAACCAAATTGCAGTAGGCAGATAACAAGTGAAAGTCTTCCCAATGGTTCATAAATATTTCCTAGCAGAATGTTAAAGAATAGCAGTTTTTTAACTGGGGGCAGGCTATCTGTTGGCTCTTTACCAAGGAATGATCAATCAAACAAATAAAATTAAAGATTGAAGTCTGAGACTAAGCCATAGAAACAAACAAGTGTATATCTGTAAACCTGCAATCCTGTTAAAAGAGTTAAATTAAAAAATTCAAGAACATGACTGATGAACACCACCTTCGCAGCACAATAATCTTAAGAAAGTTACCCAGAACACAAGTGATAATCAAGAAAATGCAACTCAGCTGCAAATAAAATGTTCTTACCCACCCACCCATGTCAAGTTTTAGTATATTCATTACAACAAATTATGAATGTGATATTACAACAGATAAATCAAGTTGCTTCAAAAGGTCATTTCAATGTGGGATTTGAAAGGCACCAGACCTAATCACTGAGGGACAAAATATAAATCTTGTTAAATTTCATGATCAATCTCAATTTTATGAATTTCAAGAAAATTAACAGAATGCATCTCTCCAGAGGCAGCTTATGACAGCACAAAGCTTCTAAAGGACTCTCCTTATTTCCAATTCTAATTAAATGCGAGTTTTTCATTACTGGTTGCATAAGCAGGCACAGCAGGAATATTGTTTCGCTCCTGAAGACAATTTACACAACTACAGGGTGTGCACAATGTCCTCTTAACCCGTTACAAAACAGCAATACGAGTCCACGGAGATTAAACAAGCTGTCAGAGATGCATTTCGCCTCATCAGTCTGTCCACGTTACGGAAGATGTCGCATGGCGATGGATGATTATCTGCCATGAAAATGATGGCGCTCACGCTCACTGATCCTCTGGACCTCTAAATACAGTTAACCACTTGTACTGAATACAATGAAGTACTTCTAAATACAAATAATCACCATTTTTCCACATATTTCAGTTGTTGAGTCAGTGCAATGTAGAAAACAAAACATGACTTTGTGGACACCCTGTAGAACTAGGTATGGGATCACCTTCACTAATTAAATCAGCCAGTCCACAGTTGTTTGTATTGGGTTTTCACAGTTGGGTAGCTGTTTGGTGTGGGAAAAGCAGAGAAAAAGTTTGTAATTCATGAAGGCTCTTCAGTTTGCTGTCCTCATGAGGCAGCAGGAAAGAAACTATTTCTGTGGTGGGTACCTACTCTATAGCTTTGAGCTATTTTTCTCCCCATATTATTTAAAAACATGCACAGACACATGGACTCTCATTATTTAAATGTCCTCTTTGCACCCAGAGGGCAGAAAGTGGAAAGCTATTACAGCAGCACGAGCTGGACACCGATCCTACTTAAGTGAATATTTTGCAAACTGGCTACTCCCACTTATGGACACTAATAATTCATTCAAACAGCTATTTTCTAGCTACTATTTCCTGTCCGACAATTTGTTTTGAACAGATTAGATGCGAGAAATGTTTCAAGTTGCATTCCAGTCACCTTTACCATTTATAACGTACACGTTAAGCCTGTACATGCTACACAAAACATGAATTTGATTAACACCATTGGGAAATATTCCATTGCAATTATAAGTATGAATAAATAGATAATTAATACTTGACTGAATAAGCAACGCTAATTAGTGGCAAACAGATTATTCATTATTTAGACCAAGTCCAGCACACACAAAGACTCCCATAAGTTGAACATTGATGGAAAGAAATGATTTTGAAGACATTCAAGCATACATTCTTGCAAGGGAGAGGCAAAGAAAGCAGAAAGCGAGAGAAGAGGGAGAAACCAATTTAATAAGTTTTTGAAGAAAAACATTCCTGGCTATTGAGAAGCTTTGGTGCTCCAAATTCTAGACACACAAGTAGTCATAGGGTATTTCACCACTGAAAGCATTTGCATTCAAGTGATTTAATTTAGTTCACATCGATTATAAACAATTTGAATTAACGAACAAATGAATACCTACATTTAAAAAAAAATGATGAAAAGAGCCTTTAGTCTCATTTATTCTTCACCTATAAATACAGACACGTTTTTAATTGCAAGCCCTGTACAGCCTTCATTTAGGCTTCAAATTGAATTTAAGGTGGGGGAAAGAAATCAAATTTTAGAAAATTTCAAAGCTTGGATACAGAAGACACAGCTGCTATGCCTGTGGCACAATGCAGCCATGCATTAATTTGAATCTTATTGTATAATAAATTAGCATACTTCTGCACCACAGGTATTGAATAGGTCTCATTTGAAGCTCTGGACGGTAAAGAAACTCAGTAATGACAAATCATTGGCAATATTAAAAGTAAAATGCATCTCTCATTCAGGATACTGTTAGTGTAGAAAGTTCTCACAGAAATTCTCTGCAATGCTACTTCTAGCTCATTGAAGACTTGATGAAATGCATTGCTTAGTCCATACTAGTCTGCAGTCTGCAGTGTATGATGCTACAATCTCATCAAATATCTTAATCCCATTCAAATATCTGTATTGAGGTATCCACAGTCTCCCTTAATGCAAGATGCTTGCTGGCTTTGTTCCTGGAAGGGTTGGAACCTTTCTGCAGCATCTTAACTTCATTCACATATCTACAATAAGACCAAGTGTGAAAGTCATTCCGTCCCACTGGCTTCCAACAGTAAAGTCCCAGCAGTTTCAGCAATTGCAACAAATTTACTCCATAATTGTACGGTATAGAGTTGGCTCGACATAGTCTCCACGATATTTAGAATTTAAAACCCGCTGTCGCTTGGTCTCGTGGATAACCTCTTCTTCTGTAAAGATTCCAGTGAAGCGCATATCTGAAGCAACAGACTAAAAAAAAAGCTTTAGTTACTTATTCTGTTCAACACAATACATGATTCATAAAGTTTACATACAAATTATTTGAGCAACAGAAGTGCAGATTCTGGATTATGAACCATGGCATGAATAAACCATGGCACTCTTTTTAAAAAACAAATAAATTGTTTCATTTATCTGAGATTGCAACAGAATAACCAGAACTTATCACTACATATGGTAGAATGTAATCCTTTGAATACTTGGCAAAACCAGTCAACCAATAATTTATGTTTTTGAAGGTAGAATGCAGTATTTTGCATGGAGACCAGACTGGCCTTATTCAGTACAAATAATAAGCTATTTCCTGTACTTAAGTAGACCATCACTTTTTGGCATTAAAAAGAGCCATTTATTACATCTACTTTCTGGGCTAACCTGTTCAGTCCCCTATTAATACTACTCCCAACGAACCAGAATACCAATTTCTATCATGAGCTTCCAAAAGGGCACTTACAGATTGATCATTCACAGAAGTTGATGGGAAAAGGATTCAGGAGGTACTTTTTGCCACTGTAAAAGGGGTATTGCAGGTAGACTACTGATAACACTATCCCTCCAGATCTGAATAGTCCCAAATTCTGATCCAATTCCCCTGGATTCAAATTCAGTCAACATTTGTAAATATCTACCAGAACTACAAATCCCAGGAATATTTAAGCAAAGATTTACTAACCAGACGAGACTTGACTCTTTTGGGCAATTCCTCATCAAAAGTATATACATCCTCCCTCTTCACCATCAATTGAGACCCATCTTCAAACTCCACCTGAGCAAATAAAGCACATCAGGCAAATGTCAGCTGTAGAGGACAGAGACCAGCAGAACATTTGAGTTCAACCCAAAATTTCAGAAGTGTGAGCTTTAAGTACATCAACAAGAAGAAACATGAAAACAATGATGAAATGTCCAACAACGACAGTATTCGGCACGTGATGGCAAAGAACATTAGCACATGTGAAGGACTGTAGACATTTATTACTTTATTGAAAGAAATGGATGAAGTAGCTAAGTATTTGACAAGCTGCAAGTGATAATCCAAAAAGAACAGGTGCCATGTATGAAACAGTGTTCTCTAAAATTACTTTTTAAATAAAAAAAGGAAAATACATTTAAGTACAATAAATGGCACAGAAATTGTAATCAAAGTAGATGAAATATTTGTAAATAAATGGTATAGAAAAAAGTTTACAAATACTGGCGACCAGCTTAAAGCGTATCAACAATGTGAACAACAAGGATTTGGAGAGCACCCTTCATGCAGGGTAGAGTCTTGGAATGCTTGAAGAACTCCTTCCTTACCTGGTAGAGCTGAATGTCATGGGATGCTACAAACTGGGCTCCATACACAAGTCCATCTGTCCATCTGACCTGTACCACTGCTCCCCCCACAGGGGGCCCCAATTGAAGACAGTTCCGACCCTGAAAATTATCAGGAAATACAAGAAATGACTGCACACTATCCTGCTGGGAGGGTCTTCTCTACATCAGCAGCAATAACCCTGGCTGATACTCTGCTCTCTGTACTCTTAGACACTGAGGTCAATTACAGCAGCCAACTAAGATCATTAACTCAGCATAAACTGGATAGCAAATCAAGCTGGATAATGGGAGCTGTTGTTCATCATGGGCAGTTTATTTATCATCTGAATCTTATTTTTCATTCCCTAAAAGTAATTTACTGGCTAGTCCATAGTGAATCTATTAAGGAGCCTTGGCAGGAAACACCAATGCAAAGTGGATCACATATCTGCCAGGGATATACAGAAAATAAACCATTATGGGGATATCACAACATGTAATGTGAATGATGCAAAAATTTATTATGTTCTATGTTGCAATTCTATCATTATTTTTTAATAATTCGGTTAGATTCCAGATAAGAAACCCTGCAGTTATCTACTTCTGCTCAGCCACTGCTACCCATACTTGATAAACATATATTCCTGTTAAAATGAGCCACTTCTAGTTTCCTATTTACTCGCTTTTTTAAAAAACAAAAAGGCTACCGATCCCTTCTGCATTAAAGCTAATCTACCTTCTGAGAAACTGTACTGTAACATGTGAGAAGTATTCAATGAATCAGTTTGTAGATGCAGATTTACAGCAGTGCAGTTTCTAAAATAATTCTGAGCATTACTGCAAACAGCAGCACTGTAATTTGTGAAAGTGTTTTTATAAAATAGTTTTAAAAAATCCCAACCATACAACATACCACAATGTCTTCTGGATACAAGTTATCACTGAAGGATCCATCATCGAAGTTCACCTCATAGAAGGTTTCCTTACTCAATCCCACCACCTCACACTGGTAAAATCGCCCATTCTTGTGTTTGGATATTACTTTCTGTCCAATCACAATAGTAGATTTGCTACGCTGTGGAGAGAATAAACAAATCTTTCATTTGAATTTACTTCTAAGTAAATCTCACTGAATAATTTACAACATTTTGTATTTACATAGCATTTTTCACACAAAATATCAGAGCTTCACGAAGTATAACTGACAAGAAATCAAGATGAATGTTATATAGCAAACAGCCCCAAATTATCCCTTAACCATTAAATGTTTTAGGCAATTTTAATTTAGATGAGGAAGGGAATATAAACAAATGGATTTGAGGATAATTTGGATTAAAAAAAGGATAAACAAGACTCCACGTTGCTTTGAATTAGCAATGTGAATCCGAATCACGAAATAGATGGATCCTAAATCAATAACACAATCAAAAAACTGAAACTTGCACATCATAAAGAATGCTGTGTAGACAAGCCAATATGTACCAGCAACTTCCCATATACAGTGACTGATAGACAAAAAATAAGAGCAAAAATATAATGAAACGCAGAGAGGTGAGGAGCTTGAGTCAGAAGCAGAAGCCAATGCATACGTAGAGTGTTAAGAGATCTAGATCAGAAATTGCTAATATTAATTAATTTAAAAAAACAAATCAAAAGGATTGATTTGCCAGAAGTTGATAAAGTAATTGAATGAGGACCAGGGTCAACAAGACATTTCTAAAATCACCTTAGAAGCCAATCCCACTTCAAAAACACTGAACACATTGTAGGCACTTAACCGTCTTACTACTCTTCACTCCTAATTGCAGGTTTAAGTATGGAAATAAAATCCCCTCCCACCTAGTAATTTTACCACTGTAACTGCAAGTGGAAAGATAGCTATCCAGTTAACCAACAGCCAATTTGTGGTGGCAATGTAAACACTGTTTATTCTACCTCTGCCTGACTAGGAGTCTTGTGCCTGAAACAGGTGATGAAGACCACAAATGGCCAATCATCAGGCTGCATGACCACTCCAGCGGCTTGTGCACAGGTCACGTGAAAAGAAGTCGGGCAACGGCCATGAGAGCATTGCACACAGCAACCCTCGGTTTTCTTCATTCGCTTTTTACAATAAAAGCATTTCTGAAACGGCAAAACATTATATATTGAAAACAAGACCACAGATTTTAGGGTGAGACTGTCTGCTTTGCCTTGCATATAGGTCACAAAGAATACATCCTAGCACAATTATCTGCATTTGTCATAGGCCATTTGACTGTAGAAGGCATCACAGCCAAGCCTCACTCCTCCCCACCCGACTGCCAGACACATACAAACACACACTCACACAGTACAAGCTGCTGAAGAGCGATCAGTAGCAGAGAAGAGCTAGTTTTCTGCCCACCTAGCCCCTTAAATCTTCCGATGCAACCCTATTCGGCAAACTCAGCAGCGTGGGATTCAAACCTCGTGGTCGTAAACTAGCTATATTCACTACTGGAGCTGCCACTAGACAGTAATAATAATCCTTGCATTTAATGTTGCACATTATCACGCCATTAAGTATAAAAGTGCTTCACAGAATAAACCTTAAAATGTAGTGACTGTATATTTTGTGGGTGAAATGCAGCAGACAATTTACCACAAAATCGTGGATTGACTGACCCAATTATTTCTTCATTTTTTTTGGAGGGAAGATTACCCCCCAGAAAGCAATCCGCTAATTGACTAACAACTGGTAACTCATTTTGAAGCAACACAAATTGAAAAATGTACATCTACTTCAGTTGGTTTTCATTCACTGAAGGGCATAAATAGTCCACATACAAGCACTTCCTATCTCGCCTACATTTAATATACATGATTAATTCAAACTGGTGCCTACAGTAAAATAGTGACAGTTATTTTTGCCAATGCTGTAAGAAAACATACCAGTTTCCAGCGTTGTGGCGGGATTGGGCTGACATCCACAGGGCTCCGGTCTGCAGCATTCACAAAACGCACCTCCTGCACTGCAACCGCACACATTACGTGGACCCACCTGCATACGATGAAACATTAAATTGCATTTGGACAATAGAAATGGTTTCATCTTTATTTAAGGTTATTTCATGTTAACATCATCAAAACACATCAAAGCTCTGCACAAGATTTACTATGAAGGGCAGTTAGCGGCTGTGTATTTAGAATATTAAAAAAAAATAATAGGATTGAGAAACATCTTGTGAACAAAAAATACAAAGCAGCTTATCTACATCCTGCTGAATGATTAGTCTGACCTGCTGTCAGTGGTTTTCTGAAGAGCCCCTCCCCGAAGGCTGCAAAGACAGCAATCCTACATGGAGAAAGGAAAATGTCAAAATAGCCTCGCATGCATATTCCAAAAAACATCCACAATACCTCCTCAACAATGGTATTGAACTTGCTAAGCAGTACAATACAGCTATAACAGCCTTGGTGGATCTCAGATTCATTTATAACATGTTTGGGAGCTGGTGAACTGACCCCCACACTACCCTCCCCCACAAAAAATCATTTTCTTATCCAACGCATCTAATCATTAATGTCACTTCACAAGAGACACGGCAGCACATCACGCGCCGAGCAAACCTTAATGTCCCCAGTTAAGACAGCAATGTATTTTGTAACTACTGAAACTAAGCAAGAGTCAAAACAGAAAAAAGAGAGAAAAACAACTTACTTCTGTTAAAGCATTTTCTGAGCACCTAACACACATCCAATCATCTGCCACTTTTTCTGGAGCCACACCATAACAGCCTATAGGGGGAAAAAAAAGGAAATTCAGAGATTCTTCAATACGTGACAATAATTTGAAATCAAACTGCATTTTCGTTTATAAAATCTGCAATAAAATTATTTTGATCTGAAAAATGACCAGGTGGGTGCTCATACGTTAAAACATTTTGTGGACACTGAACACCTGAGCACTTTGCAAAACCTGAGTCAACCTCAGACCAAGGAAACATGCGGAAGACAAATCCCATGGAATCAAATACCAGCAAAAGGTGATCAAGGCCCACGGTTAAAGTCTTGGGTGTCCAGCCAATCACCAAGTCAGAATCAGATTCCAGCACGTGACACCATCTTCAGGAGAGGGAACTTGTTTATATATTAAAAAATGGCATAACCCTAAACCTTGAACAAGAACAATTTGGAGCTTTTCAAGGCTTCAAGCACAATGGGATGGTCAGGCAATCACAAATCCACTAGAAAAGCTCAGGCTCCTCTTCAACATAAGATTCTTATGGTATGTACGCACAAGAACTGAATAGCTCAAGCAACACTTACTTGCATGAACACACACACAGCATTTTGCACACGTTACAAGGGCACTTGTTCCATCTTCTTCAATATAGGAGGTAGCAAGAGACAGATCTGAATTGTCACCGCCTGATGTGAAACACATCTCTGGGACCAAAGGTTTGGTTTTCTTTTCAATTCTGGGTTCCCCTGCACCCACAGGCTTGGTACTGCTGCTGGAATTATGGCCTTCCCAACAATCCACCTTGAATTTATAAGTGGGAAAAGGAGAAACATCATTAGCCACATCAAATTACCAGAGTTTAGAACAGGGTAAACCACCATCAACAACAACCTGCATTGATATAGCGCCCTGCATGCAGGGTATAGCGTCCTGTAGCACCACAAAGATAATGTGTGTGAAACAAAACCAGAACTCACTGGGAACAACTCAGCAGGTCAGGCAGCATCTATGGAGAAAGGGAAGCGAGTCAACACTTCGGGTCCACGACCCTTCGCCAGTTCTGACGAAGGGCCGTGGAACCGAAACGTTGACTCACTTTCCTTATGCTACCTGACCTGCTGAGTATTCCCAGCGACTTCTGTTGTTGTTTCAGTATTTTGTCTAATGTGTATGATGTGCACAGCTGCACACTGCTCGGGACAGGAAACAAGCATCAGTTAATTGTGTATGTGCAAATGTGCCTTGCCACTTTCTGAATAACAATTTTTAACTGAACAGCCTTTTTTAAACAGTGGCTTAAATATCTCAAAAGGCATTACTGTATAATTATCACTGCACATCATAATTGGATTCCTTTAACTGGAATTGGTGATGAAAGAATTGCTGATAATACTAGAACTGTCTCTTAACATACAGTTAACATAAGCTGTAAAAGCAAGAGTTATAATTTAGTTTCAGACACAGGAAAACAACAATAAAATTACATTTGTAAAGCGCCTTTCACGTCAGGACGTCCCAAGGCGCTGGACAGACAGGAGTTATGGATCCGAGCTGGAGGTCGGGGGTCAGGGAAGGCGGGGGAAGCAGGGAGATCGAAAGCAAAGTCGAAGGAGGGTCTTGAAGGAGGCAAGGCGGACAGACTGCGGGATGGAGTTTCAGAGGGTGGGGCAGGGCGGCAGAAGACCCGCTCACCAATGATGGGGTGGGCAAGCCGGGGGAAGTGAAGCAGGCTGGAGCCTGCTTAGCAGAGGGAGCGAGCAGGATGGTAAAAGGTTAGGAGGTCGCAGAGGTAGGGGGGGGAGCAAGACCATGGAAGGCTTTGAAGATGAGGACCAAGATCTTAAACTGCATCCTCTGTGTGATGGGAAGCCAGTGGAGTTTAGCGATGATGGGGTTCATAGGGTCGCAGAGCCTAGTGCGCGAGAGGACACGGGCTGCAGAGTTCTGGATGATCTGCAGCCTATGCAGGGAGGAATTGGGGAGGCTGACAAGCAATGCGTTTGCATAGTCGAGCCTCGAACAACAACAGCAACTTGCATTTACATACTCCCCATCACACAGAAGCTTCTCAGAGTGCTTAAGACAACCGAACAATGTCCTGACCTGGTATGACTGAAAAAGTGCACAAATGGAGCAGTAAGGAGCATGTTGGGCCATAGTGCTGTTGTATTCTCGCTCTGCCAAGAAGTTCTGAGGACGGTTTTGCCATAGATGAGCAAGTGGTTTTGCCCATGGTTCTGATTCCATCAAATCATCTTCCATTGCGAGCAAGTCAGGCATTTCTGTCACAAAAATTCCATTGAGTACAGACAGTTAAAATATGCAACCATTACACGATTATTATTATTAGTAGTGTTAAAGTACAGAGCTCACGTTTGGCCTTTCTGTTGTATGTCACACTTTTTTTTAAAAAAGGCAATAGTAACCAATAAAACAAATGCAAACTCAAAACAGTTTAGTTTATTAATTTTACTTTTCTTTATTCCAAATTTCTGTTGCGTTTTATGCAGCATTTGATCACAACCTATTAAAATGAATTTGGATATTGGAGAGCTCACACTCTTCCTTGAAATAATGTCACGAGAACCTTAATATTAAACTAATCCACGAGAACAGATACGTCCTCAATTTAACATCTGATTTGAACGATAGGATCTTAATATCCCTCAAGTACAGTACTGGAGTGTTAGCCGAGGCTATACACTCAAATCCTGGTGTAGGGCTACAGCCTATGATTCAGAAGCCAGCTAAACCTAATTGCACAGACCAAACGACAGTTGGCTATTCACGAACAATATGCTGATTTTCTATGCTCACCTTTCAGCCCTTTGTACAGTAAATGGTATATTTGATCTGCATGAACAAATGGCTAGTGGGGTGGGGGAGGGAGAAGGATTAGTTACCATCTGTTGCCTACAGCTTAGAGCGTGAAAATGAGATAAAAACAGATCCTGCTTCGACTGACCTGGCTCCTGTACAGGAACTAAACTCTAGTAAAATCCAGCACCTGAAAGGCGGCTCCTACAGTAAAGTCCTTCTCAACAACTAAAAGCTTAGTATAGGAGCATTTACTAACCTTCATCACTAACACAGTCTTTCACCACAGGAATTGGATGGTGCCGCGGTGGTTTATTCAGAGGCTGACGTCTGCTCTTCTTCTTGGCTTTCATCTCTTTCATGTATTGCTCAGCCATCTGTAAAACAAGACAGCAGAACTGCAATAATATCCTCAAAAGAGACCATTTGAGCATTAGAGAAATTCTGGCTGAGAAAATAATTATTTCTCTCAAGCCCACTCAATTGACAAAAATCTATGCATAATCCAATTTAATTTCAAACAATGTAAACAGTGCTTTAGTAATTACTTAAAAAACAAATGCTGGCATTTGATTATTGATCCAAGAACTTCCTATTTGCAAAATATTTGAAACCAGCCTTTGTTCAGAAGACAAAGCATGATGTAAAATTAATAATCACTGCATTTGATATAGTACCACTCACAATAGGAGGGTGTTCACAAAGCACTACAGTGAAGCATGTGCCTACAAAATCTTGCTGCACAAAACATGTCTGAAGTGTCCCAAATGTTTGTAATAAATGAAAAGAGCTAAATGTGTCCATTCTTCTAAAACAATGAATAACTATGCATCATGCTGGGTCTTTTTTCTAAATAGTACAACAAAAAGAAGCGATGTACTTGCTGAGATGCTCATTGCTGTTGCTGCAATAAAACAGCAAGAACCTTGAATTTCTGTAAAAGCACCTTTGCTGTCACTATAGCAGCTGGATCAAACATATGGCACTTTGTACAAACACAACACAGGAATTGCTATTGAACTCCAAAGCCTAAAATGTTCAAGGAATTTGGAGAGTGGCAACAATAAGTAGATATCTGGAGCAGTTAAATCAAGGCAATATTCTGGCATAAACTTTAGTTATAATATGTACAAAACAATTCCACACAATAAAGAACAAGATGGTGAAAAACACAAAGTTGTTAGAAACTTCCAACATGAAATTCTGAGAAAATGAAACTCTTTGGATTTTTGGCAAGCGCTGGTTTTAAACCCCGAGTGTCAAACCAGATCTATTACTAAACTATACAGGAGTAATTGAAACAAATGGGGTTACATGCCAATAAGTTATCATACAAAGCCATTGGCAGTGTGTTTTTCTGAATGAAAGTAGTTACCAAGGATTGCTGGAAACTTTCCTGTTTAAAAACATCCTTACCAAATGGTTATCAGACAAACTGTATGGACCACACCAATTGATTGAGGTCCCTTTTCCAGGTAAGCATCCCATCAAACCAGTTAGATTAACAATTTAGAAAGTAGTGTAATTTGTCCCACATTGCAATATTGCCCACCTACCTCATAAAATATTTTAATATACAATATTTACCCATGCATTTGATATAGCGCCTTGTCACACAGATATCTCAAAGTGTTTCACATGATATACTGTAAAGTGGATTTGATTGTATTTTGTGTATGAAATAGGGCAGCCAATTGCTCACAGCAATGTGCCAGAAGAAGTCATGGAGTGAGTGACCAACTTTATTTGGGGGTATCTGTTGGCCAGAACACGAGGAAAAACTCCCTTCTGTTTCAAATAGTTTCATGGGATCTTTAAAGTCCACCTGAACAGGCAGATGGGATCTCAGTTTAACATCTCACCTGAAGGACGGATGTTTATTGTTTTGCATTGATTTCTATTCTGTAGGAAATAGAATGTAGGAATGCGCTGTGGAACACATAGAAGGAAAATACTTCTGAGCAATATGAAATCATTCAGCGATGTCATACCTCTGCAAGGTCCTGTTCATTGAGACTAGTTCCAATATTCGACTTAATCCCACTACTCCAAACAGGGCTGCTATCTGAATCTTCTGCAGTACTGTCATGGCTAGAACCTTGAGACTCTGAAGTCTCTGAATCAAACGAGCTGGAATCTAATGATTTGGCAAAGAGGCTGGGTTTACTCTGTGAGGGAGTGGCGACAGAGAAGTTCAACACAGTAACTGTCATGTCATCAGAGTTAGACATGGTTGGTTTCAATGTAAGTTTTTCTTCTGATGCCACATTTTCAGGAAGTTTCTCAGGATTTACTTCAACTGGTTCTGTAAGGAATAGATGAACAGAACATACATTAGCAAAACCAAAAATGAAATTTAAGAGTCAATGTTTGTTGATGCTCTTGGAGAAATTCCTCCCGCGTTTAGATTTACTCTACTTATGTAACAACTATAGTGTGTGCATCATTTGGCAAGTTGTTGAATTCAGCCTTCAGCTTTTCCTATAGTCATAACTTTTTTTAAATACGCAAAACTGGATTAAAAATTAAGGCTGCATTTAAGAATTTGTCAAATTCAGGTGCTCTGAAAGGCTACATAAATGGAAGAAATCTACACCCAAATAGAATTTCTTCTTAACTGCCAACAATTAAGGAACTACCAAAGTAGGCAGCAGAGTGAGGAAAACAATACTCATTGTTTAAAAGTCACAGCCATTGTAACAGATTCCAACAACAACGAATTATACTTGTATAGCGCCCTTCATGTCGGAAAGATATCCCAGGGATGGACAATCAGGGGTTTGGGAGTTGGGGTTAGGAGGGCTGGAGGGGCAGTGGGGGTGGATTCCAGAATCCTACCTAGAGAAAGCTGGTTGGTACCAGCAGCTGCCGGATGAGAAAGTTCTTTCTTCTTCAGCTCCAGTTCCTCTTTTGACTCTCCACGTTCACATGAAAGACGATCGCTTTCCTCTTCCAAGCCTACAGCCCTGTCACTTGCCTCCTTTGGCAGCTCCAAACAAACCCGGTGTCTCTTTGTTCCTATTCGGTGTTTTGATGCGCTGTAGACCAAAATAGTATCCCAACATAGTATATGGTCAAGGTCTATAAATTGTGTAAACTGTTACAAATTAAAATTCCTACTAAACATTCCTACTACTAAACAGTACACAGTTAAGAATTTGACAGCTCTAACACACTGCATCTTCAGATGCTGCTGCTCTAATCTGGACATTGCATATTCACCAAAATCAAGTGCACTGTGTGTTTCATATCAAGAAACCAAAATTACAATCTCATTCATCCAGCCCTGTAAGTTATCTTACCTTTTTGTTACAACAGTGTTCATCCGTTCAGCCTTATTTTCAGCTAATTCGATTTCAGTTGGTTCAGCAATTTCGTCTTCAAAAAATTCATCAGCTTCTGGAGTGGCCCGTGTGTGGTCAATAACACTTGTATCTTTGCCCATTTTCCATAACCTGTAGCGCTCAGGCTGAAACTTGCGAACAAAAACATCCATTGAAATTTTCACCATATCCTTTCTGCATGAGCACTAGAAAAAGACAAGGAAAAATGAAAAAAGTACATTAGTGGAGTAATAACACATTTAGTAGGGTCTGTAATGATTCACTAGTCGATTGCAGTCTGGATTTTAATGGGGATGGAAAATCTGGAGACAGTATTTTCTATATCCCCCGATATTATAAAATTAAATCCTCAAAATATGTTTACATTTTATAGAAAAAAGTCAGATTCAAAAATTGTCAAGATCATAATATAATAATCTTTACATTTGGTATAACTGCCTTCACATTAGGCAGTCAAGTGTTGTGACTATGTGTACTTTTCGAATAGAGCTAAAAGTTTCCCTACTTCTAATAATCAGATCTTGCATTTGATAAAATGCTTATAATGCTGTTAAAACATCTTGGGAGTTCTTTACAGGATTTACCTCAAAACGGCAAATTCAGCAATGCCCCACAAACACAAAGCTATTTAATGAACAAATCAATTGAAGTTATAGGACAGTAGACAGATTTTGTTCACACAAAACTATAATAGGAATGTACAGACTGGAAATGACCATGAACACAGTGAAGTTCATTTAAAATTCTTAATTATTCCACAGAAAGCCTTTCATTATAGAGTCAATGAGAAATGTCTAAACTTTTATCTTGATCTACTAAAATCCATGTAGAAAACAATACATACCAGAACAGCAAGCTTCCCATACTCTATCCATCGAAGTGTGGCAAAGTTTGTTGATTCCGCACAGTTAAAACCATGGTTAAAGCCAGCATGATAACCATAGGGGAAGGTGATCATAAACTCCCCAGCTTCTTGGGTTACCTGGCAGATTAAGCATGTTAAGTAAAAATCAAAAAGTTGATTCAACTATTGCTACATTTGGACAAATTCTAGGGTTGATCATAATACTTTAATTACACAACCAAAACAACCGAGTACGCAGAACATAATTGGGAGGTAAATATCATCAGACCGTTTCAACATGCCTGCCCAGCAACAGTTTGAAGAGAAGAATTCTTTATGAATAGACATAACTGCAATATTTGTCATGGACTCGAAATGCAAAGAAGGGATAGTTGGACAAATGTGTCCTCCTGAAGTGAAAGATGCCATACAAATGTAATTTTGTTGCTGTTGTCAATGATACGAGGAGGAGAATACAGGATTATCAGCAAATGGTGCAGCATTCTATTGAACCATGGAAAAACTTGCTGTGGATAGATGTGTTGGAGGAATCCACAATACATACAAGAAATGCTGCATAATAGTTTGCTTGGACTAAACAGTGATTAAGAAAACACACTTGATTAACTGTTCATAGAATAAATGAGATTAGAGCAGATTGTTTCAATGGGGAACTATTTTAGCATGTCATGATAAATTCAATGGCTCCTTCCATCATGAACCTTGTATAATAAATAGAAGGATGCAAAGTCATCTCAGAACCAATGCAATGGCCCTACCACCAAAGGTGCAATTTGAGTCAGTTATGATAGTACCCTGGACTTTCATATCTTCTATCTATCTTCTTCTAAACAAAACAATAATGTCTGTTTGCGCTTAAAGACGTATCTCAATAACCGATCGACGTAGAGACACGATTTATACCTCATCGGAAAGGTCATGTACCTGGGAGTGACAACGGACATATTTTGTTTTGGGGGTATCTCCTATCGTTCACGAGTTATTTTCAGTTTTGCGTTTTTACACCTAGTGGCCACCGAGACAAAGTGGCTCTGTGGCATTGTATGTCACAAAGGGCCTACGTATGTACGTACACACTGCAGTTACACATGGTGGTTGCGCCGGCTGACTGTGGCATCCTGCATTCACAGGGCATGCATGTAGGCAAGCGGCGGGAACAAAATAAAGAGCACAGAAGAAGCTAAGCCGCGGTAACAACAAAATTACATTTTTAAAGCGCTGAGTCCTCCCATAGGAGTCCTTTACAGATAAAGGTGAAATGTCTGTCTGCATGTAAATCTGCATTCCATGTTGGATCTTTGGTTGCAAGCATAGCCGCAATAGGTAAAGCTAGTACAATATAAAAAGAGAACATCCCAAAAGAAGGTTTGTACGTACCCTGTCAAATGGGATCCCATATTTCTTCAAAATAGAAGGGGATATCAGAGTCATCTTATGACGCAAAAAAGCTTCACAATTTTGAGCGCTTCCTGGGAAAAAGCCTATTAAAACAATGTAACAAGAACAAACATTTATTTCAATTTGTAAATCAACCTATACTTTGACAAAATCCTACAAGGTACAAACTGAATAATCGCAGGAAACACTAACAGTTTTCACCCCAAATGCTCTTGATCATTTCTTGGTAGTCAAACAAATACTTAATTTGAAGAGATATAAAATCAAAGCTTGGAGGATCCACCTTCTGGATTTTTTTAAGTTAGGAAGCAAAGGTAGAGCACTAAAAACAAATCTCTAGTATACATAAGTTCTATTTTCTCTGCTTTGGATCTTCCAAATCATTGTCTAAAGCTCCATCTTTCACCCACAAAATACACAGTCAACACCATCACAATATATTCTGTGAAGAACCTTGGGATGTCCTCCTGACTTGAAAGGCACTATACAAATGCAATTTTGTAATATCTCTGTGGCAATCAATGAAGCCAGTCTAGAATGAACCTATTAGCTATGATTATGAACATATCAGCTATGTTAGCTTGGTTTGGGAGATGAGATCCCAAAGCACACAATTACGCAACCCCCAAAATAAGCCTATAAAATAATCATCTCCTTGAAAAAGGAGAGCTGGTGAAGAAAAAAAAAATCATACTTCTAACTGAACATAGTAAGTTCTAAATACAAACAAAACAGATAAAATCCCTTCCCCGCAAAAAAAATCTGAATTCAACTATACAAACAATTACCTTTAGCCAGGCGCTCCAATCGCTTCCCATGCTCCGGAGGAACAGAGTACCTGAACGCAAAAACATAAGTGTCATCTTAGCTGAGTTGCTTGCACTTTTTAATCATCACTCCTGCTACAAGTCAAGCAGTGAATATAATGTAGGTTAGTTTCTTCTCCGTTCCTTAAATTAGTTCAACTCAATCTGACTTAGAGCTCCATGTTATGGATATGAATTAAGCATTCAACTGCACGAGCTATTTAGCCTAAGAATGAGTAACTGAATAAGATAGTTGAGAAACAAGGAAGAGTGTGGAATGTAAATCTCGACCATTACCATGATTTCGGCTCTCCAAAGTGCAGATAGTTGATGCTGTACAGATCCATGTCCTCAGTGTGCCAAGCAAAGGTGGTTTTCCACATTCCAAAATAAAGGTAGGGAGTATTGACACCCTCAATGGTGATGCCACTCTCTTTTTCTACCACATCTAGTATGCTGTTCAGGTGTCCAATGTTCCAGTCACTCACACCCTAAATAAACAAATTTAAAAATGCACAGCTGGTAATGCATGGAGGTTTAGAGACATTACATAAGGAATAAAAAGGTAAAATTACATGAGAACTCTTTACAGTTGGTCTTGAGTACAACATACTACAGTCCCAGTGTGCTCATTTTCATGTAAATGCATGTGTGCAGGAAGTACAAATCAGTGGCTACCTTGTTAGTCAGAGGTTTGCCATTTATTGCAATGAATGGGGTCCTCACTACAACTACATTATAACTGAATTCTCGCTGTGCTGAACTGTACTTTTAGATGAAGTTATCATAGAAGGTGAAAGGAAAAGAACAAGTGCAAACAAGAAAAATCATGATCAAAGTGAATTGGCAACACGTGATAACGGCTTCTACACTAAATTCCGCTATAATTTTTGATATAAAAATACTTCAGGAATGGTTTATGCCTCACCTCATCGTAGAGTGTACCATTGACATCTGCACCATAGATTGGTGCATTGAACGTGAGATTTTTCCAATACTTGCGCTCTAGATCTTCAAAATCTCCATAGCGAGGGGTACAAAATCTGGAAGAGGCGCATTAAATTAGTTACATGTTGGACTAGACCCCATCAATATAAATGAGTTCTAAAGGCAGTAGATACATGAAGAAAAATGAGGCTAAAGCATCTTGCAAAAACACAATTAAATATGCTAAGATTAAAATGGACTGTTTAAAAAAAAAATGGAGGACAAAGGACAACATTTGTTCTTGCTGTTATTTGGCACACATGCAAATTTGTATTGTTGGGTTTTTATCTCACAGAATGCAACAGCACAATGCAAATTCTATACACATTACTTTTACTACCTAATTTGCAAAACAATCTCCGATCAGCAGCGATATTGAGTATACACAAATGACACTTTTGCATTAGGTTTTTTTAAAAAAAAATCATGTTCCAGATATTTTATCCCACTGTTATCATTACGAATGTATTACATAGCCAACCTGCAGATCGTATCCTTAATACAATGATGGTCACCATTCATTTATGCTGAAGTTCCACTCTGAGATGTTATTCTACATAACACAACTGACTGGGATTTACTGGATGTAATTAATATTAAAATTCAAATAAATTTCTTGTAAAGTTGCTGGTTAATTATTACTTCAAAGCTAAATTTAGTGGGCTATTTTATTGTCTAAGTAACAATATAACTTGTCCATGAAGCTGGTTAGCTAAAACACTGCTGTAAATACATCCAAATGAAGTGTCAAATATTCTTACTTGTCACTGTTGGCAATTTTTCTGAATTCTCGAACAGTTATTGGCTTCTTCTGGATGTTATACTGTGTGAAGAGACCGGACTGGCCAGTCACTACCTGCTGAATAGGGGCCGGAATCACCAAGTCATCAATGTCCTCATAATTCCTACAAGGCTTCCATTCTTTTGGAGGGACCACCTGTGCAGGGAAAAGAAAATCCAGCAGTCTTAAGTCACACTCAAACACAACATGCCCCAAACTTTGAAAGCTGTCTTATGCAACTGTACTGAAGTGTTTACAATAATTTACAAAGTAGACTGGTAACGCACCTAATACAAATATAGTTCTGATATAAACAGCCCCTTTTGTGCTCAATTTAAATTCCTCTCAAGACTCATTAGATTCACGTTTTCTCTGACATGCACTTTAATTGAGAACAGCATGACATGCTCCTAGGTTAGATGCAAACCTAGGTAACCAGGACTTCACTTTGAAACATATCAGTTTCAGAGAACGGCCCCGAGGATGTTAAAATATAATAACCCTCATTCTCTAATGAAAAGTATAGATACATATTCATTCAAAGTTACCTTTGCAAGACCAGCACGATGAGCTCCTTGCGATTCAATATACGCAACGTAACGGTTGAAATTTTTGAACTCATCCATTGTAGGATAAAAGGTCATTATTCGACAGCTGGGATTTGGAGCTACAATATCCGTCGCCATGGTTATTCAATGTTATCACTTGATCACCTAAAACACAAAAATTCACATTAGTGTACAGGTCTCCTCACTTTAAAAAGTGTACTTTAAAAATATGACAAACCGGTCTAGTTAGCCATATGGTCAAGAGCTTAAGCACATGCCACTGTTGACATGCAAACTCCCCCTCCTTAGCTCTATCCAGAATCCTTCCCCAGTATGATCAAAACTGCACAATACATGTAATGGAACGCATTTAGGAGCACCAAATTGATGGCAACAACAAACTTTGCTATTTTCATTTACTTTTCTCAAGTTAATCTATAAAATACAAAGCTTGAATGAATAAATAGCTCGCTCTGAGAGCCGGTAGAGGCTCGATCCACGGAAATAGTCCCCTTCTGTGCTGCAAATTTCTACAATTCTATCAAATGAACAACAACCGAAACTGAAATTAGAAATCTATGGGGGATGGGGGGGGGGGAATATAAAACGAAAACCTATAAACTCAACCGTGTAGTGTGTTATTATAGAAATACAATAAACTACTATCACCGGGATCACAGTTAATCATTGCCGGATTAATAAAATGGTTCAAAAGTCAACAATCAACCAAACCAATAAGATTCAAGCTATATATATATATATATTTTTAAAAATGCTTTACATTAAAACATGTATTAAAAACCGGCGGTGGTGGTGGGGGGGGATACAAACAGCGCAATGTGTTAGCGAAAGCTTGCAAAAAAAAATCCTAAAAAATAATAAAGGGGGGTGGGGGGTGTAGAGAGGAGTGTGTGTGTGTGTGTGGGGGGGGGGGGGGGGTGTAGAGAGGAGTGTGTGTGTGTGTGGGGGGGGGGGGTGTAGAGAGGAGTGTGTGTGTGTGTGTGGGGGGGGGGGGGGGGTGTAGAGAGGAGTGTGTGTGTGTGTGTGGGGGGGGGTAGAGAGGAGTGTGTGTGTGTGTGTGTGGGGGGGGGGGGGGAGAGAGACACATCAGGAGAGAGAGGAGAGTAAACATAACAAAGAGGAGCCTCGCCGTACGGTCTCTTTAAATTTTAAAACCAACTTCCATTATGTCAGTGAAACACATTAAAATGGCGCATCTTTGTTTTTCTCGTGGGGGGGGAGAGGGGGGGGTGAGGAAGGACGGGGACGCCGACAGGTCAACAGTCCCAATCATTTAAAAAATATTATATATATATACACACACACATCCCAACACAAGACGGGATTTCTTTTTGTACCATAGTTCTATCTGTCGTAACTGAACTCTCTCGACCGACCGAGCGCCCGTTTTACTTTCGGTTTCCCGAGGCCCCAACTCGCCACCGCCCTCCTCTCCCCCTCCCCCGAACTCCCTCTCCTCCTCTCCCTCTCCCGAACTCCCCTCCTCTCCCCTCCCCCGAACTCCCCTCCTCTCCCCTCCTCTCCCTCCCCGGAGCGGAGCAGTTGTCAAACGCGGAGAAATCACTCACAGAGAGACCGGGGAGTCTGATGGTGGTTTGGTGTCATTGCCAATAGCGTCACACGTCGCCATCGCCGCAGACACGACCCGCCGAGTGTGTGCGATATATATACACACACACACACACAGAGACAACACAAAGCCGCTTCTTCCCTCACCACCGTCCCGGTGCGATATCGAACTTGTACAGTCGGTGGCCGGGTGTGGGCGTCAGGTGGGGGGCGGGTGTGGGTGTGTGTGGGGGGGTGGCGGGTGGGTGGGGGGGGAGGTGTGTCCGCCCAATATATTTGTGACGTTTCTTATTGTTGTTAATTGTCACCTTTCAGGAGTGTTGGGGCAGAAAATAAAGGCACTAAGTACGAGCGAGTATTTTCTTCACAAACTCAGGCTCGGCCGCCTCTCTCTGCCCCCACACACACACACCCACACACACAGAGGCCCACCTCCCTCGGCCTCTTCCCACCTCTCCTTTTTTTTAATGTGTGTGTATATACATATATATATATGAGAGATAAAATAGTTTGGCGGAAATAAATCTGTGTGTGTGTGTGTATATATTTAGCGGAACTGAAACTGCGAAAGAAAGGAAGAAAACATGGCTCCCCCTCTGTCTCTGGGCTTTCGCTGCCGTTTGCGGGTCAACCGAGAGGGCGGCGACACCGAGGCGAGCCTCCAGGCCCCGTCGCTGATTGGCCCAGAACGTGACGCGTGACCACCCCCTCCGCCCCGCCCCCCCCGCGCGCTCTCTTCCACCCCTCCCTCCCCCCACCCACACACCGTGCGCCTCCTGTCATTGGCTGACAGGCCCGTCAATCACTCTCACACCGGAACCGGGTTGGTTGGACTGACGCTTCTGCGTCGCCGACGCCGCGCGAGCGAGCGAGCGAGGAGGGGGCGGAGAGGGGGGGGGGGGAGAGAGGGGGGAAAAGAGGAACAGTTTCAACGGAAATAATGGTTATCACTGGGCGTTTTTTTTTAAAAAAAACAGAGCGGTGGAAAGAGAAGGAAAACAATGGACCGCTCAGCAAAACCAACCATTCCTCCCCCTCCCCGAATTTTACTGGTTTAAAGCGGGCAAACGAGTCCGAATAGGGTCGTCCCCCCACACCCAAAAAAAAATGGGCCGCTTGTGTTGTTTGTTTGTGTTGTGGGTTGGGAGGGAGGGAGGGGGGGAAAGAGGCCATCAGGCGACCAGCGCTTCGCTGACACCCCCCCCCCTCCCCACACACACACTCACACACACCCCCTCCCTCTCCGACCGACTCACCCAAAGCACCGGCCAAAAAAAAACCTCCCGCCCGCCCGAGTCCTTCGTGTCTTGTGCTTTCTGCTCCGACCGACCGACCGTCCGTCAAAATGGCTCCATCCCTCTCACGTCCGCTTCGCGCACCTCAACCCCAACATTCAAAGGGTTTTGTTTTTCGCGTCTCTCCAAATAAAACCGGACATACTTTTTTTTCTCTCCCCTTCAGGTTTTTTTTTAATCTCTCTCCCCCCCCCCCTCCTCCCTTTTTTTTTAACCCGAACGCCCCGATGACGGGTCGGTTGGCGGCCGCCCGAGCCAATCAGCGAGCGCGCTGACCAACCGTCACTGGCCGAGGGACCCACGATCCACCAATCCGAGCCGCGCCGGTTGGTCCCAGCCAATCAGGAGCGGCGCTGTCCGCGACCGCGGTCTAAGCCAATCGAGAAGCGGCACTGAGCGGCCGCCGACCAATCGGAGAGGCGGCGGATTTCGTTCGTCACGCCGCCCTCCCTCTCGTCCAATCAGCTGTCAGCCCGAGGCTTCCATTGGCGGCGTGCGGATCCGCACATCCACCAGCTGTGGCTGTGGGCGTGGCTCCGCTCCAGCCACAGAGAGAGAGAGAGAGAGGGAGGGGCGCAGTCAGAGGATAATAATAATAATAATAATAATAATAATAATAATAATCCTCGCATTTGATATAGCGCTTTTCACGTCGGGAGGACGTCCCAAAGCGCTTCACAGAACACACTGTAAAGTGAATTGACTGTATATTTGTGGGCGAACGCGGCAGCCAATTGCGCACAGCAATGTCCCACAAACAGTCGTAGGTTGAAAATGACCAATTTATTATTGTTTTTGGGTTTTGGAGGGATTATTATTAGGCTCTGTGTGGAGTAAGGAAACTTGCCCAAGGTTTCGCCCTCTGCCTGGAATTGAACTCAGGTCTCTCGCTTGCAAAGCGAGTGCTCTAACCACTGAGCTACAGGACGCTACAGGATACTAATAATAATAATAATCCTTGCACTTGACACAGCGCCTTATCGCGTCTCCGAGATGCCTCAAAGCGCCTCGCGGTGGGGGTGGGGTGGGGGGGGCGGGGGGCTGCGCCGCCACCGCGGCCACTCGTGCGCGGCAACGCCCCCCCCCCCCAAACGTCCGTGGAGTGAGCGACAAAAAAAAAGAGAGGAATCTCGTACCCCCCCACCCACACCCCCCAAAAAAAATATACGGTCAATTCGCTTTACGGTGCATTATTCCGCGAAGCGCTTTTGGGACGTCGAGAAGACGTGAAAAGCGCTCTATCAGATGCAAGGATTATTTATTATTATTATTATTATTATTAGATATCATACGTATTTCTTGGCCAGGACGTCGTGAGCAACTCCCTCCCCTTTTTCCGAATCAAATGAATGAATATGCAAAAAAAGAAGGGAGGTTTATATCGCAGCGTTCCGAGCGCTACCCCGCGTGAAGGCTGGGATGTAAGTGCAAGTTGTTCTCGTTAGACTTAACCCATTTTTTAAAAAAAATACACAGCTTTTGGTCATCTTTCCTCTCTTGTACCATCAGCTCCCGGTGCCCCGCCAAAACTGGCAGCTTTGGGACGTCGTCCCGACTTGCAAGGAGCTGATTTAAGTGTAAAATGTTTAGCAATGAGCCCCGTGTTTTTAAAAGCTTTTTTCTTCCATGTCAATTGTCGGATAATGCTCTCTGTCAATGGGGCACATTTTTAAAATTAATTTCATGCATATTCCTACCTAGTCAAAGACAAGTCCTCACTCACTCACTCCGCACCTGTTACCAAGTAGTGACAGCTGTGCCAGCCTTTCTTGTTCGTCAATTTGCTACGCACTGTCTGAAGATTAGGGCAGGTGTCCATATTGTATCTGTTAATATAAAATAGTGTTAGGTCTTCGATCGACAGATCATAGCATACACAATACAGATGTCCGAAGATCTATTTTTACATGTACTGTATCTCCAGTTGACACATTCTTCCCTTTTACTTTTGCTGTATAAATACATTTCAGCCCCTAACACTGCTGACTGTTATGGACAAATTTATCACCACAATCCTTAGTATATTTGGCAGCTCATCTTCGCAGAGAGAGAGAAAAGAATTTGACTCATCTTTGCTTCACTGAGATTCTATACTGCATATTTTTTTCATTGGTGGCATTTCTATTAAACTACAAATTTGCAGCGCCTGAAGAAAGAGGGCTATAGTTAAGTCAGTTTTCCATTGAAGATTAACACCAGTCATGTCTAGACAATGCTTTTTTATTAAACATCGTCAGTACTGCAGCACAGCCGAAGGTGGTTTTATTCTCCGAAAGTAGTACTGCCAAAGGCAGTAATGCCACCAAATTGCAGCTGGGGTGCAATGTATTTCCTGATCGTGGATGAATTTACAGCTTAACCCTTTGGAAATTGAGCCTGAACTAAAAATTGTAATGGTGACTTTGAAATAACTGCATGCGGTTTGGGCTATTTGGAGTGGTTTGCATTGCTGTGGAATCTGCCTTACCTGGTGCATTCCCCTATACCTCCGCCCCCAACCTCCAGATTGCATGTATGGTTACCTCCCCTTTCTCCCCTGCTCGGCATCTGACCCCGCAATTGTGAAGTGCTCCGAGACATTATCGTATATGAAGTGCGCTATAATAATAATCCTTGCATTTGATATAGCGCTTTTCACGTCTTCTCGACGCCTAAAAGCGCTTCACAGAATAGACTGTAAAGTGAATTGCCATATTTGTGGGCGAAACGTGGCAACCAATTGCGGACAGCAGTGTCCCACAAACAGTCGTGAATTGAAGTGACCAATTTATCATTATTTGTTTTCTTGAGGGATTATTATCAGGCGCGTGGAGCAAGGAAACTTGTCCTGGGTTTCACCCTGGCGGGAATCGAACCCAGGTCTCTCGCTTGTGTGGCGAGTGCTCTAATCCCTGAGCTACAGGACTCTACAATAGGTTTTTGCATTCTATATCACCTACTGTGCAAGGCATTTCAGAGTAAATGGTCAGGAATGTCACGTTAAAGGTACTTTGGCCAATTTTGGAAATTAGGCATGTATGAGTGATACAATGAAACTGATAACTCATCACCCCAGGAAAAATGGCTCAAATAAATAATAATAATCCTTGCATTTGATATAGTGCTTTTCACGTCTTCTCGACGTCTCAAAGCGCTTCACAGAATAGACTGTAAAGTGAATTGACCGTATATTTGTGGGCGAAACGCGGCAGCCAATTGCGCACAGCAATGTCCCACAAACAGTCGTGGATTGAAAATGACCAATTTATTATTGCTTTGTTTTGGAGGGATTATTATTAGGCTCTGTGTGGAGTAAGGAAACTTGCCCAAGGTTTCGCCCTGTCTGGAATTGAACCCAAGGGTCTCGCTTGCAAGGAAAGTGCTCTAACCACTGAGCTATAGGACTCCTAAATGACTACTTATCAGAATTGATTAGTTATCCAAAGTACATTATCTAGAAAGAGCAAAGTACTTGAATAGCTGGGATATTGAATTGAGTGACTAGTTATGTGGAGTTGACTACTTATCCCACGGGCTAGTCATCAGTCTCACCCTATGTTGCTTCAACGCACCAATGCAAAGTCAGTTATGATCAGAAATAATTCTTCCAAACTACATTATGCAGATGGAGCTCAGCCTCCGTAACAGCAGTTTTTATAATAATTATTATTATAACAGCAGTTTTAGATTATGAGATACACTTGTTCTATCTTGGAACTGTAAAATTGAGGACTCTTAGTGTAAATGTTTTTTCACCCCTCAGGCTGCTGAAATCCTCATACACGCATTTGTCACCTCAAGCCTGAACTATGGAAACTCCCTCTTGTCAGCCTCCCCAACTCTTCCCTCCGCAAGCCACAGATCATCCAGAACTCTGCAGCTTGTGTCCTCTTCCGCACCAGGCTCCATGATTCCCTCACCTCCACCCTCGCCCAGCTCCACCGGCTCCCCATCCCTCAGAAAGAGGATAGAATTAAAAATTCTCACCCTCACTTTCAGGGCCCTCCATAGCCTTGCCACCTCCAACCTCTCTGACCCCCTATCAACCTGTCCGCTCCCTCTGTTCAGCAGGTTCATCCAACCCGCTCCATGTCTCCCACCTGACCAGCCCTACCATCGTCGGCCGGGCTTTCTGCCCCCACCTTTGGCACTCTATCGCACAATCCCTTCGCCTTGCTTCCTCCCTCGTCTCCTTCGAGGCACGACTCAGGACCCTCCTTTTCGACCCTACCTTCAGCCCCACCTCCCTCATCCCAACCCTCCCCCACCCCACCATGCTCGGGGCCCCATCCCTGATTCTTCAGCACCTTGGGATGTCCTCCTGACGTGAAAGGCGCTTTACAAATGTAATTTTGTTGTTTCTACCATGGCAGACAACCACCAATGTATTTTCATTATTCATCACTATACAGTTTAGAACCTATCATGCAGAATTAATGGTTAACAATGAACTGCTCAGTACGGTGCTCACTCCAGGTCAGCCTGTCCGAGTTTGAAGGTAGGCTCACTGGGTTCTGCAACCTCAAGTTCCCCAGTTGCTGCTTGCTTAATGGAAGCTCCCACCACATCTTTATCAGTGCCTGTTTGCTTAAATGTGCACTTCCTGAATAACTGATACTGTTCACACGGCTGAAGGGGAAGCTATTTCACTCCTGACATTATGGTGATGTTGAAGCAGGAAGCCTGATTTATATACTTTTTGCTTCCATTTACCCTAATCACCACTATCAAACGAGCAGTACTAATCTTCTGCAGAGGATATCACTGAAGTGATGTCTGCTTTATGTACTGTACTGGATGCTTGGTTCTCAGGTGAGGGATGCTCCTCGAGTTTGACAGGCAATCCACTGGGCTTTCTTTATTCTGTACAGAGAACAAACAATACACTGTCAGTACAGATGCACATATCAATTTGTTTACAATGCATTCCACTAGCCAGAACAACTTCAAACCTACATTTACCAATGATGCGCCTGTGCACAATTTTTATGTACAGATCCATTCATTGTGCAAATTGCATCTGAATAAAATTACCATTGAAGCTTTCTTCTGCTGCAGTATCTGCATCCTCAAATACTCACCCTTCTAAATATCATCCGCATTGCTTCATTGTGGGGTGATCTTTCAGTTATGCTAATTAAATGCACAGGAGCTTTTGAACATAGGAGCAGTGAATCAGGAGGGTGATTTGACTCCTTAAAAAAATTCCTGAATTAAATACATCAACTCCTCCACTACGGCAATATTCAGTGTAAGTAGAACTAACCCTATTTTTAATTATTACTTTACACAATAAAATATTGTTCACATTTCTTGTATCGCAGCAGCTTCTTTGGGTCATGCCTTTCCCAAATTCAATTTTCCCTATTGACACACATGTTTTTGTCCTACAGTAGACCGATATTAATGCTACACCTTAGTACTTTTAAGTTAATGTTTCCTGTACTTCCTTGGAAAGTCCCTACATCTGGCAACAATGTACTCCAGAGGAAATCTGCCTCGTCTTTCATGTCCTCTGTATGATGAATGTAGAGCTCTCCTGGCAAAAACATTCTGGAACAGTCTCAAGACCAAACTTACTCGCTGCGCCCACTCAGAAAATTGTACTTTGTGACTTGTCATTCTGCATCAGATGTCTGTATTTCACACCCGCGTGAATGTCTTAAATACTTTTATATGATTAATTATTAAGATCCATTAAAATTGTATTAAACAAGTATCCCAATTAACCATTTCATTGCTATAATCGATATTGACAATGCATTCTGCTCAAGCATCCTGAAGGAAAAAGTGTAAATGTAATGGTATTAAAACCTGTAGAAAAAGTTACACAAACTGAATGTTTTTAAAAGGTACAATATAGGGGAATTTCTTGTCCAAAATGTTTTCTCCTTTTGGGTTCCCTTTGTTCCTGAGAGGGAAACAGAATTGGCTGAAGCTTGGTGATTATTTTTCATTATATTAATTTGGTCACTCATGATAATTTGAAATAATAATTTGCACACTCAATCCACGACTGTTTGTGGGACACTGCTGTGTGCAATTGGCTGCCGCATTTTTCCCACAAAATACAGTCAATTCACTTTACAGAATATCCTGTGAAGAGCTTTGAGACATCTCAAAGATGTGATAAGGCACTGTATCAAATCCAAGGATTATTATTATTATTTCTACTATAATTTTCACTGTGCAAATTCAGAATTTGTTGATTCCATGATGCTGGGCCATTGGTTTGTCACAATGGCTCAAAAAACTGTTGGTTCTTGTGAAATATAAACCCAATGAGTACTAAACAGCTCAAAGCTGAACCAGGCATCAGACCTCACTTGAATAATTCTTGGTTGGTCTTGCAGCCAAAGGAAATTACAATCAAACCACACAGTTGATGCAGCAATCACTACTCCCAATGTTTGCCTTAATTATACAATGAGGTCATCCATATAATTGAAACAAATGAAAGGGTTAACAAAAGTTCGATATTATAAGAGATTCTCATCCCATTAACCTCTGGATCCCAAATGTTTTTACCAGTCACAATCTCACTCTAAGACCTTCCCAAGTACATTCTACATATTAGCCAATATGATGGAATATTATTTCAAGTCTTGGATCTCATTGATTTTTTTTTTAGCACATGGAAAAATTCCCCCAATGAAACCACATTGTATAAAACCTGATTATTCAACTTTATTAACATCAAGACTTTTCCAATGATGGTATCATTTATTAACAAATAGAAAACAGACTGTGTATACAACAGAGTAACCCCTACAGCACTATGCATACACAAGGTAAAAATGAGTGCGTTCCAAACATTTCAACCCTTTCAAATCAGGTTACAGTCAATAACATTCTGACTAGTTGATTATATGTAGAATTCATCCACCACCTTCCCCATTTCCACACCCAGGAGAAATTCAGTCTCCTTACTGCATTAGCTTCATAGAATGACAGAAGATTATACCGTTACAGAACGTCAAACCCACCATAATAGTTGATTGGAAAGTTCAGGCTATTTGTAAGGGAATGCTTAGCAGTCTTAACTCTCGCAGAATAGTCAATATGAAACAAAAAAAAGTTGATGTAATTGGTGAGGAATATATGTTCTTGGTCCCAGTTCATCTCTGGGTCGACGACTGAAGGTTTGTGACAAGGTCTGTAATCCTGTTTATATTGGGTTTGTTTCAATCCAGTTTGACATTTTCTCCAGTAGATTGAACAGAATATCAGGGTATCTGAGGAGTATTTTTTTCTAACTTTTTATTATTTTTTTTAAACGAGAAAATAATCGAATCAGTCATATTAAGAAACTGTACAAAACCATAATGCATCCCTTGTTTTTATTAAATTCATCACTAGCACCAGGCTCCTGCTTTATTCATTGTTAACAGTTTTGTATTGTACAGTATCTGGAGAGAAAATGCTATCATATAAGAGGTTAAGCTCCAGTTCAATTTATTCATTTGTCTATACCTAGGAGTAGATACAGCAGCTATAATCAGAACAGTGGTTTAAGATTCCAGTCACCAGGATCAAATACAGAACTGCACTAAAATGGGCAGCTCTGCAACAAACACAAAGAACCCTAAAATCAGCAGAAACAAAAATATAAAACTTAACTGATAATAAAATAAAAAAGCATTTACAGCATAATGAATCCTGTTTTGCCATCAAGCAAAACATTTTAATTTCGGGAAAAATTACCAGTTTTAATAAAAAGATTTATAAAACTGCAAATGGCATCCCAGTTAAAACCCAAAAGGAAATTGGTGCACTTTACTTCAGCTAAAATTATAGTAATTAAAAAAGGGGAATCTCATGCACAAAGTGAAAAGGATTTGAGATGCGTTTGGAATTAAGACAGGTCCAAACAGTTCCTGCTTAGCCTAAGGATCACGGTGGAATTGGAGTCGCTGAGATCACTGCGCCGTTTACGATTCACTGTAAAGGAAAACTGAACAACGATTTGATATGGCTCGAAAAAATCACTTTCTGGGTCCTGAAAGTCGCAAGTTCTGATTGGATGATAGAAGTTACGTTGCATAGTGATCAAAGCTCCCGAGGTACTCCAGCGCAGCTCGGTAACACAACTGGTACTGATCCTGTGGCACAGAGAGAGCAATGTTCATTAAATAGTTCATTCTATCATACCAGAGATATTTCTACTACATAGTTAACCATTAGGTAAGGAGTACAATCATATGCGAATTGTTCCAGGTATATGAAATAAATTTCATCAATGATGCAACAAACTAGTACATATGTGGTTTACTTTCACATGTACGCGGATGACACCCAACTCTCTCCCTCTCTCTGCCTCAACAGGGGCTCCTACTGATCAGCTTTGCATTTGGCAAGTGAAGCATGTTTTTTTGATCTTAAAGGTTGGAATGTACTTTATTATCTTCATTTTAAAAAAAAATGTTTTCCATCTGCACCCACCCCTCCTGTTTCCCAAAACAGAAAACAAATCTAGGTGTGAGCCCAGACAGTGAGCATCAGCAAACTATACGACCATGGAGACTTCATAGCTAAGCTCAATTGTAATCATGCCCTCATCTGACATCCACACACAAACACTTTCCAACAGAGGTCACTGGACAACAATTAGTAGTCAATGTCATGAAACTGTATTCCGGGAGAGAAAACAGGAGGGCGGGGTGGGTGGAAAGCAAAATTTTTTAAAAAAAATCTTTAATGAATCAAATAACATTCCAACCTTTAAGATCAAAAGACCATGCTTCACTTGCCAAGTGCAAAGCTGATCAGCTGGAGGAAATGTTATTTCGTTTTATTAACCACACTGGTTGCAGTAAGTGTGTGCAGTTGGTAGAGCAGAACTTATTGTAATCTACAAGCATTTAAAAGGGCTCAAAATAGTTCTTGCGTTGCCGAAGCTTAGCCACAACAGAATCTGAATCATTGATATCATTATTGGGCCATTGTTGACTCACTATCAAGAGGGGAAACGAGGTAAGCAATTTTTTTTTAAAAAAGCTGGTGAATTAATTAACCGTTCCAACTTTGAGCTTCTCAGTAAAGAAAAGCCAAAAGTAAATGAAACACTTTATTTTGGGGATTGTGTGTGAACAAAAAAAATCCCTGCTTCTGTAGTTATTCTTTTTAATATTCATATGGGGCAGTTAACATCATCACAGGGTGCACATTTTAAAAGCTGGAGAGACCTTTTCAGGGTGTAAAGGGTTACAGGATCATCGCTATGCAACCCCCTCGGCACAGAGCTGCACATGCAACCAAGCTTCAATGATTCCTGAAGCAGTTCTCTAACTGTTTGGGGATCCCAGTGCAGTGGCAGATTCTGGTTCTGCCTCACCAACCATTAGGCACCTGCTGCTACAACTGTAGTTAATGAAAATCAAGTATCATTTCCTCTGACTGTTTCGTTTTGTGCTTGGGGAGTGAAGGATGGCATTTTCATTTCAAAGGTTAGACTTTAAACGTATACGTCAAAACACCAAGATCTGCTTTCAATAGTTTCAGGCACATGAAAGAAATTTAACATAATTCTCTTGACAGACCATAAACAACTCTAATATTACATGGATCACACTCACATTCCCCAACAATGGCTAGAGATTAATATCAATAACCCAGTGGAAATATTTTTTTGTTCGCCATCAGCAGTGTCAGCAGTGTTACATTTGTGCAGAAGAGACAATTTTAACCCTTTTCTCATGCAGGATCAGATGCCATTTCCTGTGGTATAAATATATTTCCAATTACTTAAAGAAATGGCAGCCTCATATTCTTTATGTTATTGAATATCCACTTTGGCCAGTGGCAATAGAGGTTCCATTTAGTGTCTTCCTTGCATCACATGTTGTAGTGGAGACTAGTGAAACTTAATCTGCTATATTCAGTGTACCCTCGCCAAAATATGGCTCTTTATAAAGTGGATTCAGATTCTCAACAGTTAGGCTGGTGGTCCCGGTGGTAAAGCAGTCCTCGACCACCTGTTCTATACAGCATTTTGAGTTGCATTATGTACTTTTCCCATCTTAACAAATGCTGAAACATCCTACCTCAGTCTGCACCATGGCAGGCCTCTGTGTTCGTAAGGTCTTCACTGTCTGAAACATGTCAACCACTCCCTCATACCTCATCCGCTCCAGTACAATACTCAGAGTAATGAATACTCCAGTCCGTCCCACCCCGGCGCTAGAAAACAAGAGAAACCGTGTGAACATAAAGCACCAATCATCTGTTTTTCCTGAATATGTATGGAAATTTGCCTTAATAAATTCACCTGTGATCCATAGCATGCATGCAGGAAGTGTGCTCTGTGTGCACTGTATGCAGGAAATCATGTCAGCAGCAACCTGACACTTGATCCTTTTGCGCTTTACTCCAGCGCTGAGCCAGGGAGGAGGGAGGTGACGTAAGCACGATCAAAATGTAAGATCTTTAGGTGGAATTTGAAAATGGGGAGGGAGGGGGATTGAGGGAGAGAGTTCCAGAGTTTCGGGATGTAGTAATAACCACCTTGAAAGTGAAGTAAGTTAATATTAATAAGAATAATAATCGTTGCATTGGATATAACTCCTTATCATGTCATTGAGACATCTCAAAGCGCTTCGCAGAATATAATATATTGTAAAGTGTATATTGTTTGCTTAGTTCTGGTAATTTTATGCATGTATTGGACTGACCTTACTCCAGAGATTGCAGGAGGCTTTGGCTGCTCGTGCTGTGTGCTTTCTTACCTGCAGTGTACAGTGATAGGTCCATCCTGCCCAAACTGTTCCTTGGTTTTGTGCACCTGACCGATAAAATCGATGAATCCCTCTCCGGTTTTTGGCACTCCTTGTTCAGGCCAGTCAGTGAATTGGAACTGTCGGATTGTTCGAGACTGACCATCCTGCATGAACAGTATTTGAGAATGTTTATCACAGATGGTGATATTTTTATTTACACCAATCTAATATGAAAAAAAGAAAAAGCCAAATATCCATAATATCTGCAAGAGGGAACCAACTGAAATAAACAGATTTGAGATAGAAAGTTCATTAAAATACAAAGAATGTACATTTAAAATACCATCATTACTTTTGTTTTACACTCAATGTACTGGATGTACGAGTCTCTTTAACGCTAATCGACACGATAAAATCGTCCCAGTGTTGGTGTGGAAGGAAGTGTAGTGAAGTGTTTTTTCAGACTATAAGTGCTGCTGTAAATGTTAATCACAAACTTGGCACCATGAACCCGGGCAGACAGAGGTCACCAAGGATTTTTTTGCATGGATTTTTTAAGCAAGCTTTCATCTGTGCAGCTTTGTTTTTAGCACTGCAGGTGTGCAACAGTAACATGGGTCGTCTCTTACTTAATTCCTTCCTTAGAACAGTTTGTTCTTCATTGGGCAGTTCCTCACTCCTTGCCATGTGAGGAACCCACAGTTGATCGTTCCACTTAGTTGCAGTTGAACATTTTTCAAGTGACCAACCATCACCTTTGCTAAAATAAAACTTAGCATAATTGCAGTTTGATAAGATGAAAAAAAGCTTATTGATTACCTATTTGGACATAGATGAACAAAACATTCTGTTATTTCACACTTACCCTGGCATCCGTTACTTTGAACTCCCGTAGGATGTATTGTGGCATGCTGTACTCAGCCATAGGATCCACTACAAAGTACTGATAGCGGGCAGAGCGCTCTGCTGGCCAGTACTGGTGGCACTTTTCCTAAAGAGAATTAAACAATAGGTCAGCAACACTAATCTTTTCATTGGTAGCCCCTTCCTTATGTATGTCACTTATAAACGGTTGAGGAACCATACCTCATTTATTGTGCTATTTCATACCTCATTTACTGTGACGAAATCTGTATTTGACATTTTATCATTTGAATAACCCAATGTGCCTCTGATTTAGTGAAGCATTACACTGTTGTAATACTTTTCAGTGTTTAGAAGCCAAGATAAAATCTGTTGTCAGGAGCACTAACCAAAATAATTTAGCAGTTGCTAACTAGCTTGAAAAAAAAATTAAGAAATGTGATCATGTACAGAGCTGTGAAACCACAGACATGATAAATATTTGAGTGGTAGCAAAGCCTGAATTTATATGCAAGCCAGCCATAGACATCTTGACTCCAAATTCATTACTTATTAGAAAGAAGCAAGTTTGTTTTTCCATTCACCAATTCCACCAAGATTCAGTACTAGTCATGTTAGTGACAAGTAAGGCTAACAAATGTGAGTATTGGATAACATTCGGAACCTGAACTTGTGACCAAAGAGTTGTGAATGAGGCACCTTAGCGGCTAAACAAAAATGTTGCGGATAGGAAGCAATATTCCACATAACTTGTAGAGATATTGGAAATATTACTTACTCGTCCCATTTCCCGCAGTTTCGTGAGCATGACTACAATGGTGGAATTGTGTTCCCACAACATGCGCCAGAAATCTTCAGTGGTCTCTGCCAGGGGTCCCTGTGTTGCAATATAAGCCTTTTGCTGTCTATAATATTGAAGAAAAATAAGGAAGGTTAGAAAAGAATAATCATCTCCAGTCTGAGTGTTTGCCACTTACTAGAAATAGAGAACAATGGGGGAAAATGAGGACTTAAGCAGAAGTACAGGACAGAGCAAGAATATGTTACCTAATGGAAGGTAGTAAAAGGCATTTATTGTTAATTTTACAATGACAATCACTCCAGTAGCGCTGCTATATTTCTGGTTTTATAGCATCACCATTTATTCAATCATTGTTTGCATTTTCTTCCAAAATAGTTCAAAGCTTTTAAAAAAAAACAAATGGTATATACATACGCTTTGTGTATTCTGAGGAGTTTATACCGTTTCTGACAGGAAATGGCTTGCGAATCCAAGACTCGGCCACCAGGTGGAGCAAGTGCTCTACGTGACACACTCCTCTTCAATCAGTATTCACCAAGCGCACGGGCAATGTTTTCCCTCGTTAATGGTATACAATTAATCTGTCTCGAAGGGTAGGCATCTCAAATAATCTGAACATGGACTCAGGCAACTTTCTGTGACATTCTAAATGATGATACAAATTGTAAAACCTGACTTCTGCTGAAAATGTAACCAAAGCTATGATTGAGACGAGCACGCCCCACAGATCTGAATTCGTATTAGATTGCGTAACGTTTCATTTGCGCAGCAAAAACACTACCTTTAATAAAGGATTGAAGGAAGAGGAAAAATGAACAGATTGAAGAAACGGGAATGGAAATAAGAAAGGAGAAAGGGCATTTACATTCCTTCCCAAGGAATTAAAAAGTCATGCAACAGGCACTGGTGCAGATTGGTAATTGCATAAAGGACAATTATTTACTGAGCAACACCATATTCCCACATTGCAGCAAATGCACCCATACCCTAGACAACAACAGTTAAAATGCTAAATCGGAGTTGGTACTGCGAGTTACAGTAATGAGGACCCTGCCTTGAGACAACCCAAAGATCTGTACTCTAATGAGAGATAATCCTGCCTGGCCCTGGTTTACCCTGTACCTGCCAGTGCAAAGCCTATATTGATGTACCACGATAGATAGAGAAGTGTACTGTAAGTGGTTTGCTGCCCTCCTCTATTATAATCATAATAATCTTATGTCGTTGACATGTCTCAAAACGCTTCACAGGATATACTGTGAAACGTATGTAGGCAAATGCCTTTTAAGGACTCAAACACTGTGGTTGTAAAGGAATATGATTGGGTAGTAGTAGAATCACAGCTTTTTAAGGAATTCATCATCGGCTATAATTATTAACAAAGCAGAAAACAGCTAGTAATTTTATTCATTAATTCTTTTAATCGGATCCTTCCAGTACTTTGCACTGAACACACTGAATGCCAATGTGTTAATCCATTGAAAGTATTTAACCCTGTTAGGTTTATTGCAAAGTTGTATACATTTGTATTGGACGTTCATGTTTACTGTAATATGTTTTTTTAATTTTTTTTTCTTACCGGATCATCAGCTGTCACTTGGAAGAAAACTCAGAATGGATGATTTTTTTAAAGCAATAAAATTTATGGAGCAAGCTGTCAGCCAGTCTACTGCAGCCTTGGAATACTGAACATAGTTACCTATATCCATCAATGAAGCTGGCATTGATGTAGTCCGAGCCTTCAACCCCTCGTATTGGCTGTAGGCAGACTCGGGTGGACTCATATGGCATGATGTTCACAAGCCGGTTCTTGAACTTGTTACAAGGGAGGTTGGCACTGATGAATCGTGAGGTATGTGCTTTGGAGTTTGCCAGGCGCTGAAAATAAACACATATGAGACATTTTACCAAAGAGCTACATTGTTCCGAATATTTCTACTGTTTTACTGAGTCTACGAATAAAAGATGGACGGGTAGCAATCAGAAGTTGTAATTAGACAAAAATAATCATTCTTGCCTCTGATAAACTACATACAACATCAAGAATGTCTCAAATATATTACCTTTCTGTATAGTGTGTGTATTTGTAGGCAAACACGGTAGCCAATTTATACACTGCAATGCTCCTCAAACATCTAGGAAGTGAATGTCCGATTTCATCTGGAGGATTGTTGGCCAAAAAAGCAGGAAGACCCTCCAAAAATAACACTCTCAATAGCACCCCAATGGAGAATCAGCCTGGATTATGAGCTTGATGTGGGGCTTGAATCCACAATCGTGTAACCCAGAGGCTAACACTCCCCAAAGCATGGAACAATATAAATAAGACGTACTGGATGAGAGAATTGTGGGATGCAGGTTCAGTAAACCAGCTCAGCCAATTTCCTGATCAATCACAATGCTGTTGAACAAGCCAAGTGGAAGCTTGGGTAGGGACCCCATTTAAGAGAGAAATGCACAGGAACAACAGGAGAGAATCAGCAGAATGCTCTCTCAGAAAGCTAGTTTGCAAGCAATATTAATCTAAAAATTAATAGATTCCTTTAATGCATTCTTCTGAACAAGGCTCATTTCAACAATTAACTTTCCACTTCTTCGCGGATGGTGGCAACTGTACTGACCTTGAATTCCAGCTCCATGGCTGTGACTGTCTCTGCTGGAGGAACCTGTGTGAGTTTCTGTATGTGGGCAAAGAGACTTCTTGCAGGAACCTCTGTGTTTCCGCATGTTGCGGCCTCGAGGAGAGCCTCATGAATGAAGATGTACTGATCCTCTGTCTGCACCATGTAATTCCGCTGTGCTCTCATGCAGGTGACGTGACCATATATATCAACAGTCTTCTCGTGCTTCATTCGTTCCAGCATTGCATCGATTACAACAAAGCAGCCAGTTCGGCCCACGCCAGCACTATGCACAAGGAAAGTACAATGATCAATTTTTTTATATATAAAAACTTCCTGTAAGAAGTTCAACCTCCAAATACAATTATGATATCCACAGGAAAAAAAACCACCTAAAATCATGAAAGTGTTTTCAATTCTAGAAATTCTTTACCTTGTGCAGGTAACAGCTAAGACTGTTACTGACTATGTAGAGAATCCTACTTTTGACTACAAATATATAGTCACTACATTTTACAATAAATTCCACAAAGCCCTTTAAGACATTTGGATGACCATGATAAGGCACGGGATCAAATGCAGGAAATATTAATTATTATTTGTTACAAAAATCACTTCACCTAACGGGCTGCACAACAAAACACAGATGAAAACTGTTTTCGATTGTATGTAGATGCTGAGTAAATGGAAAAGAATTGGAATTTTAGCAAGTAACTAAAATGATAGATTTTATTGCGAGTGGACAGTGGTCCGCGTTTTTCTGCAAAAAACGTACATTGATCAGATTTTGCAGATGGGGCAGAGGAGGCTACAGGGAAAAGAGAGAGCCTGCATGGATTATACTGAAATATTATACTGCCAGAATTTTCAGTTGTTTTATTTTTTCAACTAAGTGCTTCCCGCTAACATTGCAATATTTTAGCAGAGGCCTTTTAAGTACATTCCTGAATAATACATAGAAAAGGCATGTAGAGTTAACTGACCAACCTTTCCTTGTAAGATCTAATCTAGAATCGACACCAATTGCCATAATAGGTTGCTCTACACGCATCACCGCTCTACTGATTGACATGTACAATTCACCAAAGAACCCCTCTTTCTCTACCAACACATTGCCATTTGTGCTCCGAAAATATCTAGCACTTTGTATAATTATTCAGTGTCAGTAAAGCAAGGTTGAAACAACAATTTTTAATCCTGTCGCTCAAACTCTGCACTCCCAACTGGCGGAACCATTCCAACGGGTAGGCATGTGTTCTCACTGTTGGCAGAATGATGTGACAATACTCTCATGCATTTTAAGCCACTCCGTGCTGGGCACTAGGAAGCTCGCAGAGAGTTCCTGGCAACCCCCGGATAATTCGTTTAGTTTTAAATATTTCTTATGAAGAACTACAGAAAGCAGTTTCAAATTATCCACAAAAACCCAAATGATACATTTTACTTGCAGCGAATGCATTAGCTTGTACCAAGTTCTAAAACCATTCCAACTCTCTGTACCTGCAGTGCACCACCATTGGGCCGGCATCTGCGGGATTACAGGCTTTAACCCTCCTCAGAAAGGCCAGGATTGGAGTTGGATATTCTGGAACGCCGTGATCTGGCCAGGCCATGAACTGGAACTGACGCACCTCCCGTTTTTCACTTGAGCCATTCTGTAATGAGAAATGAACATCCAATTAGTATTTTTGACTGCAAGTTAAAGATCTTTTCTTTAAAGTTTATGGTCAAAGAACACAGAAAATGGAGGAGTCTCCTTCATCCATATTCAGGAGCTCCAATGAACATCATTTAATGTGCAGCAACTCATAAAGGCTAATATGAGTGAGACAGTCTTGGAGTCCTGTAGCTCAGTGGTTAGAGCACTCGCCTTGTAAGCGAGACACTTGGGTTCAATTCCAGGCAGAGGGCGAAACCTTGGGCAAGTTTCCTTACTCCACACAGAGCCTAATAATAATCCCTCCAAAAAAAAAATAATAAATTGGACTGTCTGTGGACACTGCTGCCATGTTTCGCCCACAAATGTACGGTCAATTCACTTTACAGCATATTCTGTGAAGCGCTTTGAGACGTCGAGAAGATGTGAAAAGCACTATATCAAAAGCAAAGGATTATTATTATTATTATTATTAGATGGAGAAGCGACAATTTGTTTGAGAACCTTTGACCAGTAGAAATTCACCTTGAGTTTTTAAATCAGCTGCACAGTGTTTGATTATGGGTTCAACAAAACATGCGCAGCATTTAAAACCTTTAAGAACTTCTTTTCATCTATATATATCTCATATAATATATTAGATATCATATATATAGCTATATACGACTTTTAAAAAAATATGCACACAAGCAACAGGATAATAGACAAACCTTGTATAGTGCAAATGTCCGGACAGAATATGTTGCTAGCTCCACGGTATCCAACAGAGAAACCTGAATCATTCCATATGTCTCTGTGCCACGGCATGGCCAGTATTGATCACATTTCACCTGTGGAAAAAACATCAAATGACTAAAAAAAAGGCAATAGGAAGAGGAAGCAGTGAAGAAGAGAGCTAGAAGGAAAGGTAGTTACCATTAAGCAACACAGCAGGTGATTCATAAATTCTCAGGACGTGTTTAGCTGCAAGATTAGGCCCTCAAAAAGAGACAGAACTCAAATTCATGCCCACAGTAATGGAAAGCAAGTATACTAACAGCTACAATAGTCATCGCTATAACTGTTAATGCACGTATTCCAAAAAATATGGAATGTTTTAATATTTAATCATATTGTCCGTGTACCTTTATATGTGAGTTGTCCTGGACGCACTTACCTACACAACATTTCAAATTAATAAACCGCCATTTTTGCAATGCATACTGTAGACTATGCATTTATTTGAGTTGGCTTAGTTTTTCTTTAAACAAAACAGACACACATTGAGTGAAATACTCCCTTATAATGGTGTCCCCAAGACACCAAAAAATTATTATTTGATAGAGAAACAAAAAGTCTAGAAACAAAGCATCATTTGATAGTGTTAACTGCAGTAATGGAAATGTCACCTTGTGTTTCACCAATTGCACTCAACCTGCTGCCAATTCTCAATACTCAGTGAGGGTTATGTTTCAGCCCCGATGTCCTTTTCAGTGTGCATGTGTGGGAGGTTTGGCAGATATAGTATGCATAAATTATGAGGGAGTTTTTTCTATTAAAAAGTGGAGTGGAAATCTTCAGCCTGCTGAGCAAGAGATTACTAATGCAGAATTTGTTTCATCTTCCTCACAGAAACTAATGAGTTCTAAAATCCTGCCACGTTTAGTTTCAATGCATTTTTATTACTACTGATAATAGGCACCTAAATAAACACAGAATTAAGTCTTCCTTTCCCCAATGCAAGATATTATTTACATTATTGCAAGTACTCTCAGTTGAGGCTCAGCAATAAAGCATTGACTCTCAAAGAGTTAAGGTTTAATAAATGCTCAACTCACTGTTATCTAATCCTGTGCTGTGGGAACCAGTACAAAGGAGCCCCACTGGCCTGCAGTGACAGAATGTTTGTAGCGTGATAGAAACTGCACCAGACAGCCTGCCTCACTCATACAGAAATAATTCTAGCCTGGAGAAAATAAGAGGTTTTTTTAAATTCCTGCAAAGCCAAAAGGGATCTGGAAGATCTGGAGCTGCAGGACTGAAGGCTTTGATTTTATTGCTTTGGTACAGCTGCAAGATCCACCTTTGCCTGTTTGTTCTGGGCAGCAAATTATAAATTAAGGAAGCTTTTTAGTTTTAACTTACATTTGTGTTAATAAACAATCTCAAAGCAAGTAAATATGTAAAATGCCAGGGTCACCAGCTGTATTTTAGGAGAGGGATAGGCATTCTCCCACAGAACTAATTGTTTTGAAATCTGATGCACCAAAAATGGAAATTTCTTATTTAGGTACTACCAGTTTCTGCCGCACGATATCACTAGAATACCACGCACAGTTTTGGTAATGCAGAATATTGGGAAAAAATTAATAACATTGAAGTAACATTTAAAAGAGAATGCAACTCTCCTCTGTTTACAAAGTAAAATCTTCAAAATTACCCTAAACTAGAATTACTTTAACCAAAAAATACAGATTAGAAAAAAAAATACAGTATTGTGCTTCCAATCAGATGGTGATCAACCAATCCTTTCAAACATTTCTAAAGCCCAATCTCTTTATTTGTGAGAGCCTAGATGAAAGTTCAAGACATGCAATACAGTGTTATGTTTGAAAAGGTGTAAATAACAAAAGAAGTCACGCACAAAATTAAATATTGATAATATTTCATAGGTTACGAGTAGAATTTGAAGCAGGGAAAGAGAAAAGAGATTAAATAATATTTCAAAAAGAGCTGTTCGGTACCCAAATGTCATGGCTACTTTATTCCAATGTTAATTATGATAGAGCAATTTTACTGTCATTTTTAGTGCATTTGAAATTTTGTATGTGCTTCTTGAAAGAAAAAATATACATTTTATAATAGGAATTTATCGAAAACAAGCAATTTAGACGCAGTGAAAACTGAAGAATTCTTTATCGAGAAGAATACAGTTTTTCAATTGGTATCAATATCTGAAATGTAGTAAACTCCTTTGCTAGAAAGGGAAAACAAGAAACTCAAAGTCGCTGCGAGGTTCACTACAAAAATGAGCATGTAAAGTAACAGCCAATTCCTGGGGAGGTTTGCATGGCTTTTTTCCTGCCACATGAGGTAACTGTATAAATCACAAGGGACTTTGTTGCTCAGGATCATTGTTGGCTTGATAAGTGGAAATAAAATAAAAATATCATCTTAGAGGCATCCATGAAATATTTGGTTTCGAAAATTTATACCATTAATTACTAAAAAAAAGTATTTGGGGATGAATTTAATCCGTTTTCTTTTGAGTAGATTCTGAGGTGCTGAAGTGATAAATTGCACTAAATCCTAATAAATTTAGCAAACTCAAATTAAGTTAAAAATCATTTTTTTAATATGTCTCACCAGTTGTGTATTGAATCAGGTGCTAACGTGCCACCACATAAATATTCAGAATACAATTGAGACTGAAAAAAGATTCAGTAGAATAAAATATTTTTTTTAAAAAAAGTTAAAAAAAACAAGGTACCCAGTTGAACGTTTAAACCCTTTTACCACTGATTCAAATTGTTGGACTTCACCTGTATGTTAATCAGTGTGTGTGGGGGGCTGGTGGGGAGAGGGTGGCAGGGGATTAAAACATCGGTTATGCTCGGTACCCGTTTATGATCCAATGATTCCAGCAGTGTGTATGTGTATGAGTGAGTGAGTGAATGAGAGAGAGAGAGATGGTTTAGGTCAGTGCCCTACATAATCAAATAACCTGCTGAGGTTTACTGGTCAGGCTTACACATAGTGATTGACCACTTGAATGACACCTGTGAGATGATACTTCAGGTTGGATCAGCACTTTCAAGAGACAAAAGAAAGAAACTGGTACCCCTTCCCCTCACCCACCCGCCATGTTCTCCTCCTTAAGAAATAATAGTTAATGACAGTTGAATAGTCTAGATTGCTACAAAGAACCCCAACTGTCCTGCTGTACTTTCTAACCCCTGTTGGGCAACCTGCATGGAAACCAATTACTGCTATTGTGCCTCTGAGAATTATATCCGTTCCCTAATAGCCTAATTCTTTCAAGTAGAACAGTCCATTGAGGGCAAGAACAAGAAAGAGCTAAAACGATTAAAGGTGTACGAAACTAACATCTCGTTTTAATATGGCATCTATTGCTTGTCATAATGTAAAAGGATTCTGGATTTAAGTTTAATCTGCCAGAGCACTGAGACTTTCCTACAGGTTTCACAACTTCTTGTGAAACATTCAAAAATGTTCTCAAATGTTCTACCGAATTTGAACCAATACTGTACTGTCAAAATGAATACCCAATGCAAATATGAATATTCTCTATTTCAATTAATTTCTGTTTCTGTCACTTAGTTTTCGATTACATTTATACTGATACATGGTCACAGATGAGTTTTTTTGATACAGTAATTCAGTGTATGCACATAAAGCTAACAAGATCGGCAACAAATTAAAGGTAGAGAGCTTGCACCAGCAGAACCTGCTCAGGTATTAAGTATGAATACGGTTCTTCCACAAAAAAACTGTTTCTCCTTTACTTTCCAGACAATCTGGAGTTCAAGATGTGTGCAAGCGAGGATATAAATGACAGTAGGTCAGTTGCTTCAAATCATAAGAAACACAGAAATCTACAGTCTAGAAGGAGGCCATTCGGCCCATCAAGTCTGCATTGGCTCACGTAGCAAGCAGATCACTTCAATCCCACCGGCCCGCCTTATTGCCATACCCCTTCATGCTCCTCTCTTTCATATGCCATCATCTCCTTCCCTCTTGAAAGCTACAATGGACTTTGTCTCCACCACCCTACTTGGCAGGGCATTCCACATCCTGATGACTTTCCGGGTAAATAAAAATTCCTCCTAAGTTCTCCTTTTGCTATTCTTGTATCTGTCTTATAACTATGACCCTAGTTACACACTACCCAATCAATGGAACCTTTGTGGAGCTCAAAATATTTTTTCTTGCAGCACAACACAATCTATATTTGTAGTGTTGGCTTTTTTCACCCATCCACATGCTTCACTGAAATCCCACAGACAACACTGGGTGCTATTTCTAAAGGTCTCACCATCATAGAACCACAATTAAAAGATTTGCTTTGTTCAGAAGAAAGCTTTGCAAGTGAAACCCTTGGCAATTCTGCATGATTGATTGGTATTTTAACTTCACAGAGAAAATCACTCAGACATATCATGAACAGAGACAACCTAATGTTCTGGCAATGCACAGAACATTTAGGATTCGGAAGAGTTAACTCTTGAAGAACTCCTACAAATTGTTAAATCTGCAGGAAAAGACTCATCAGGTTTTATGTTTCCCCTTCAAGTGTGAGGAGTTAAACAGACAGCTTAATGTCGAATCAATAAAGCAACACTTTCTAATTGAAATGTAGTTCAGCTATGATGTTCGTCAGTCTGAATGCTGTGTCAGTGAAAAGGGAAAGACCTTTCCTACTAGGCAAGGCATATCCTAAACTTTTTCCTCTCCTCTCTGAACTGATTCTTAATGTGAAACCATTACCCTGTTTACAACAATTCCCTTGTGTGAGCCAGTTCAACTGATGCATCTACGAACTGAGCAAGAAAGCACAAGGCCAACCTTTGAGGAAATCTAGCTTCATTCAGGCTCACCATCACAAATGTTGAAAATAAGCACTGCTGGGTGTTTCCGGACTGTACTAAAACCCAAGTAAAGAACAAGTTGGGTTTTCCAAGATTATCTGTTTTAATGATATGGAAGAAAACGTTGGTGACCAGCCATATTTATTGTAGGAGACTATGGACAGAACGTTTGTCAAAGTGATTTGAAAACTTGCACAACAGAAAAGCGTACTCTTTCAATCGATGTTGGGCCAAAAAANCATTTTGAGCATTTATTTTATTGCTGGGGTTAATGGGGTCAGAAATTTCTGCCGGCACAGGTTATGAGTGAAAGGACATATTCACATTTCAAGATTCCTTTCCCATCTCACAAGTTTTCCAAACGCAATCTCCCATTGAGGTCAAACATGAAAAGACTGATCAACTTTGCCAAACATTGATTAGTATGAGGCTTCAATGGCTCACAAATATACGTTTGAAGTGGTTTGGTTTCTTTCATGATATATTGACCAGACTGCAACATTTTGCATTTGGCAACCAGATCTTGATGTCTGGGTGCTCTGAAACACTCAGATCTCTGGAAATAAAATATATGCATCTTCAACCTTACACGAACCTTCCATCAATATGCAGTTGCAACTACCTTATGTGACTTTCCAGATTACTGGATGCAAACATTTATTTTTGTGTCAGGTTTATAGACCAATTCTGACTGGTTCTGAGACTTTTACTGCTTTGAGACTCGTACTTCACTATAATTGGTCTGCACACTGCCACAAACTGTTAGTTTTAGTTCTGTTGCTGAAGAAAAACTCATCCACAAAGATTCATGTTGTAATGATTAGCAAAGACACTGTATATTTCAAACAATATTCATCAACTGGCAATGGTTGGAAATAACATTATTATTAATATTGCAATTCTATCAACAAAACTGCCATTTCTAAATTACTTATTTGATTTTGATCTTAAGCGGAGCAGAGAAATATTCCATTAATTATTTTCAATATGAAGCACTGGATAGACCAGTTGCAACTTAACTCATACCACACTGTCATGCAGCACAATGAAGAAGATCACCAATCTGCTCACCAAAGTTACAACATAGAACCCAGCGATGGGTGTCTGAGGCACTCTTGAAGTGAGCAAATAATAGAATCTGGTGGAAAGGCTTCAAGCTACAATGATGTGTTTAGTTGCAGAATGTAGAAAGAAGTCACAGCACTACCATTAATCAAATATTGTTTTACAACATCAGTGAGAGAAATTGTTTTAATTGCAAATCAAATATTGGGGTGATTTTTCTTTAAAGCCCACACTATGTGAAGGTGAAAGTGTACAGATCGTTAGGACTCCCGCATGGGTCTATCTGACCAACGGGGATGGGTTTGGTGACTTGATGGGCTCCCAGAAAAGAGACTCAAGAGTCAAATTGCAGACTTTTCCTCTGGGCTGCACACACATATGTGCGATTGCGTGTATGTGGAGGGTGGGGGCTGAGGAGAATCCTCCCTGCATTATTCAAAAACTTCTAGAAGAGCAAATTAAGGAAATATTATAAAGTACCATAAAACGAAGCACATGCTGGTGTACAATGGCTGATGACAACTGATGTTTGTTAAAATTTTGAATCCATTGATGCTATCAGACAAATCAGCAACTGATTAATAGCATCTCTGAACTCCAGATAATAATTTCCAGGGTTTAAAGGCTGTATTTATTTTACTGTTGCAAATGCAATTACGTCTACTATAGGATATCAACCATTTACTTCCTGATGAGTTCTAATTAGCTGAACCTGCAAATTTCTATTTCAGCTTCGTCATCTGGCTTGTACGTATTTCAATTGTGATGTTTTGTTCTTTTTCAATGTAATTTTTATCACCATGGGACAACAATGACTTTTCTCTGTAGTGCCCTGCAGCAGGCAGTAGGAGTGACCTTGCCCTATCCCCTTGTAGCTTTTGGTGTGACAGCTAATTTGGAAAACCATTGTTATACCAATGAAAAAATAACCTTCAAATGTGTCTTACATCTTTGCAAACTCAGGTGCTGAATTAAATATTTTGTGCGTGGGAATAGTAGTTTCTTTCTTGAGCTTTCCATAAAGGAAAGCAAAAAAGCTAAGAAGCTGGTTAGCAATCTTTTTCATTTGTATGAAGTTTTTTTTATTTTTGATAGTTGGAAGGATTTTGGAATCCAACACGAGCATCATTTGATACCTGTCAAAGCACAGACCATGCGAGATAATGAAGGCAGTGAGTACTGCAATTATGCTGAGTGAATATGGACAGTAATAGGAGGCAGAATGACAAAAAAAATGAAGCTTGTATTGTCTCAGATCTTATGAGAGTTTCCACTTTATATAGTTGAGAAAAGTACCTCTTGTGTTCGAAGTTTATGAAATTTCACCAATGCGGCAGATTTTGTTTTAAAAAGTACACTCTCCTCAACTGATGTGAGATTACTTTTCAGTAAATGTTCCAATACATCAGCAGCACTTGCAATCATTTTCATCAACTAGCTTTTAAAATAGTGATAAAGAATACTGTTGTATACGTAATCTGTTGAATCTAAATTATGGTCGGATATCTACAGGATTGGCAGGTCATACATTCTGAGCAAGTATTCCGCATGTAGCGCAATGATGATGTTTCAGGTCTACGTCATACCAAAAGATGATCTTCAAAGGTATTTACACACACATGGCCTTCTGGAAGCCAGGAAGATGTATACCTTCTCCCCCACACACAACTGCAGTATTCTTACCCTTGATTTTTCCTCCAATCTTGTCATCATGACTAAGGTGGCAGTCCTTTGCTCCCAGACCATTCGCCAAAAGTCACTGAGTGTTTCTGGTAGTGGGCCCTGTGTCGCAATGTAGGCATTCTGTTTCCTGTATCCATCAATGTAATTGGCATTGAGGTAGTCACTGCCTGGTACTCCTGAGGGATCATACAACACTGGTTAAAATGGGTTTGACAATATCCAGTGAAGCATTCCTACTACTATTTCAAAATAAAGTGGATTTTTAAAAAAAAAACTTTTTTTTAAAAGAAAAAGTTATCCTGGTTTATATTCCATCCTCACCCAGCCAGTTATCTTGCTTGCAGGATGGTGTTTGCAGGATGGTGCCATAACAAGTTAACTGCTTACATAAAAGTACTCACTTAATTTCTGATGAATGTCATTCTGTAAAGTGCTTTAATGAGCCATTCGTTTTACATAAATGCCATGATAAAACTAAGTTGTTGTTGTTCTTGGAAGCAGAAATGCACAATTGTGAAGGAGAGATATCGACCATGCCAGCCAGGTTGGCCAGATAGAAAATAGCCACTTTGCTACTCATCTGAAAGCTTTGCGCAAAAATGAGCAGCTTTTGGCATAGTTTTCTGTCACAGACACAAATTATAGCACAACAAAACTATCAAAAAGCACAGTAACGCGCAGGATTCTACTTCCATTTAATTACGGAATGTTGTACGTCCAAGAGAACGAACGGAGCTTCGTAACATGTAAACTTTCACTTTGCAACAGCTGTTTTGGCAGCAAAAGAGTAAAGAAAACAGTAAGGGAAGCTTGGCACAGGAGGCCATCCGGAGCAGCACCCCTGGAAAAGAACCTACTCATTGCAATGCAAAGCCAATCAACCAGCAGGAAAATTGCTTACTTTAAAAAGAAATCTAAATTTTTTAAAGAAAAAAAATAAAGGTCAAAGAAAGGCAGCGGAAATTAAATATCCTATTACATGCTGTAGGATCGAAAGCTAATGTTGCAGAGCATTCCTCTTTAATAATGCAAAGAGATGGGCATTAATCAGGGTGGGAGCAGGCAACTTTCCCAGCAGCTCAAGTCAATTAAATGTTGCTGCTGGACAAATTAAAACTGCAACTGCTACTTCCTAGGGGACAAATAAAGCTCATGTAATTAGTGTTAAAAAACCTCCATAAGTGTACTTGTATTATGCAGCTAATAATTGATATCAGTTGAGGACGAAGAATTGCTGATGTATAAATGAATATATTAGGGACTGGATAAGATTGTATTCAAGCTAGTGGAGTTGCAATGTATTGTTTTCGTTAATTCCCATCATACAGAAGTTCTTTCCTAAGCACAATTTTGGTTAAAGTACATTAACAATTTTGTGGCTAATTAGTTTTGCATTTATCAGTATCATTACTGCTGCTAGGTCACTGTCTGAACTGATCCCCACAGCATATAACTGATGAAATTTTGTACTCGCAGTTGACTTACAGCCAGTTTAACTATTTTAAGAAAAGCCTTGTGCTAACCAGCCCAGTTGCACAGGTCACAATGCTAACTAGATAGGTATGGATTGTCTCAAGTCTGAGCATCAGATAAAGCCTCCTGGCATTATTAGCATCAGTCTCTGGGATATAAAGCCAGAGACTCTATTTATGGCTTTGTCCACCTGTAGTGCTGCTAATTGGGCCAAATGGCCTATTTCCATGCCTTATTACTCTCTATGTAACCTGGTGTAAAGAATAAGAATGGTGAACCTAGATCCAGTAGAGATTCGCCCCAAAATATGGAATCCATCACCAATTTGCTGGATTAAATTTCCAGGCCGAGTTTGATCTAGACTGACAGATAAAAAGTAAACATGCAAGTCCATTACATTGAAGTGGGGAAGGACAGCACTCGTCTCAATCAAATTGTGGTGGTCTGACTGCTGCTTACATATGCTACTCAGAAGGTAATGTTTTGCCAACTGTAAAGAAGGCTAGTTTCTGGAATGACAGCCTCCCAAAGATGAGAAAGGGTAGGAGGAAGGACAGAAACAACCCGAGTAATCAGTTTCCTCCCTTCCCCCAGCAAGCTTTCTTGTTAGCAAAATGCATTCTGACTATGTTACATTGTTAATTACACAATTCTTTGCCTATCCTCTCTCTCATCATCATTTTTTGGTTTGTACTAATTGAATTGTAAAGGTTGCTATGCAAACTAAATCGGAAGAAATGCCAAATTCATTTCAACTTGAACCATTAACAGTCTTTTGGGACGCCAGCCCTTTTGCCTAGACTGGATTCAAATCCAAATCACATAAATGCAGACCACAGTTCTAAACCCCTCCACTAAAGTCAACAAAGAAGTGGGTTCTTCCGTGCCCTCTCTTTATTCAATGTCTCTGGTGGAGAAAGGCCAGTGATTTAAAATAATGCACGTCCAATTCCCCTTTACATAATAAATCATGAGAGCAAGTCAGATGGCTACAAGCAACAGCAGCAGCAAAGAGAGAGACAGAGAGGGAGAGAGAGATGAAGAGATAGAAATACTTTGTTGCAGGTCCACTGCAAAAGAAATGGTTCATTTTCTGAATGAGTGTGAAAGATTCATGTAGATGGACATCATCTATTAGTTAGGTCGGCTTTCAAATACACTCCGAAACAAATTACATTATGTGGATCATTAAAAAATTAACTTCAGTTGTTTTGTTATTTTTGTTATCATAAAAATAGTAAAAAATTTCATACACCTCCATAGTAAAAATTTCATACATGAGTAGACCATTGGACATATCATTGCAATACACATAGCTACAATTCCTTTTAATTTCTAGGAATTTGTCTAATGCCAACGTTTTGTACTATTAGTTTGTCCAGCACCTTGGGACATCCTCCTGAAGTGAAATGTGCTATACAACTATAATTTGTCGGTGCTATTGTTGTTCCACACATCTTTCAGCCTTTTATTAAAAATAAATGTCCCTATACTTATTGCTTTTGTTGTCCTTATTTTGAAGCCACTGTAGTTGAGTTTGTTCTTCCTCTGTGGAGCCAATAATGCCCACACAATAAATTGCCCTAATGGACCAGGTTATTTTGTTCATAATTTAGTGCAGTCAGAGTAATTTAAAGATTTATAACTATACTTGCCATCGACAGAAGTCAGGATAACTCTAGAGTGGTCATATGCAATGACATTGGCATATCGGTTTTTCGGTTTGTTGACTTCCATGTTAGAATTTTCCCAGGTGAATTGCTGACCAGGATCAATGGACTGAAAGAGATGAGATAAAGGCACATTTAAAAGTTAAAAGAAAAGATTACAGAGTATAATCAATACCCAGGACTGATTACAAGGCAGCAATCCCAAAGGGTTCAGATAAAGTCAAACTGCACGTGTGAAGCTTGAGCAATTCGTAAATTGTGGGATGAGAGATTCTCATGCCATGAAGTGTTGCAGCATTGATTATATTGTGCTAACAGCATCGTTCAGCGGGCAAAGTGGTGTTTTAATCCACATAGCTACTCAGTGCCCCTCCTGCTTACTGTTCTCTTGAAAGATTAGCTAAAAACAAGACTTATCAAGTTTAAGCAAGGAATTGCCAATGTATTTATATATCAACGTATTTCGCCCACACATACAGTCAATTCACTTTACAGAATATTCTGTGAAGCGCTTTGAGACGTCTCGAAGATGTGAAAAGCGCTATATCAAATGTAAGGATTATTATTATTCACCGACAAAATATCAGACGTCAAAATGCTGGGAATTTTAATCATTTCTTCTGTCACCAAAAATGGCAAGCAGATGGATGCAGCACCAGGTAAATAATAGTAGGCTCTACTTGATGGTAAAATCATCGGATACAACAACCGCTTTCTGCTGAGGATAATCATGGCAAGAAAACAAAATGTTAACCTAGATCCAGAGGAAACTAGCAAAGTGCAGAGTATATCACAAGCACAGGAAAGTTAATCCAAAGGTCATGCCAGAGATTCTCTTCCCCTCCCAAAATAATCTGTTACTTGTTAACACACGTTCTTATTTTTTCACAACAGTAGTCTATGTTTTTGATTGGCCAATGGGAGGTTGAAGTTCTCACTATCCCCCAATTCTTTTGCTTGCTTAAATTGAGTTGGGTTTTGTAAGTTTGATAACAGGCAACTGGACAGAATTGCAGTATGATAAGGCTAATTCTGTTTCAACTGTTTCTCCAAATGGGAGATATCATGAAATTTATTTCCTGCCAGTCAATCAGATCAGAGCTGTCTTGGGAAAAATTATCCTGAACACTGCTGTGCGCAATTGGCTGCCGTGTTTCGCTCAGAAATATATAGTCAATTTACTTTACAGTATATTCTATGAAGCGCTTTGAGACATCTAGAAGATGTGATAAGGCGCTATATCAAATGCAAGGATTATTATTCTTACCACTTCCCTCCCTCCTGGCTATACTATGAAACAAAGAGGCAGAAGAAAACATTTGTGCATTGATTGATACTGAAGAGGATATCGAAGCTGCTGGCAAAAGGCAAAATACTGCAGATGCTGGAAATCTGAAATAAAAACAGAAATTGCTGGGAACACGCAGCAGGTCAGGCAGTGTCTATGGAGAGAAGAAAGTGAGTTAACGTTTCAGGTCATTGAGCTTTCGCCAGAACCCCTATTCTTGTGGATGCTCGGTGGTCAGTTTTAGGCACATTGGTAGAGGATTGAGAACATGTCCTGATCTATCCAGAAATGGCATATGGTGCAAGAAAACGAAGAAGAATAGCGCTCACTAAAAAGCAGATTTCAGCTCAAAAACACTGCTCATAATTTCAACCTTTTGAAACCTTCCCATTTGACATGACCAATTGCTGTCTTTCACACAACTCTCCAACTTTGCTTTCCAATAATATCAAAAGACACATGGGTGTACAACATTTTGCCATTAAATTATTTCAAAATGTATCGGAAGTTTTTTTTAATGTACTTAAGCTACAGAAATTAGGCATTTGTGAATTGGAACTAAGGAAGTGAAGAGAAGATGCACTGCTCCGAATAGTTCTTTGACATCCTGATCTTTTTGTAGGTCCAATTAGTGTCCAGTTAACTGCTGTCACACAGAGCTGAACTAATGGCTTAAAAGGATTCAACTCCCCACCAGACCACAGCAAATCCTTCACTTTTAGTTGCAATTTGTGTTTAACTGTTTTGTCCACAAAACACACGGTCAATCCACTTTACAGTGTATTCTATGAAGAGCTTTCAGATGCATCAATGACATGATAAGGCGATATATCAAATGCAAAGCTTATTATTATTAACTGTAATCTTCAGGCATTAAACCAAACAAAATTAACCTTTTGGGGCAAAACAAAAAGCTAGATTTTAGTTGTCTTGTATGTATGAAAGCCCTCTAGAGCAGAATCTCCCACTCTAGTTACTGAGAACTCACAATATTTTCTGCTAGTTTTGGGCACCGTAATTTCTCCCTGGGATGGAGTGAGGGAACAGAATCAGTGAGATGGAAAGGCATCTCCTAATACCCTAAATGTCTGTGTGTTAGCATGTATTAGGAGACTAGATAAACCTGTGCAGCTTGCCAGTAAGCTTCCTGATATTTGTCCAGTTAAGACCACCTTATCTATCTGTAAGGCCTTTGGATCGCAAGGTTATCAAGAGCCAGGTGGTAAAAATTCCCCCCTGAAGTCTACTCCCCCGGCCCACAATTGCCCAAAGTAATTGGCTATTCAGTGGTTGCTTCAAATAATGGTTGCTGCACTGGAGAGTACAAAAACAGTCACTATGTTAACATGAAGCCCTGAGACATTGACAAGGCAAAGAGCAATATATTTGCAAAATCTTTCTTTTAAGTCAAAAGAAGAAATTTGGGAGGGAGAAGGAAAGACACTGCAAGGAACAGCTGAGTAGTTCAAATAAGACATAAAAATGCAAGCAAACAACAGAATTAAAATCATGTGCACTGGTGGGAGAAATGTGTTGTTTCCCCTTCCACTTTATTCTGCTTCTGATGAGATGCTCATCAGGTCTTTGCCTCTGGCTTCCCATCACTGATTCATTCAATGTGATTTATGAGGCATGATTGGCAAAAAAACCTCCCGTAGCTTTGCATTTAATCATGTTCTGAGATTTCTACCACAGCAGGCACTTAAAATTTATTCCATCACTTTGCATGACAAGTGAGGTTTTGTTGTCCACTGATAATTTTTGCTAACTTGTGTGAAACAATACCTACAAAGTCTACAATTTAGTGGTTAGCAGATTTGAAATCAATTTCCTCGAACAGCGAACATCGGGCTTTTACTTGCAAATTTCTCCCCTTAAAGTGAGTGAGACTCTAGCTTACCTAGACCTAGAATAATACCTCTGAACTTCTGCTCGTCGACATGGCTTCAAGATAAACTAGGTGGTGCATCTTTCATTTGAATCAAGCAAGAAGTTATTAGTATACACAATGAAGAATGTGTGTCCTCTGCCTCATGCCAAGTGCAATTATATCTATAATTCTTGTGCTTGTTGGAATATGGGGCATGGTCCTTGATTCTTTTATGTTATTCTGCCATTTTTCCTTTAGAGATATACCACTGACAAGTAGGGAGTGAGCAGTGCAGTAGTAGTGATGTATCTTCGTGTTGCTACCAAGATGATTTACCAGTTTGCCATATAGGGGATCCTTGGTTTCTGAGGAATTGTACACAATTGGGAGCTGATTGGGATTGGATTGCACAAAGCTCAAAGAGGTAACGAATATAGAAAATCTGATTTTAAAACTCAACTGCTGCCTATAAAAGCATTTTTGCTCAGATTTAAGATTTGCACAAATGGAATACAGCAGATAATGTAACTATGATCTCCTTTCACCTATTTTGTGAAGGATAACACAGCTAGGAAAATGTACGAACACACCTCAGGGTTCAGTTGAATTAGCGACTTGAAACATTGCTCACTACATGCCCAGCAGGCAATGGAGTCTGAAGAGATCACAAACCAGTTAGTCTGAATCATTGGAGATGTGCTGGAGTCTTTTTAAAAAGTAGGAATATATATACTAGTTTTCCAATTGTTATACGACAGGCATACTACAACTGCTGATCTATTCTCATATCAGAATGCAAGTCTTGAGCAGTCTGCTATAGGACGGACTTAAACCACACATTATGGCCTATTCACCTGAAAAATTTAATAATCTTACCATTAATATGAATGGGCATTATATACAACTGGGAGCTGATTCGGATTGGATTGCACAAAGACAATAAGTAGGTAATGAATACAGAATGTCTGATTTTAAAGCTCAGCTGCTGTCTACAAAAGCTTTATTATGCAGATTTAGGATATTAAAAAGTATTGCACTAGAAACAAATGGAGTACCACAGATAGTGTAACTATGATCTCCTTTTGCCTATTTTATGAACCAGGAAAACGTAGGAACACACCTCAGGGTGCATCAGTGACTTGAATCATTGCTCACTAAATGCAAGAAGGAAACATTATACCAAAATAGATTACAGTGCATTAATGTCAAATAAAGTAGTGTAAAACCGGATTTCTGTCTTTCCACTGTAAGATTCATGCTGCAATGTGATTGAATTTTATTTTATAAAACCTTGAAACAAAACTATATGCATATTACATGTGTTATTTTTGTTGTGTTTGTATAATTTCAAAGTCTTTTTAAATAGACCAATTGCCTCATGAGTAGGCTGGATGTAATATTTATACAAAAGAGAAGAAAGATCACCCTGTAATATGTGTGGAAATAAATTTGGATGGGAATTTTATTTCTTCAACAGGCATTTAGGTAAAATGCTATTTCTATCCCAAAGTAAGTTTGAATCATATTTTGAAGTTAATTAGGAGAAGCCCTGTAGTGTATCTGACCAAGAAGTGATTCTGACAGGAGGTACAAAGAAATGTTCCATTCGTAACACTGTCGATTCCAACACCTAGAATGAACCCAAATATGTAAAGTGAAAAACAAAAGGATATTGATTGCCCAGCCATATGTAAAAAAATGCATTGTTCCCATTGCTCAACCCACCTCGTACTCCTGTGAGAACTTCAGATTATCATTAGCCTTTAGCCTTTCAATGTTGTCAGCAAGATCTGTGATAGGGATCGGTGGATGATCTCTCATGCCTACCCAAACAGAAATGAAAAAAGTCAGTGCAGTCAGTACATAATACAAGGAATAGATTTTTAAAAATAAATAAATAAATGTATTAAAAGCACATGTGGAAAGGTTGGTTATGTGTGACATTACCAAAAGGATGGCTGGAGAAAAAATATATCATGCGCCACAAGTCGTGGATTTTCTTTTAAAACTGCACGATTCAAACATTTCTCTGGTGAGCATGCTCAGATGCAACAGTCACTGATTCACATGGCACAGTTTCGAAGCAGCCCATATGCAGTTACAGAGACATAAAAGTGATGGCAAAGACAGATTGGAATGAGGAGGTAAAACTGTGAAACTGTTAAAAATGCAGCATCCCATTTTCTGTAATCTACACAGGCCAAGCTCAATAATCATATGTATAGTGCATACTTCTATTTGAAGGAGAAAGGAGCAGAATCAAATATCATGAGTACATGAATAAAATTTATTCCTTACTTTCTCCTCCTGAAGTAGTAATCGTTCAAAGGAGGAGAGGATTTACGCCCTCTCTTCAGTTACTATTTAATTGTTAAACAGGCTAGGATTAACATTCCTTTCTCCAGAGTGCTTCATGTTGAGCTATTAGCCTTTTAATGCACAATATCATTATTAAAAGATTATTTGATTCATTATAAAATGGGAAAAATACTTTTAAGGCAGCCCAAATTGATTTTTCTTGGTCCTTGAAAAGGTGGGGAAAAGGTGCAATAGCTCAAAATGCATTTACCACATTGACAATCTTCCCAGTTCAATTTAGTTTAAAATATTTATAAATCTAGGTATTCAAAGTATTCTCAAGAACCAGCAGCAATCGATTAGTTACTTCATTTTGTGATTTTGGTTTTATGCAACTTTCACAAAATCCCTCAGGGTCACAGGGTCATGTAGCAATCAATAATTATTCCTGTATGTGTAAGTTTAACCAAAAACTTTCAAAATAAAGGCTTACAAACACTGCTTGCAAGCTACCAGAATTTAAATGTAATTTTTCATCCAGATTGTATTATATATGACTATTCAATATGCTGGAATTATTGCCAGCATTATCCTACGCTTGTTTCAACACTCAAAAATAATGTCAATGACAATAGACGTGTTGCTTTCAGAAGCCAACACTCTCAGATGTCTGCATAGATCTGAGCGATTTCAGTACTTGGTGATGTTATTTACAAAGTATGCTGCTCTTCTAGAGGGCAGCACTTTTACATTTTCCACAAAGGAATGCTAGTGGTATTTAGGTCTTGGGTGCAAGTGCCCCAAATTTCCGTATCATCATTTTGGACAAATAGTGGTTCCTGATTAATGGCTGTTGTGTGGATGATATTTAAGTCAGGCATTTATTGATTACAAACTGAAGTATAAAAAAATGAAATATAAAACTCATATCAACTGGTAGTTTGTAAGAGATTGATGTTAATCTTGCTGGCAATACCATGCTGGAAAGGAGGGGGAGGGGAGGGAAAGGGAAATGGATATCTAACTCATTGCTTAAAATAGCAACGGTACGGTGCAAGTATCTAGCAACATAGAAAAAGATTGCTAATTTTAGCAATAGGTTTAAGCTAGGCTTCAGGGAGTCAATTTCTAATGAGATTCAGACCGAGAACTCCACAGGAACAAAAAGCATTTTACTCGGAAATAGAGCTAAATTCGAAACTACTTATGCCCATCCAACTTTCTTCCTTTCACTAACAAAGTGGCCATTCTTCATGTGTGAACCTGGACGGAGTTATTTAACCACAGAGAAGGGGGCATCACCAGCCAAGCCTGTTGTGACCTCATCCAACATCAAACATGGATGGATAATTGGATACCAATCACGAGCGAGAATCCAACTAAATGTTTCTCCACCATAGCCCAGAGGCATTGTAGCCAATTATAATATTCCTACCACTGTGCCCAAAGAATCACCTAATTCACCAGACTCAAAGAACCTGGGACTTTCCAGACCAGTTTAGCTCAGCTCATTGTGACAGTGGGTTTGTTAATTGAGCCATCAGGAAGTAGCTATTTTGTTAAATAAGTTGGTGCAGTAATATTATTCTATTTCTAGATATCTTTAGCATATTCTACAAGGATGAAATGATCTAAAGCTACAATTTTGCTCACCCGCTGCATTCAAAACTCAAGAGTTGATGACGTAATAAGCACGAAAGTTTCAGGTACAAGAATCCCCAAACTGAGGGATAACATTCTTAAACATTTCTGAGCTCCAATATCGAACTGCAGGATTCAGGGCTTTCTGCCCTTAATTTCCAAAAGAGGAATTTTTGATCTTGGCCAAACTATCGGGATATATTGAAAACAAAGCTTGATACTTTCCCAATGAAGCAAATCACATGACCAAAATAGTCATGGTTGACCTGGAAACACAATACCAAATGTTTTTTTGTTCGATATTAATGAGATGGCTTCCAGAATACATTTTGCTGTACGGAGATAATAATAATAATCCTGGCATTTGATATAGAACCTCATCACGTCATCGAGACATCTCAAAGGGCTTCACAGAATATACTGTAAAGTGGATGGACTGTGTATTTTGTGGGCGAATGTGGCAGCCAATTCGCACACAGCAATTTCCCACAAATCTCAGGTTGTTGATCAGCCCAATAAACGCTTGGTCTTCCCCACAAGTGCTTCCATTTTGATAGTTGAAGGTTATAAAAGGTCTAGAATTGATTAGTTTCATGGGGTTTCTTGTCGCAAAATGACCAGCTGGCCAATGTTACAGGTAATTGTTCTACATTGGACTACTGACATTGTTGACATCTGTGATGCATTTGACAGGGAATAAGCAACATCAAGATTCACATATCCAAAGGTACTGGTCATTGGGTCATAAGCAGAATTCAGATTTGGTGTCATGCAACATTATCAGTAATGCAGCAGCTCAGAAGCTTTGCAGCTTTATATGCAAACTGATGGCTTTACTCTGCTACAACTAGTATTGGGGAATGTGGACCCACAACAGTCAGTATTCAGAAGTTTGTTGATCACTGGCTCTTGCTTCTGTGTGCCAGAGTCTGAGGGACTGAAAAGATTCCCATTGAATCGATTTTCCTACAACTTCAAAAGCAAACCTTAAACTTTCTCAAAGAAACAAAATCACTGTTCCATCATCAACAAGGGCAATGCAAAATGGTCTAAGGAACATAAACAAGCCCTGGTCTCAATGGTGCCAAAACATCTTGGCTTCATGCTGATCCAATTCATCATTCACTCAATTTTTGTAATCAAACAATTAGCTGAAAAACAACAGGAGTTTAATAGACTGTTTATGCAGATTTAATGATCTCAAGAAGACCTTTGAGATCAGACAACTGTAACGTTTTGTGGTTGCTGTTGGCCTATTGAGTGCGGCAGCAAAGAATCTTCACATATTCAAGTTGTTATACATGAATATCACCAAAAGTATACGTGTTGGAAAGAACTTGATCGCTTGCGGATGTTTTTCCAAAGGTGCACACTGCCCCCAAAACATTTTAATGCAAGCTTGGGAGAAAATTATGCCAATGGCAAGGTTATTGACTGAAATCACATGGGTGATAACTTTTTCTGAAGGTACAGCTATTTTTGTTGAAAGTGAACAGCATCTGTCAGAGACCCTTTGCCAATTGCCCAAAAACATTAGGCAAAAGAAAATGAATTAACTTAAGACAAAAGCAATATTCTTCCATCAACAACAACTTTGATTCACTGCTCCCCTACAGATGGAAATACCACCATTGGCTACGTGCAATGTATTTTGATAGCAACATCCACTGTTAGTACATCTCCGTGGAGATGAATAAAGAACAAGTCTTCCTCAGTGGGTGGAGGGGGTGGGGAAAGTGCAAATCATCTGAGGTTGCTCTTGTGTAATTGCTGGTCAATTGCCAGCCTTATCTGCTGGGGACTGATGAATAAATGAGTATAACAATAAATTATATGAGCCAGTTAAAAATAAGACACCATGTAATATTGAAAGAGAAAACTAAAAAGGAAAGCATTAGAAAAAGCATTTAAAAACACTAAAAATTTCAGTAAAAAGGGACTGCATTTACTAAACGTGTGAGTGCCACCTAGTGCCAGAATATCATTACTGCACCAATGTTTTTTTTGGGTCTGCTGGATGTCTGACACATGCGGAAACCTAGCACCATGCCTAAGAGTATCCAAACCAGAGTTCCAAGTATCCCACCTCTACATGGAAATTCCCAAGATATTTATCGGAATGAAATGCACACTCTCTCCCTGGAGAAATGCATCCGGCTGACGTAATTCCGCAGAGTATTATTACGACGCAGGTTGACAGGAGCCAAGTTGGAATCTAACCAGTTAAATGTTTTGGCTTGGACCATTTCTACAGTATCCAATTGTAATACGTAATATCCCTTTAACAGTGGGCCAGCTAACAGCACCAACCAGTGGAACAATCATTTATCAGGCTGCTAGGATCGGCTGGAAATCAGTCTAAGCTTGAATTAATCTTGTAATTTCAGCATTAAAACAGACTGGATGCTGAGCGGGTCCACATCATGCTTGGAGAGGCTATGATCATTCTTACCAAATGCCTGGAATCTATACCACAGGATTCTGAACAAGCAAGATGCCATTTCAAATAGGTATAAATCTTCACGTCATGAATTAAAATTTGGAGATGTATTCTCTGTTCCAAATGTTTACAGGAGAACTGAGTGTGAATTTATCAGTTTTTACTCCACACCAACATAAAACGTTCTTGGAGAGGAATCATTAAAACAAAACGTGCAATTATCTATTTAAAAGTATGATTTATAATCCCAATTTTAAACAATGGTTACGATGATATAAAATACTTAGTTTCAGAGCTGCACGTTAACGATTCAAGTTTATAAACTGTAAACACACAAGGACACCACCACCATTGCAACAGTTGGTTTTGTAATAACAAGTCAGTGGAAGACAAATGAGTCCTCTCAGATTTTAATAATTTTCTAAATTAATTTTTTTTGACCGAGTACAATATTCATGTGGATATGAAGTTCTCCAACCAAGAAGTTTTAGATTATCCACATATCTTCTACATGGTTGTAAAGCTCCTGTTTAAATATTTGATAAAATTGTAAAAAAAGAATACTGTGAAATATAGGACTTCTTTTTGGAATGATCAAAACCAAAATGAAACCCATGATACCTGTGGTGTAAACTGAAATAAGCAATTTCTTGGGATGAGGGGGAAGAGGGTCACTGCTACTTTCATGAATCAGTGAAGAAATTTGGCATGGATTGTTGAAGCATAAGACAGACCCTAAGGGATTTGAGATTTTGATATCATTACGCTAGTCAAAACAATTTACAACCCTAAAAATTAAAAAAAGTTATTTTTTTAAAAAAAGTCGACATTGCTGCTTAAATCAGGCTTTCTTTAAAAAAAATGAAAAATGAAAAATTGTAGGGAACATTTTTTACATTATTGATACCTGGATATTGAGACTGTGTAGACAATCAAAGGGGATACTGCTCTATTAGTCAGGTTGGAATTCAGATCAGTTTCTCTGAGCAAAATGACCTTCATGGCACAGCAATAAGAAGTATACACAGAAATGCAGAAAAGGTACAGGATGATTAAACTAACTTGAGTTGTTTGGGCAACTGGGGACACTTGGACCTGTGAAGAAAATGGGGCAGAAACAATCTTTTTTTAAAAAAGGGGGAAAAGGAAAATAAATTAGGTTTTACCAGAGGGAAAAAGACCAGTATCAGAGTTAAATAGGTCAAAGAACAGTTATGTACTCGGGGGTTCAAACAATAGTGAAGTATTTCCTTCAGCAAGTAGCTAAGATTATGATTTGCACTACAATCATCATACAGGCTCCAAGAATTGTAAATCATTCTAGATCCTCAGGATATTAATGTTCAGTGCTCTAACACCAATTAAGTTAAACCTTTTATTCTGTTTTATTCAAGATAAAGCGTTTAGTGGTTTTATACACTGATCTGTCCATGATGCACTGAAATCTAAGCTTCTGTGGTCAATCTCAAGTTCTCTCTATCAGTCAGATCCAACTCCTTATTTGAAACCCTGATTACATTTGCTTATAATAATAATCCTTGCATTTGATATAGAGCTTTTCATGTCTTCCAGACATCTCAAAGCTTAGGCCATCAATGTAGAATTAAAGCAAAAACAAAGAATTAAACTCAAGCTTACCAATAGTTTTGACAGGAGGATTGTACAATAACAATTTCATAGATGGCTGTTATCAACTTCATTCCATCAATTCTCTTTCACGAACACACAATGCAGCTCACCAGAACCCTCCATGGGTAACATTAGTGTGTTTCTCCCTATACAGCAGGTGCATTACCTGCTTCCCAGCTTGGGCTCCCATTCTCTCCCTAGGTTAAAGGCACTATACAAGTGTAATTGTTGTTGGTGCATTTGATAATTGTAAATCACCTTATTAAGTTGAAAAGGCTGGCTATTTAAGAGTTATACGTTTTACATCTCTGTTCGACTCACCTCCCCCTTAATACATGTTCTCAGGCCTCTTGAAAGTATTTCCTCTAGTCTCTGCTGAGCCTTTCCTTGGAGCTTTAGTTACTCCTCTTTCTGTGGTTTATAACACACGCCTTCTGCATGTCATATGTCCATAGCCTCTAGATATTTTCTTTCCCTGCATTTACATGGGTATTTTTCTGGTCTTAGGTATCTGGAATCTTGTCTCACATTTATCTCTTTACATGAGAGAAAACAATAGGATGACATGCAAAGGTCATGGATGCTATTCGGAGTGGGAGCAAGCAGAGGCAAATAAGGAGAAACTGAACATCATCTACTGCAAAGCTAGTAGACGACTGTGGATTGTGGTGGGAGGGGTGGAGGGATGGCAAAGAATAAAAGAATCCCTATATTGTCATTTGTGCAAATAGTATTACAAATGAGAAAGTAAAAAGTCAAAGAACAATGGAAGTAAATAATACTGAAGGATAGAAAAAAGTACAAGTAGTCAGTGTGGCAGGCTAAGAGTAGTTACACTTCAAACTTTTAGTGAACCCTGGTTTTCCCTATATCAGTATGAATTAACTCAATTAAAGAGTCGGAATGAGTGTTGTGATTAGCTGTTTATAATAAATAGTGGATATAGTAAAAGTTAGTAATAGTAAGTAATAAAACATTCTGATCTTCACAGGTCCATCCCAGTCGAAAGTTTCACCCTTTTCACTGTCGTTCCAAAATAAAACAGAAGAAAAAACACAATCCACAGTTATTTATGGTATTTCCCTGCATTACTGGCATTGGGGCAATCCTAACACAAAATATGGTGTTGACCCTATGTAACAACATTCTAAAGATCTATCTAAGATACGTATTTCTTTATCTTAGCAAGATGCCAGTAAAGGAGTATTTGGCTTGAAAGGAGTATGATGAATGTGCAAACAACTTTGCTCATTTGGTAAATATTGGCGTGCTATCGAGAATGCAATCACATAAGATGAAACACACATTATTCTTTAGTCGTGATAATCACGTTAAGCTTCTCTTTGAGAATGTGATTATGCCTAAGCCCATCACTTGGTAATGATAGTGATCAATGATGACATCCAAGTTATTATGTGTATGTTCGCACTGGAGTTTTGGTCAAACGGTTAAAATGAATAAACTATGCTGATGGAGCAGCGGTACTGTAACTTTAATTTGAACACTAAAACATATTTACACTGCATGATGCTAATTTTAACTGGTATCTTGCTTATTGCTAATCTCACTGCATGGTGCTAATTTTACCAGTTATCTATCTCATTTGCAAGACCATTTTATCTTATTGCCAATTATGCAGTCTTTCACAGTGTTGAGTTATTTATTTTAATTACTATCTTGCAGTTTCACATCTTGGAGAAAAACTCGTTATAAACAGCCAACACAAATTCACCACATGACAGTTCCAAATACCACCCTAAAGCAAAATCTTCACTTAACCTAACCTTCCGGTGCACAGCTTGGGACTAAGAGGTCATTCTGCAACAGTGAGTGCTGTGGACTGATATGATTATATTGTATTTTTGCTATCTTCAGCATGTTTGAAATACGCAGCAAAAGTGCAACACAGTAAAACACAGCAGCACATCTACCTTTGGAGGCAGGGAGCTACCAATATGGAGACAAACATAATCTTCAAGAAGTTATTATGTAACTCCATTAACTACTTAGCAAAGTTCTGTTGGTGGACAGTGTCTAAGGTTTACTGGGAGTGAGCGGGTGGGAAAAAGATAAATATAAAAATATCATCATGATATAATATTGGAGATATCAAGAGATTATTTCACCTAAAAACTCCTAAAAGATCAGGAATGAATTTGCATGCAACAATAAAATGTGCGTACAAATGTCAGCACTTTCTTTTGTTACATGACTTGGTCGTACCTGCAGCGTCCAAATATTTCTCAGATTTATAATCTATACAGTGCTTCCTTGATAATTGCAACTTTTGAATTCAAACAATGCACAAAAGGAAGTCTGTACTTTTCCTACCTTCCTCTGATCCTTGTTGATGGCAAGATTGCTGTTGTACAAACTTCACGTTGGCATGCGCTAACAGAAGTAAAAAAATTCTCATGACAACTTTATCGGACCATGAAAGGTCTGAGCTTGGAAAATTGCCATATGAGAGAAAAGAAAAAGAGTAACATTCTTCACCTGGCATCTGATTCAGATCACATTACTTAGGGCACCATCAAGAAACTGGTTTCCGAACAATTTATTTGAACCAGTTAGTACATAATATTTTATTTTAAAATTCTAAAAAGAAAATCATTTTCAGGACCTTCAATCCTAACTTTTAACTATCCTAAAGTTAGTGGGACTAAAGCTTTAATCGCACATAGCCTAAAATATTGCTAAACTGAAATGAAAAACAGGAGCCCTTTGCAGTCCAAAACAGTTTTGCATAATTCGGCCATGTTGATAGTATTTCCAATTTTATATCAAAACTAAAAATCCAAGCTGCTTGCATTACTATCAGTTGACCTTATATTTTAGTTGACAAGGCCAAATATTTAACATCTAGTTTAAGATTGCACTTCAATGCTAGATAGACTGCAAATGTGCTAATCAGTGTAGAATGCTCCTAAATAAGGCATTCATGCAAGTGCCAAAGGCCATATTATATAGGCAGCCTTTTTGCTGAAATGTTTACAGGTGTGTCATAGTAAAATGAATTCTCAATTCCACGTTAATATCTTCTTCAAATTCAACTCCATGGTCACTGATTCAAATTCCACAGTAACCACACAGTAAATGGGTGGATTTCAGATCAAAATATTTTTAAATGATCCATCACTTTTATTACAATCGACTGATTAGTTCACATCAAGAGGAAATTATCCTAAGGAGTTAGTCCATAATGATATAACAGCAGTTCTAAGTATTCACAATTTGGTAGATTATGTGGAGACTGGCAGGGGCAGTGTTACAGAGAGAGCTTAGAGTGTAAACGGGACAATGCCAACGAAGTCAGAATTTCTAAACTGTAGTTTAGAAAATAGATTGATTTGAGCTTCAAGTAATATCCTAGTGAAAATGATCAAAGAATTCAGAAACTATGGCATTATGGGGGCAGTCTCTCCTCGCATGTATGGATGGCATGAGAAATAGGAATACTAAAGCATGTAAAGGGGTGCCCTTATGATGTTGGAGTTAATACAATTGTTGGGGCTAAGTAAAGCAAGAAAAACTTGCTTTTTGAAATGGTTCTGAGAACAGAAAATCTTTGTCTGAGGCACACTGTTTCTTCCAATCACAATGTTCTGCAGTCTAAAGAATTCAAGGGTTTTTCATTTTTTTAAAAAAACACACCACCTGTGTTGCTTGCAAAACATTGCAATTTTTTTTAAAAACAGTCTCACTGTCAATGTAATAGGGGTGGATTTTGTTCACAGTGCACAAGATATTGCAGAACCACAACTGGCCACGCAATCTTTTGAAATTAGTTCAATTACTAGAAATTAACCATTAGAGTACCAGGTTAAAGGACAGCCTTGAAAATGTGCTCAGCAGCTATCTTAAGAAGTGTTAGACAAAATCTAGACACAATTATGAAACACTGCCGTTGATATAAGGAATGTACATCATTAAGTGACTATACATTGGTGTGTGCTGGCTCCTGTACTATTACATACACACACACCAGGCTGCTCCGCTGAGCACTTCTTATTGATGCAATGACAGAAGGTGGAAGCAAAGGCTGGACGGTCTCTGCTCCTGACCAGTAATGTGTATTGACCACTGTACTCTACCATTCATTCAATTGTGGAACTGGTGGAAGAGCCAGGGAGTGGGATGCTCATTTTGGGGGAGACAGTGAGAAAGAATGCTTTCAAGATTAAGGCGATTAAGGCTATATTTCCTGTAATTATACAAGTGTAAAAAGTCATAAAGACTTGGACTTAAGGTAAATTTTATAATGATTTTCAGAAAGATTACTGTAACTAATCCAGGATTTTCCCATAAATTTTAATGAAAAAAATTGCAATATAAAATCCAAGGTACCAGGGATCATGGCCATCATCAGCAATGACAGAAAATTAGATTAATTAATATTTTTGTACCACAAAATGAGACAGTTTAAGAACAGCAAGATGCTGGAATTAAATTAGTTTTTGTTAACAACGTATGTTCGCTATTTATAATGTCAATAGATGAAAGGCCCAACTTTTTTTTATTTAGTTGGCTGCCTGATGTGTGTATTGTGTTTGCCCTTTTGAAAGTTCAGAACGCAACTAAATTATTAATATTCTAAATTATCAGTGATGACAAGTAATTAACATTTTGCATGGTTTCCAGCTTCAAGCACTTACGTGCCGCTAGGCAGATGTCTTGCACTGTATACAAACATTTTCTGCATTTTGGCTTTTCAGAACTTAAGAACATAAAGGAAATGGACTCATCAAGTTTCTACTTTGAACTCCTAGTATTTATACGTGCAACAAACTTTGTTCCTTAGCTTACTGTAACACCTATGTTTCTCACTCCCTCATTTAAGGTTGGACATTATCTAGCTATTTTGCAACCCTGAAAATATGCTGATATTAATTAACTGAGACACAGTAATAGCCTATGGGTAGTTTCATCTGTACGAAAGATGACTACAAGATCATAAGACTGTTTCAGCTATCTTTAGTTATTTTAGCTACCATTCAGGAACTGAATTTTATTTTCTTTAAACAGATTTGAATAATCATAATTAAGTTTACAGAAACACAAAACTTTATTTTTGTTTTTAAACTCATTCATAAATGAGTTGTGTGCTGTAATTTACTTTTTTTTTAACATAACAATCTTATCTGTGATGAAGTTTTTTTAAATTACACCATTGACAATAAATATATTTTAGAACATATTTCAGAAAAAGTGATCATTTCAGAGGAAATGACCATTATTTAGTTATTTCCCATTAGGTATTACCATCTGGTAAGAGGAAGGTTGAATATTTGTCACCTGATTTCTGCATTAATTGGATCACTGGTTTGATATAAAACTAAATCCTTTCATTCCACACAAGGAATAACAAAAGACCATTCATCCCACATCACTCTCTATAATTTGGACAAGGTAGATTCTCTTAACTCCTACCATTAACTTGCAGCCATCCTATCCTTCTGCCAACACTTATGTGAATGAATCACTGCTGTAGCGCTGTGCAGAAGTTTGAATGAATTAGAAGCTGCCTGTGCTGAAGGAAAGTGTGTACTGCACCTGAGGGCCATCACCAAAACACAGAACCTTCAATGACTTATGGAAGTTAAGCAAGGTAACTATTTGATAGCATATAGAATTTTTTTTTCTGAAGATGCGAGAGATCACTAGTACACCTATTTATCAACAGGAAAAAGTATTCTGGTTTAAGTTTTCATATGAAATTTTAAAAATGAATACAAAGTTTCAAAATACAAATTCGCTGTGTTAGTACATGGGAATTAAAATACACGAGAGGCATTTAAAAGCATATCAATAACATTTAAACTTAAATGTGATTTAAAAATAACACTAAATTCAGATAGGTAAATATTGTCGTATTGCCGTGCTGCAACAAGTAATTGGAGGCAAAAAAGGGTCCTGAATTTTAATAATTAACAAAAGAATAGTTATCTGTAAAATTTAAAAGTGATTTCTGAGTTTCGGAACTCAGATCGTTTACCTGGAGTCTGATAATTCAGTCGTCTCAATTCTACTGGATCTGAAGAGTGTGCCAGCAATGGGTCTTTTCCACCAGGAACATCATCTTTAGCAGATGGAGAGCTCGCTCTTTTCCTGCACCAATCAAATATATACCATTTAACATAAAGATACGATTCTCACAAACCACTCTCAAGTTTCAGTGTTCCAGTGGGTACCAGGCAGTTTTTTCAGGTAAATTTATTTGTTACTTACTGTGGTCGGAAATCCTTACAATAATACCTGCATTTGTATAGATAGGCATAATCCCCAAGCCAAATGTAACAGCTTACCAAACCAATTTCCTCCACATCATCATCCCCTACAATTGTCCCTACCTCCACTGATCCCCTAAACTTAATGTTCCTCTCGACCAGTTTTCAAACCTCATCATGTTATGCTGGCCGACACCCAAAACTCTAAAGGATCAAGACGAGATTGCCATTATAATTAAAAAAAGGTATCTGACGGCCTTAGTGCACAGCATGAAAAATATTTGAAGAGTGATAGGGAAGAAATGTGCTGTAAGCTGAAGGGTCTTCCAAATTAGTATTAAGACAACATTATAGTGTTGTCACATTATCAGTGTGACTCTTACCTTTCCTGTTTACTGTATCCATAAGCAAGCATGTAGAAAAAATATTGGAAATGATTTATTACTCAGCATTTCCACTTTAAATGAAGTATGCATTATTTATCCCCCTTTAGCTCACCTACTGTAGAAATACTGTAGAAACCGCACCAGTATTGAAATATTGGGGGAAATCAACACACAGGAACAGGTGTTTTTAACAACTGCAAGAAGCTTCGTCTCTTCTTGCCTCATGTGGTCACTGACCAACACTATGTACTTGGTCTTTGCCCAGGAAGGAGCATAGTTTCTTCTCTCTTCCCTTGGCACAGCAGTGCACTGACCACTCTCGATGTCGAAACTTTGGTCGCGTCAAACAAGGTGGATTTGTGATTTATTTTATAACACTGAACAGTGCCAGTGCAAATTTTTGTTTACTTTTAATTTGCCTTTTGATCTCATTAGTTCGGTGCAGCAGATAATATAATTGAAATTCCAGCTTACAAAACAAAAACACACTCATACAGCACAGATCTATCAGAGAATGTGCTTTCAAAGGTCAAACCAGAACGATATGGATGAAACTCAAGAACTCTAGAATTTCCCACCTGAAAGATAGCAAGAATACCAAAGGCAGAGAAAGGGGCAAAAAAGACTTTTTTTAAATAATCCTTAATAATTTTTAATAAAAAAAATCTACTGATATAAATTTTCCGAAAATGTATTTCTGATTATAGCTTTCACTTCAGGTGTAGTGTGGATCCTTAACATTTAACAATGCTATTCTTTTGAGAGGCTTACGCTATAAAGTCAGATTCTAACGAGACAATGCTGCAGCTTTCTTACCTTTTGAACAGGAGGATGGCGATGACAATAATTATTATTAAAACAACAGCAAGCACTGGTCCCATCACCCATAGCATCTCAGGGTCATCCTGTGCCTTTGACGGAGAGGTCATCTCCACCAGGATAGGATCAGAGTATGGACTGGCAGCATACATCTGCTGAATAGAAAACACAAAGGAAAACATTACAATAATCTCCTGCATCAAATCTTCTCGGATTCCATTCATTGCATCATAATATGCTTACTTACGATAGACTCGGACTTTGTGATCAAACAAGATGAAAAAGAGCTTCTCATCTCTTTGTAGGAAATAACAATTTGCTTAAAACACAGAATACATGTGGTTTGTGTCTATTTTTATCATTTTCTTTCTTCTTTGTTTCAATTTTCTCTCTTCTTTTGAAAGCATTGATCCCTGCTGGGATATGGGTTCACAGGCACTGCCAGCCCTTCTGTACCTCACCTGTGTGAGTATCCACACTGTGTGAAAGCAGGCTTTATCACTGTGGGGATTCAGAGCCAAACCTAACTCTATCCTCAGCCACTCTCCTGCAAGACCCCAGTTGGTAATGAGCAGGAATAATAGCCTTGATTTTCTCTCTCCCAAGGCAAGGATGTTAAGATTAATTCATCCCCCCACACTGCACCATCTGATATTTGCCGACTCCACAGGTTAGTAATTAAATCCAGAACTTTATTAGTCTGTATGACTCAGTTCAGACCAGAAAGGTTGAAATGTTAGGTGAGAACAGCAGTGGGCTAAATTCCAATAACCCCTCCAAATTATTCCATTGACACTTGCTGTCTTGGCTCACACATGAAGTGATTGGCCCTTCTGAAATAAAAGTGCAGCAAGAATGTGGGGAAAATTGGGAAAACAATCCATTGCAGATGCTGAAAATCTGAAATGAATACTTTTTCATAACTGAAATTCTACCTGAAGCACTGACCTATTTTCCTTCAGATGGCAAATGAACTGCTATTGATTTTTTTTTAGAGCTTTCTCTTTTACTTTACAGATAAACCCTGGCTAGCTGGACTAATGGGATGGGGGGTGGGGCCAAGTATAATTACGATGCAGTTAATGAAAACGATGCATATGCAGAACCAGGAAATGCCGGCAATGCATTTATTGGCATTTTGCAGCACAGCATATGAATTTGTACCGCTGTATACAAAAAAAACATTTCTCACCCCTGTGAACACTAGATGCCAGACAAAGAACAGGGAGGAGGGAAGTTGTGAGTATCACTTGAGCTACTCAGCGAAGGCGTGCTAGGAGAGTTGGGCCGACGAGAGTCTATACCGTGACCCGCAGAAATTTCTTGAGGGAACAGCTGATGCAAAATACTTGTGTTATCTAATGCAGCTCAAATGCAGGGGACCCTGAGTATTATCCCAAAGTGAAAAAGCTATCAGATGATAGCAACATCCTGGAGAAGAATTGCTGGCTTTGTACAGGTGTCTTGAAGTGATAGCCTCCCTCATCAACTTGCTCCACTAGCAATGCTCAGCACATTTGCAAAATACTGTGCAGTCTAACATGTACAAATGTATATTTACAGATACTTAATGGCCCGCAGGTTCACGCTCTCCTTCAGCAGCTCTGGGATGGAGAGATGTACTGGGCTCTGCTCTGTCTCATGTAACCGAGAGTCAAACTTGAGTAGTTACTTAGGGCAAATGAGGAATACAGTCATACTTTATGAAACCTCTTTAAAGAATTAACTTGGAATTGAACCACTCACACAGCAATCAACAGCAAGTCCTCACATTGCCAAATTACTACAGCATTAATAAACATAAAACCTATCATCTGATTTCATGTATTCGTTATTTATAAACCTCAAGAGTCTGATAAAACCACTTTCCTTGCCATTAAGTGACACAAAAGAAATAATTGCCTGTGCCGGGTTGTCTCCCCTGAAATATAACTGCAGGATGTAATTCAGAAGGAAATGTTTTTTTCTTGCTGTCAAGTAAATTTAGAGTGTTTTTTTCCAGGTGCTGTGTGACCCTTCATTGAAAGCAGTCTGAGCTGATGAATAATGAAGAGTTTGACCAGTCCTAATGAGCCATTACAATCAAATACATTTGGAGCAACGTCTGAGCTGGTTTAGAAGCTTAGCAGAAAATTAGCATCTTGATGTCTGAATAAAAATCAGAGCGTCCCGATTACGTAACGTTTCCAGTTGCAACTGCAGCAAATGAAGCTCATTACAAACTGTAGTATACTAGCAGCTTCTCTCTGGCAAGACTTCATGAATGGAAATACAGCTTTTTAACAGTCATTTACAAAAATGTTTATATAAATATTTTTGATCCAGGACATTGATCAGCATGTGCTGTATCTGAAAATATTTAATTCAAGAGACCAACCCTTGAAAAAGGTTTGCAAAGATATTTTCATTGAATCCAACTATAGTATTTACACCACAAAAGCAAGCTTCTGTATGAGGAAACAATAGAAAATAATATTTAGATGAATGATATTGGAAGGTAAATATCATAGATGGATTTGATAATCCAGAAATTTAGAAGTTATATTTTTTTCTGTTACAATGAGTGGCTTAAGGACTTGGAATTAAAGCACAGGCTTGTATTAAGGCTCGACTTACACTAAGTCTTAATTTAGAAAGATCCACTTTCAATAGAGAATTATTCTTTTGCTTTTGAAAATATTCTGAAATTCTATCCAAGCTAAATACTGAAAGATTGAAATCAAATGACAAAACACCACAAATATACTCACCGCATCTTTTTCTTCCAGCGCTGCCAAAACAAAGCACAGGTAGCTGTTGCTAGAAGACAGAGGTCTGTTCTGAAATACTCCATAGTACTGATCATCTCCAAGCATAAATGTATCAGGTAGCTTCTTCAGTTGGGCAGCGATGTATGGCTTTAGTCTCTCAGACTGACGCCGATACCGTTTGCCATGTGATAGTTGACTTATTCCATCAAACAGCTACAAACCCGTACACAAAAGCAGTTTAGAAACTTTTCAACTTTTAACACTCTTCTACTTAGCATGATACATTGCAGTTTCACTGAACCCATAGTACAATGGGAGCACAGTTCTCTCCATCACAATCAAAGCCAAATAAATAAATCACAAAAATACTGATAATTAGTAGTCCAATTGAAGCAAAAAAGCAGGGCCAAATGCTTTTCCAAAGAGGAAATATTGGATGGAAATATCAGTTTTGCATGCTTCCTAGTGGAGCATACAAAACTATGCGCAATATTAAAGATTAAGTATTTTTACATAAAATTACAATGCAGTAACACATGAGATGTTGCACAAGTTGTAGTTATGATAAAACTCGAATTCACATTTTAAGAAGGAACCACACTTTCCTTGGCCAATGAGAGGTTAATTCTCTACTTCAGGAAACAAGAGAAACTACCCCTTGTGAGAGTTTACTGACAACAAAGCCTTACCTCATCAACTTCGATCTCTTCAGGGTTCTGCCATTTTTGTGTAACGGTGCGTGTAGTCTTATCAAGTGGCACCACTACAATATAATACCACCTATAAAAGAACAGATACGGTACAAACTGCAGATTAGATACAATTCAATGGTCAAAATTGTTACTCACAGTTCCCTATTCACTAAAGGACAACACTAAGCTCAAAGCTGTTCTCTGTTAAATAATCAGAGCTTGGAAACTGCTGCAGTGAAGGACCAACACTTGAATCTAAACTTGTAGAATCTCAAGTTCAATGAACCATTGGGAATGCTGTTCTCCAATGACTGGATATCTCTCCATCGTAAAATAGACATTCTAGATGGTTGACTGCAACATACCAGCAGTGAAGGTCTCCAAATGGTTACTCCCAAGAATCCGGAACACAGGTTAAATTGAATAGGAAGACAAGATGACAAATAAGGCATTGGTCTCAAGCAGAGATCCACTTGTACCAATATCAAATTATCCTACTGAGCTTTTCATGCCGTTGAAAACTACAGTGCTCCAATAATTTCGAATTGGTGACGTATCATAATCTAGAATATTTTGGAATAACTCCAATAAAAGCTACCACAAACGTTATGATAGCCGAATATAGAACGGGCGCTTGTACATTGGCTTGCGTAAGCCATCATAATGTCACAACCTTGTTTCCCTCCACAAAAGAATCAAGCAACGGTGAAACGATTTTTATTGCAGTGTCAGAATTATTTGCCGAGGCAGCATTTATGTGGCCTGTTGACAGCCTCTCGTGGCCAAAACGAATACTGCAACAGCACGTTTTCAATTCCACGTCAATGAATGTTACAGAGGAAAGAATAAGTTAATTTAAAACGCGAGGGAAGATTACCCAGATCAATTTCAGCATCTAGATGTCACTTTGGAGAAATAGTAATAGTGTTGGGAACAACTGTTTACCTCCAAGGAACTGCAAGTTCTGTATTATCGTGCAATTTTTAAAAAGTTACAGAATTTCATATATTCTTTCAAGGCAAATTGTTAAGATAAAGTTAAGTCTATTTAACAAGAAATGTAGAAATGGACACTCATAATCCTTCTGTGCACACAGTGTTAAATGTAATGTTCGATAATACTAGAACAATAAAATCTACGAGGTTCAGCTATCTCAGATCTATAGCTAAAACTTCATAATCCATTTTGTCATTATGATTTCTCTTTTCAGGTCTTTGGGACTCTGTGGACCCATCCCCTAGATAGTGTATTTATTTAAGTTTCATAAACTCCATGAGTTAATTCTCAAGTAAGCTCAAAACTTACTTGATAGCAGCTGTGGTCTGAACTTTGGGTAGGTTGATTGGCAGCTTGCCATCCTGGATGTCCTTGCTGTAGATGACTGGTTTTGTTTGCAGCAAGTTTGGAGCTGTACGGATTGACACCACCTGCTGCAGCCCACCAGCACTGTTCCCACGGTTTGTTAATACAAAGGAGTATTCAGTATCAGGCTGAAGTTTTGTAATAAGTTTACGCATTGATTGTCCATCTACCTCTACACTTTGGCCATTATAGAGAATCTGAGGAAGGAAAACAAAAAAGTGACTAGCAATGGATCAATACAAAAAGGTCATCTTCTCTTCATTTGTTTCCAGTAGTGCTGGGCATCCAGATGATAATGTTGTAAAACAGAGCAATGTGGATCAAAGACCAGTAACCGTGTCAACAGTGTGTTAATTAGACATCTGTAGATTATAGTTGTGCTAATGTACTTGCATTAATAATACAATGGGAGCAGGAGTTTCCAGGTCAATAGTGTGGTATTTTGAGTTGCTAAATTATTGTAGCAGTCTTGGAAGTTCTGTACCTGTAAACCCTCTATTCCAAAATATATGCAAAACAACTCACAAAACAGACTGCTTGTGAAAGGAGGAGGGAGAGGAACAGAACACATTAGCAATGGTACAATATATTGCTATTACATACGTTTGGAAAAATGTCTGATAAAATTAATACAGATTTAAGTATCAACATCTTTTTTTTCTGAATGAATACGAGCTTTTGTTTAACTGCTAAATGGCAGATAGGTTACATTGCAGTTTATTATTAGGCTGCAAGTTCTATCCATAAATTATATTGCATTGTGTAATATTCAAAAGAAGGAAAACTGACAACATAACTGACAACACAAACTAGACAATGCATCCAGAAGAAATGTTACCAATCATAGATATATCGTTGAAAGTTGTTCAACCTCCACATACAAATGGGAATTTCCAACACTATTTCATAAGAGTGGAGTCCTGTAGCTCAGTGGTTAGAGCACTCGCTTTGCAAGCGAGAGACCTGGTTCAATTCCAGGCAGAGGGCGAAACCTTGGGCAAGTTTCCTTACTCCACACAAAGCCTAATAATAATCCCTCCAAAAACAAAAAACAATAATAAAAATTGGTCATTTTCAATCTGCGACTGTTTGTGGGACATTGCTGTGCACAATTGGCTGCCGCGTTCTCCCACAAATACAGTCAATTCACTTTACAGTATATTCTGTGAAGCACTTTGGGACGTCTAGAAGACGTGAAAAGCGCTATATCAAATGCAAGGATTATTATTATTAAGAGTGACACTGACCCTTCAAAAAAAAATCATGACAAAGGAAGTCATTTATCTATATTCTGCTGAACTCAATGCTGTTTTTATATTGCACCCACAGCTGTACGGCATGAAACTGGAGGCATCGTCAATTTTCATCATATTGGCTGCTTTTAAGTGTAGGTTGGCAAGAGCCAAGGTGCAGGGTGTACATTGAGGTCCTGCTAGAGATCACCCAGCTAACATTGTGCAATTTGCCATTGCAAACAAACACCATCTGGCAAGCTTTCTGCAACTTGTCCACTTTAGGATTACCTAACCCATTTGAGCTTTGCCATGTAAGATTAACAGGAAGCAAGTAGGAACAATCTCTGCTCCCAATGACTGGTATCAAGTCACACCGGTGAGTCAGGCTTGCTGGTCTGTCATCAACTGTACTTAGCTCACTTACGAAAATCACCCAGAGAGAATCGATTCGATTGTCAAGCACTTTTACACACATATGGTTGGGTACAAATACACAAGAACTCTACTTTATAGTAATTAATCCTGAGCCATGAAAGTAAGGATTAATTTTGTTTTCTGCATATTGTAATCTAGTTGCCAATTAACATTAATTAGCAATTTAGAATACAGCAGAAAAAGGCACAGATTGTTGGCAAGGAAATTTCTGTTTTCGCCCATTCCCAAGAATATTTCCCAAACAGGTGAAGGGAAAATTTGTAATTCATAGTGAAAAAAATACAAGCTAAATTACCCAACGGAAATTACCAAGGAATTTATAGTCGTTGGAGCCAACCATATAAAAGAAATTTTTCACATGTGTAAAATAGTTTTCAAAAGACAACAAAAGAATAATTGCTCATTTATGCTTTACATTTCTACTTATTTTTATACTATATATTTGTACTCTATTGAAAATGACCTACTTTTGTTTAACAGTAAAAAAAAAGCGAGAGATTTAGGAGTTGTCCTTTAGACAAGCTTAGAAAAGAAAGTAAATGATATATGAATGACTTCTAATCTCTCCCTGCCCTCCAGGCTAAGTTAAGAATCGAAAGAGAGTCACCCAGGTCACTTCTCCCCAGCGAATATTTACACAGAAGCAATGACAGAGACCCGAGAAATCTTCTCAGAAAATCAAGCGCTGCAGGATGGAGAAGAAAAACATATTTCAGCTCTTGCGAGGTTAAAAGATTTAAACTGTTGAAGTACATTAATCCTACCTTAAAAGGCACTCCTGGTTTATATGTTTCTGGTACTTCCCAGCTCAGCAAAACTGATGTCTTCATTACTGCTTTTACTCGGAAATTCTTAGCGAATACTAAAGAAAAGTTAAGAGGGTTCATTACCTGTATGTATGTATATGAACATAGAGGGATACAGTCCAGTTTTGAGATTTAAATTGAGCTCCTACATTTAGCCCAATTTAATTTTTTTAAAAACATTACAACACCACTGAAATGTTATGAATTGCTTTGAAGTGAAAAAGTATAAAAATATCCAGTCCTTGTAGAAAATAATTTCTCTCTATATATGCTGTCAATCTCCAGGCAATTATAGTAACATCCAAAAAATGAACACAAAATACCATTGTTTTAGAATACTCTGAATGGTACTCCCGGACACACAATTGCAAACATTGTTTGTTAGAAATAGGAAGTGGCCATAAGACCAATGAGCACATTTCATTTGGATTGATCTAAAATCTCAGCTTTTCACCATGTTCCTCAATCTGTTCTCTCCAGAAACATCTAATTGTATCTTGAACCTACATGTTCAATTTCACTTCAATGACATTCCTGGAACTTAGTCCCAATGCCAGTTAACCTTTATGCAAAAACAGTTCATTTGACTATTCTTACTCTTAATCTCCTTATGTTTTAATTGTTTCTCCTTTTTTGAGCTCTTCAACAGGGTGATTTATTGCATGGAACAACTTTGTCAATCCCCTGCATAATCTTAAAAAAATCCAACTCAATCACCTCAGGAACACACACAGGCACACATACACAACACATCTTAAAATTTGGTGGTAATTGGAATGAGTCTCATTTATGTAATTATTAAATAGAAATATACAGTTCTTCTTATAGGTGACCAGAACTGCACATTATACTGCAGGTCAGTTTTTTTTAATTAGTTCATTAATATTACCTCTTCTGATTTGTAAACCATCTCTTTGTTTGTGTCACCCAGTACTTACAGTAGTTTGCTGTTTATTTTTATAAATATTGCTAAGCCCTAGACTGAAAGTATCACACTCTTCAGGTTATACCATTGTTTCATTTAACGTTTTTTTGGTTTCTTGCTCCTTTACTACTGTTCTTATGTTCCAGTTAGGCTTGGTGGCTGGGGATGACGTCTGAATCAAGTTAGATCAACAGTGGTATGTATCATAGTCACAGCGACCATTCTGGGATGGTGTTGAATACTATCAGTGGTGCCGACATTGTCTGAGGATTTTCATGGTTTTGTCACTCAACCAGAGCAGGCATCCGACTGACGGCAAATGCCAAAAAGTTGGTATTTTTGTGCTGAATTTCTGGCAAGATTTCACATTTCAAAATACTGTGCGATGAAATGAAGACAATATTAAAAAAAAAGGCGCGTGAGTTGGTCGTTCTGAAGCATCCATGACATTCGTCACATGCTTTTAAAGAACATTATGATCTTAATCTTACAGCTCAAAGCTAGAAGAGTTTTAGTGGTGCAGTGGTCCAAGTAACATAAATATTAAACTGCATAATTTCCCCCACTAAATGTTATTGTACTTGCATTTGATTTGATGCCTTTTCACATTGAAAAATCTCATAGTGCTTCATAGAATGAGATAGTTTAAAAGTACAATTTGTACAAGCAGTAATGAGATTACTGACCAATTAATCAGGATGTTATTCAATGAATTTAAATGAGGACAGAATATTAGCTAGGATATTTTAGAATTTTTTTCTGGGGGTTTAATAAATCAGCAAGAGTGCCACATTACATATAGTTTATTTTAAATCTTGTTCAACTTCCACTGACAAAGCTCCATTCAGATCTACTGTGGATTCTGTAGATATGTATGGATAGATGTCTTAGTATATCTGGAAGATTTCATCCTGTGTGTGCATCAACTCTCCTTTCTCACTTTACTTTTAAAAAGAATGGACATATTTCTAGGACACAACATTTTTAACAGCCTATGTGGGGGAACAAACATTTGCGCAATGCGACACTTTCCCAGTAGTTTTGGTCTTATGTTTGTTTGGCACTTGTCATATGGAGTTTGAACTACAGACTCAATGGGGTAAGAGAACCACACAAACCGACCAAAACCCTACCACTTTACCCTCCTTGGGGAGGAGGGGGCGGGGGGCGTGAAGAGGAGGTGTGGAGTATGCTTGGAGCTGGGAAGCTGGTCGTGCAGAGCAACAGAATATCACAATCAAGTCAATCTGCACTTCCTGAGCCACTCAGATCCACAGTATTCCAGTATACTGATGATGATAGACCATCCAGACTGGCTCACTGGCAGGACTTGGAGTGGCAATAGGAGCCGGGATTCTTCCGACTTAGCTTCTCTTAGACTACAAGCCAAAGCTCTAATGGATAGGATGGTTTTAGCTGGACAACCAGTGCAAAGCTAGCCAGACAGTGGTCTCAATGGCAAGTTTTGTAGTTTTTGCTGGGTAAACTCCAGCAGAACTCGAACATACACTCTGGGGATCCTAAGGCTCTGCTCTCAGCAATCTGTGGTCAATACATTGGAAATTTGTGAAGGTGGGCAAGTCCCTCCTGGGGAAGACTGCGCATTGCATTACAGACCTGGAAGTTTCCATTTCTAGGTGGCATACATATATGGAACTCTGCTCATTTGGAAACTTTTTAGCATGTTGTTGGGTTTTCTCTCTTGTCAGATGGGTGACCAAAACAAAACATACCACTCTGCTATCCTTAAAACTCTATTCGGCTTTGACAGATTGTGATGCCTATCTATTTTAAAAACTAAAATGAACATTACTGAACAGACTAGAGGAGTGTGTCATAACAATTCTAAAAAGTAGCATGTCACAAGGACAAAATAATAGTGAAATATACAGATGTAGAGCAATACACTTAAAACAAGAATAAAGCCTATAGAAAAGTTTGTTTAAGATAAAAGCCACTGTACCCTAAAGCACAGAGTTGACCACTAAAATAGTGCACACTTTTCACTACCAATTTGTCTGTTACTTGCCAGTCTCCTTACCTTGGTCGACTGGCATGGTTCGGGATTGAATGCTGGGACTGTATGGTCCATGCCCTTTGGAAGTATGAGCTCTCACTCGGATGTCATAAGTGGTGTCTGGGTTCAGTTTGCTCAGCATTATTCGAGTTTCATTGGTTGAGTTGTTTAGGTCTCTTGGGCTGTTGATATCACGGAACAACACTGTGTAGAGGATCATCTTTCCATTCCTTTCAGCCAGAACGGGTGGGTCCCATGAAAGCTCAGTTGTGGATGTGGTAAGCCCTACAACACGCAGGTTTTGTGGGAAACCACTTGGTATGTCCTCCTGTATCTGAACTTGTTTCACAGCCTCCTCACCAAATCCAGCTTTGTTTTCAGCACACAGGCGGAAGATGTATGTGGTTCCCTTGTGCAAGTTTGTTACCGTATAATGGTCATCGCTCTTATTTAGTTTGATGACATTCGGTTTTTCTTCATCACTGCGGATGTATTGCAGTCGATAGCCTACCAGATCACCCACCATTTCAGATGGTGGCTGCCACTGAATGAGAGCTGTGTTCATACGAGTGACACTGATAATCATTGTAGTAGGCTTGCCTGGAACTGAAGAACAATGCAGAATCATGCTAACTATTTCACTGCAGTCCATTTGTACTTGCCAGGGGCCTCATTACAAGTAAGTGAATAAGTCCACCTATGCTCAACAGTTTGTTAGTTGCCCAGTTTGAATATAAACCTCAGATTTCAACTTTTTTTTAAAAAGGAGATAATGAAAGAGAAGATGGGTGGGTGTACAACACTCTATACCACATTAATGATTGTTTTATTGCTTGGCTTTGTATGTCAAAGCAATCACCGCATGGTTAAAAAAAACAGTGAAGTGTGCCTTCCCTTGCTGATGAATCATTTCTCTTTTTTTACCCAAGTGTAATAATTGTAAAAATTAAATACTAAATTAGATCTTGCAATGAACTTGAAAATGTGTAATATGCTATGGGTCACATTAATTCAGGCGGGTTTTCACAAAAATTGCACAGAGGACACAAAAGTCTGAACACGACATTCTCACCGACCATGCTGGGGAGAGACAATGCTGTCACAACCAATCACAGTATTTATATGAATAATTGTAATTAATTGCTGCAATATATTGAACATTGCTTTTATTAAATCTTCTTTTAGATCTAATAAACTACACCCATCTCACCCCATGCTGCAATCATGTAGCTGTAATTTCAAGCTGAATTTAAATGTACAAACATGTATTGAAAATACTAATCTAAAAGGTTTATAGACTCAACTTAAATCAGATCACATTTACCTCTACCTGACTGTGATGTGAGTGGACGCTAAAGTAATCTATTATCTACAATCTTCCTCATACACTGCTAATTCTATCCCTCCAGCAAAACGTTGCTAAACTACATTCCTGTGGCTCTGGTAAAACTAGGTTATTTCCTCCATGGGATCTTGACTCTCAATGCTCAACCACACATATGTTTAATGTTAAATCTTATTCAGTTAAATAATTTGTAATAGCTTTGCTGGAAATTGAATTGGGTTCCAAGCAGCAAAATCTACTTTGGAAACTCAGCTGGAATGAAATTCAGTCAATAATTCATTATAACTATCAAAGTAAAGGTCTTCCTTAGGAATAGTTCTTTCCACTAAAACAACTGTTCTAAAACAGAAAAACAAGCATAGGCTATTACTAACATATGTTCTCCCACTCACCAGCTCCCGTTGTCGAAACCACCTTAGGTTTGCTACGAGCTCCATCTCCCTTGGTGGTGTACGCTGCAATTGTAACCGAGTAAGCCGTTTCAGGCATCAATCCCACAACAATAGCTTCCTACAATAAAATGTTTTAGAAACAAGTTAAGCATCTGGCAGGGAACTATGAAAATGTTTTTCTTGTTTACAATGAACCTAGCGTGATATTGATTCTGGTTTACAGAAGGATGATGTTCCACAGAGGACTCTCCAGACCTTGACCAGCATGCCATGCAAGAGATGGGAAGAGGAAACTATATGGTGGTAAGAATATATTAATTGTTTAGGAGTTGCCATGATTTTCAATGTGGCTTATGTATTATAATGTTTGTTTTAAAATTTCAACACAGGCAATCATTGCTTCATTTACTTTGGTGGAATAATTAGTGTAAGTGATTAAAATCAATGCGATTTTGTTGCAAGGATTTACATAAAATCCTATTGGGATTCTTAAATGACTAATTAGAATTTTTATCCTGGTTTATTAAACAACATGTACTCTTTATGTGCAAACCCAAGAATCCACCAGATTTTCCAGCAGTCCTAAATGAACACAGGAATCCACAGTAAAAACAACAAAATATGTCAGGCAGAATTACATACAGAAAAGGTAAAGGAAGTCGTGATTAAAAAAAGGTATACAAGAATCTGGAGCAATAATTTGGTAGAAATCAATAAATACACCAATGCTGCATACCATCTTTTTCACACATGCACATATTTATACACCACTCCCAGACTGCCACCACCATCAGATTTCCTGTAACCAGCAGCTAGATATAAAGAGTGTTTGAATCAGACAGAAAAGGCCACCGAATCCTCCACGACACTAAATGATGACATTTATTTCTGATACAGGGTGATAGCTTTATCTTTTCCCATCATGTGACCTATCCACGCCAGGGAATTTTTGCCATTTCCAAACTCTATAACTTGTTTGATTTGGAGAAAGAATAGCTTCATCTCATCTCGATATAACCTGCAGTGCAGAAATCCATTATCTTTCTGCAATCCACAAAATTCTATTAACTACAGTACGGTTTGAGGCTGGGGATGTTTGTGGGTGTCTAATTTCATTAATTTTAGCAGCTTTCCCAGGACTGCTCTTAAATAAATTCAGTTTTATCATCCTGGTTAGTTTCCAAATGCAGTCAGTACAACGTGTTGGGGTGCAGGAGGTTGCCACATCCTCATAAAAATAGCCTCAGGCATGGACGCAACAATTTCCATACCAAACAAGTGATATATCATACACCTCTTACTGCTTGAAGTGACACAGACAGGCGACTGTGGTTTTTGTTCTCTCTCAATGATCCTTTTCAATTCTCCTCCCAACCATTCCTGGCATGTTAAAAACAAGACAGGTTGATCTTTATCAGGCTTTGTTGCTCAGACAGTCTGGTGAACTGCCCAGCACAATGATCCAGCAAAACCAGTTTACATGAAACCAGCAGGAACTGACAAAACAAGTAGCAACAAGAAAAGCAACACACAAAAGTGTGAGAAAGTGTGTTACTCCCATCACCAACATAAAATCATGCAGACACAGCAAACTGTAATAGGTTTCCCAATGAGGACTTGTATCTACAAGCAGGATACCCACTACATTCCTCAATGCAAATAGATTTCTCATGCAACTGTGAAATCCAGAGAGAACAAAAAATATTGCAAAGCATGAATACAGGGATGTCAAAGAGAGGTAGTCGATGCTAAAAATTCTTCTTTTCACTCAACTATTTGTACATTTGTAATGCACTTTTATAATGCATTTGAGTGATCTAATTTATTGCATTTATTGGATTCTTACATTGCAACTGAGCCCTTGCAGGATTATTGTGGCATAAATAACGATTCTCCGTGAACTTTGGAACTGCAGACATAATTCTGCTTTAGATAGTTAAGAATTAACAAGAAAACTGCAATACCTCCCAATTCCACTATAGCAATAAACAGGAACTTTAACAACCAGTGTTTTTGTAAATATACAGCACTATTAGCACTAAATGAAATCAGGATATTGAAATTTACATTCTGGTGTCTATTTATTCACTGGTTACATAAAATCTCTACCTTAGAAGGACCTCAATGACTTTGACTACTTAATCCGGAGGGGTTGTGCTTGCCATAGGGAAAAACACTGTCAGTATTAACACATGACTGAGCACAGAACAGTTTGATATCAAAGTCAAAGAAAGCTTGACTTCATATTGCACATTCAATTAATAAAAAAATTCAATTTTATCTTCAACCTAGATATTGAACTTTCCTTCTTTCCATTTAAACCATCTCCAACATGCATCTTTGACATCCCTGTGGTGATTTGTCAGAGAAGCCCATGTCCAGTACGTTTATTACTCACATTGTCCTGGGTGTCCTTAGACTCCCACTGAATGGATGGGGTTGGGGATGAAAGGGGGGAGGGATGGAAAACAAAGTTAATTAGAAAGAAGAGGAGAGAAAATCTAAACTAGATTAGTAAAGATTCATGCTAACTTTGCAGGAAAACAACAAACATTTAAAAATGGAGTTTGTTCAATAAGCCTTGTTTGCATAGCCATTAGGACAGTGAATCATATCCTTTTCAAAAATGAGCAAGATGATCCAGGCATCAGTATACACAACAGTGTTTGGGACCTGTTAGCATCTGCTACGTACCTTTGGTTTACCCCTTACAACATACAGCACTTTGGTGCAGTATGACACTTATTACATTACCGGGCTTCTGGTCACCTGATATGGAATTAAAAATAATACAAACCACAAATACACAAAGATACATTCTTCAATCATTTCACCGATTCCTAGTGAATATCCAAAGTGCGATACCTACTGGTATAAATACAATGAATCTGAACTGTTTCAATGATTATGCATCAGTAATGGAAATCTCATGAGAGAATCATCAACAATTGAATTAGAGTCCAATGTAGTTTCAGTTAAGACCAGGGAAGAAGCTTGTCAGAAACTAAACTTTGTAATAAAACAACCTGCTCCACTACGTGGGCCAATATTTGCTGAAAGTAAATGTATTCAAATCCATTGGCAACATTCAAAAAGCAAAGAGGTTATCATTTCATGGTTGTTTCACATATACTTCAAACAGTATAAATGCCCGTCTTGGAATATCTCAGAATTTCAGGCACCTTTTTGAATTATATTGTTAGCATTTAGGAAATAGTTTTCTTCCAAGAATGGTCAGTTCCATTTCAAGAATATTTCATCGGGTCACAGGTTATAATGAAAATAATAAAAGGTATAAGAGAAATACCGTAAGTAACATCTCAGAGCACTTCACAGGGGTTGGACACTGAACTGGGCAGGGGCTTGGGGGTGAAGGAAACCATAGGTGCAGTCAACGCAATAGGTTTTGAGATGGGATTTGAAGCTAGAGAGGTGAGGCATAGGCAGAAAGGCAGGGATTGAGGGCTTGATGACTGAAAGTTTGACCATCAATAGTGGCGCGGGGGGAACTGGGGCTACGGAGTGAGCCTGCACATAACTCTATAATATAACAATGTTTCCCTCGATTTCATTACATTAAATTGTCTTATTAAACAGTCAAAATCAACAACAACGACAACAACAACAAGATTCCATTTATAGAGCGCCTTTCACGTCAGGAGGACGTCCCAAGGCGCTGCACAGTTGGGTCATGACCCGAGCAGGGGGGAAATGGTCAGGGTGAGGGGAGGGAAGGGAGGGAGAGAGGAGGGGGAAATGGTCAGGGTGAGGGGAGGGAAGGGAGGGAGCGAGGAGGAGGAAGAGAGTCGAGAGGGGAGCTGAAGGCACGGTCAAAGAGAAAGGTTTTGAGACCGGCCTTGAAGGAGGAAAGGGAGGAAGCGGCGAAGGCACTGGGGGATGGAGTTCCAGAGCCTCGGGGCTGAGAGGCTGAAGGCCCGACCACCGATAGTAGGGCGGTTGGGGCGGGGGACGTGGAGCAGACCGGAGCCAGAGGAACGGAGGGTACGGGCAGGTAGGTAGGGGGATAGTAGGTTGGAGAGGTAGGAGGGAGCAAGGCCGTGAATGGCCTTGTAGGTGAGGATCGGAAGTAAAGTGAACACTAGTTATAGATTACTCATACGTTGCCATTCATTTTATCCAGTTCTTACAGCTAGGCAGGTAAGAAAAAAATCTGACCACAATCAGAGCCTGGCATGAATAAGCTGGGTCGAATGTTGCATTTGCGTGCGGTATCACTCTATGCAATTACTCCAATTAGAATAATAGAGTTGGCACAAGTTACAAATATGCCAGTTTGGAATGGCGATGTAGCTCATCGAAATCTATCAATCTTTTCTTTAAGATAATTTAGAGGATCTTATAATACTTGAATTTGAAATATTTTGTTGAGACTTCCTGCCTTGGTAGTCATGCAACCAAGTTTGAAGGTTCGCATTCAAACAGTTTCTGGCTTTAATTCTAAACTGCATGGATCAGAAGACAGGGCTATTTTTAAGGGGACTGGCATCTGTCAAAATCATGTTACAAACTACAATTTTGAACTAAAACTATTCTGAGCCTCCCCTGCAGCTAACAGCACTCTACGTTCAGAAGTCCAAAACCAATGTGACTGATTCCACTCCTGATAGAAACTGTCCAACTCCAGCTTCTAAAGGATACACAGAAACAGCTGAACGGCTGTATTTGCAGTTTCGACAGGGACGTCAAGTTTTTTTTTAATATAAAATACAAAGAATGGTTTTACTGAGCAGCATTTTCTTAATATTTAGGTTTAATGTGAATCTTGTACGAAATTTTATTTTGTGGACATTGGTCACATACCTCTAATAAGAATTCCATTGACATGTAAAATATGTATGCTCAACATCTATAACCACTAGTTTCCTTGACAGAGTCTGAATATGTGTCAACAATACAATGGTTTCTTCCCCCTATGGGAACCATCTCTTTTAGTCTGCAAAGTCAAAATCATGATAAGAGCACACTCTGATTATCTTGAGAAATATATTCTGTGAACAGGAAATCTTGAGGCAATGAAGGAAATAGCCTTTTACAATAGTGCGGTCAGTCTCCCGTGGATTCTGTTAGCGAAGAGTCCATTCCTAAGTCATCCCTGACTCGCTCACTCACTCACCTTATCCATGGTCCGTCCTCGACATAAATGTAATTTTGTATTCAAAATTGGACCACAGTTTCTCTTATTCATGAATCCATCACAAGGTCCTAATCACCCACAAATTGCTGCATCATACCCCGTGGTTCCCCCTTTACTGGGACATGTCACTGGAAGTACCAATGGCTGAAACATTATTTTCCAATTATCTAAGGTGTGAAATACCCACTGTTGTTTCTAAAGTAGCTATGCTTCCTATTGTTGAAAACTCATGACGTATATAAAAACACGTGGGTTACATGTCTGTAAACAGATGGAACGAGACTGTTTATCACTGCAATGTTGCCTTGGAACTTTTTTTTTACTGCTTAGAGCAACTATCCTACCACAGCCTCTAACGCCATGCACATGTTACAGAAACGCCATAAGTCCCTAATTATTTTCAATATCCTTCATACTTTGGAATGGTTGCATTTGCCGCCCAGTGAAATTTTCTTCTTGTGTGGACCCTGGCACATCACTCACACTGAATGCATTTTTTGTTGTGCTGTAGCTGTACTACTTGTTTCATACTTAGCAAAACATTGATTGTTGTGTTTATTACACATTCCAAGCAACAAAACAGAATTACACAACTCATGTGACAAGCAGGGAGGATAACACCCTCTTACCTAAACATGTCCAAACAACACAAATGAAAACATCAACTACCTCTATAATTTAGATTAAATTGCCTTGAATTCACTCCAGCCAACCATAACCAGGGAGTTTCTAAGACCACTGCTTTCTCACTTGTGTAGACACAGTCCATACGGTTTATTTTCACTACCAGTGGTGCAGAGAACACGAACAATACTACAGCCAGCACTTCAATTACAAAGAGAAACCATAGCAGAAATTATCTGGTCATACCATCAGCAAATCTGTATGAAGATCTAACACTCAGACAGAAATCTATCAGATACTACTGCTGAAATGCAAGATGATGTACCAGCTGTCATTTTGTGTGAGGTCCTTAATAGGGGAAGAAAATTTAAAAATATCCTTTCGTATTTTCCATCCACAACACATAGTATGCAATACAAGAATTAAGACTACCATTCATAAGTAGCAAACTCCTAGTTGTGCATTCATGGCTACGAGAACATAAAATGCTTGCACTGGAATAGCCTCAACACCGTGATTTAGGAAGCAGACACATTTACAGCTATTTCGAAAATTCAATCAATAAATAAAACCTTCAGCTTCTGGGTACTACTGCTCATACATCAAGAAGAATGCGTTTTTCTCCAGAAAATAAGGCCAGGCTCCCTTTAAATCATGAGGTGCAACAGACTGTTTAAGTCAGTTTGAACTGATACCAATAGTAATGCAAAAAAATTCAAAATATTAATTACAACATACTTTCCAAAATGAGTAATATCACTTCATCATTTCTGCTGATTACGCTGTGCTGCATACAGCTGATACACAAATAAAAACATAAGTAATCAACCCCTTGGAGTTCATTTATTTTGCATGGGTTTCCAGTTAAAAGTAAATTAAAGCCCACTGACAAGTACATCAGTAAATAGGTTTTGATTGGTGTTAATTTTAGTTCAACTTCAAAAATTATTCCCTCGATCTTCCACATCAGAATAAACTATTTCCCTGACAGATTACAACAACAACAACAAGATTCCATTTATAGAGCGCCTTTCACGTCAGGAGGACGTCCCAAGGCGCTGCACAGTTGGGTCATGACCCGAGCAGGGGGGAAATGGTCAGGGTGAGGGGAGGGAAGGGAGGGAGAGAGGAGGGGGAAATGGTCAGGGTGAGGGGAGGGAAGGGAGGGAGCGAGGAGGAGGAAGAGAGTCGAGAGGGGAGCTGAAGGCACGGTCAAAGAGAAAGGTTTTGAGACCGGCCTTGAAGGAGGAAAGGGAGGAAGCAAGGCGAAGGCACTGGGGGATGGAGTTCCAGAGCCTCGGGGCTGAGAGGCTGAAGGCCCGACCACCGATAGTAGGGCGGTTGGGCCGGGGGACGTGGAGCAGACCGGAGCCAGAGGAACGGAGGGTACGGGCAGGTAGGTAGGGGGATAGTAGGTTGGAGAGGTAGGAGGGAGCAAGGCCGTGAATGGCCTTGTAGGTGAGGATGAGGATCTTGAAATCAATCCTCTGGGGGATGGGGAGCCAGTGGAGGCGAGCGAGGGTGGGAGTGATGTGGTCCCGAAGCCTGGTGCGGGACAGTACACGAGCTGCAGAGTTCTGAATGACCTGCAGCTTGTGGAGGGAGGTGGCGGGAAGGCCGGCGAGGAGAGAGTTCCCATAGTCCAGCCTTGAGGTGACAAAGGCGTGAACCAGGGTTTCAGCAGCGTGAGGGGTGAGGTAGTGCCGTAATCTGGCGATATTCCGGAGGTGATGGAAGGCGGTGCCAGTTGTGGTGCGGATGTGAGGGAGAAAGGACAGCTCAGGGTCGAACAAAACGCCGAGGTTCCTGACTGGCTTTGAGAGGTGGAGAGTGCAGCCTTGGATGCTGATGGTGTCAGCGCCTGAGGTGCGGAGGCGCTGACGTGAGCCAATCAGGAGGGCCTCGGTTTTTTGCACGTTGAGCTGAAGAAAGTTGTCTCTCGTCCAGGACTCGATGTCGGACAGGCAGGCTGTCAGGACATCGGTGGTCGTGGAGTTGAGAGTAGAGGAGGAAAGGTAGAGTTGGGTGTCATCCGCATACATGTGGAAGTTAACCCCATGTTTGCGGATGATGTCACCAAGGGGGAGCATATAGAGGGTGAAGAGGAGGGGACCGAGGACAGAGCCCTGAGGGACACCACATGAGACAGTACGGGGGGTGGAGGAGAAGCCATTCGTTGAGACGAAGTGAAGACGGTGAGAAAGGTACGACCTAAACCATTCAAGGACAGTGCCTTGAAGGTTGAGGTGGGAGGACAAGCGGTGGAGTAGGATAGTGTGGTCGACCGTATCGAATGCTGCCGATAGGTCGAGGAGGACGAGGAGACAGAGGGAGCCCTGGTCACAGATGGTCAGGATATCATTGGTGACCTTGACCAGGGCAGTTTCTGTGCTATGAGCAGCACGGAAACCTGACTGAAGGGGTTCAAAAAGAGAATGGGTGGAGAGGAAAGAGCGCAGTTGGGAGGCGACAACTCTTTCCAAGACCTTGGAGAGAAAGGGGAGGTTGGAGATGGGCCGGTAGCTTGATAGCTGCGACGCATCAAGGGAGGGTTTTTTCAGGGTGGGCGTGATGATGGCAGTTTTTAATGGAATGGGGACAGAGCCAGAGGAGAGGGACAGGTTTATGATGTCAGTGATGTGTGGGACAAGAAAATGGAGCTGGGAGATAAGGAGTGGAGTGGGGATGGGGTCAAGGGAGCAGGTGGTTGGTTTTAGGGATAGGATGAGTTCAGTGACAGAGGGTGGGGAAACGGGTACGAAGGTGTGTAGGGGAGGATGGGTAGGAGTCGGAGTGTGGGAGGGAAGGGGTGGGTGGTGGGTGGAAGTTGGAGGGGAAGTGACCGCGGAGCGGATTCCCTTGATCTTGGATTCAAGGAAATCCAGCATCTCCTCGCAGTGAAGGTTGGAGGAGATGACCTGCGCGGGGTGGCGGGGGGACGGAGGAGTCGGGATGTGGTGGAAAACAGTAGCCTGGGGTTGTTCTTCGCCTCCAGGATTATCCTGGAGTAGAAGGACGACTTGGCCGAGGCTAGAGTGGAGCGGTAAATTTTGAGGAGGTCCAGCCAGATTTGTCGGTGGACCGTTAAGCCGGATTTGACAAAGGTGCGCTCAGCAGCCCGCACCTGGCATTTCAGTGAGCGGAGGTGGGTGGTGTACCAGGGGGAGGAGCGGGAGTAGGAGACAGTGCGGGAAGTGATGGGGGCAAGAGTATTGAGTGTGGAGGAGAGGATATTGTGGAGGAGGGAGAGAGGAGAAGAGGGGTCGGTGAGGGTTGAAGGCCAGAGGGACTATAGTGACAACCGGAAAAAGATTACTGTTCATAACGTTAAATTGTGTTTAGGTTTAACACTAAACACAAGTAAAATCAACACTGCTTATAACATACTTTTTTTTAAAAAGAAGCTTGCAACGTGTAAATTTACAGAAAGTTATCAACCTTTCTCATTTTGAGGAAATACAGGATCTGATCAAAGCCCTCATTGATCAAACTTGGCAAAAATCCATTTCAGACCTGATATAACATTATTGAAGTGACACTTCTCTTTCAGGTTTAGAAATTGAAAATATCAATAAATTTCAGTGCAATGATTTTTGTAAAGAAGCAATTTTCCTCCCCTCTATATTTGCAACAAACCCTCAAACAGCCTCCTACATTCATCTGATCCTCTGCTCTGGGGGAATTGGATATTTCTGTGGGTCCAACTGAGATTTTCTTTATCTTATCCTAGGGTGGAGTGGTGATGCCATTGTGTAGTGCTGCTAGTTTCTCAGCAGGTCCTGAAGGATTTGATAACCTTTACAGGTGCCTTAAATGTGATGCTTAGACATAAGCAGATAGTCTTTCTATTTCTTTTAAATTATCAGAGTGATAATGGATAGCAGAACACTATTAATTTTCCAAAACAAACGTGAGAGACATTTTGCAACTTCACAGATGTACGTTAACTTACACTCACAAATATACAGTCGATTCACTTTACACTATATTCTGTGAAGCGTTTTGAGACGTCTACAAGACGTGATAAGGCACTATGTCAAATGCAAGGATTATTATTATTACAAGTTTTTGTTTTTATACAAGCAAAAATTTTATAAAAGGAACTTATGATGAAATTGGGCATGGGAGGAGCTGAAATTAGTGAGACAGCAATTGAGCAACAAAATGCTCAACAGTTAACCTCTGAGTTTTGCAGAATCTAGAGATCATTTGGTTATCTTGATTACAAAAATTACTTTGATATCAGTTGCTTTTACTGCCTATAAACTTCCATCAACAGTTATAGGAAGAAGCAAAATGAAACCATTATAACTGGATAAATAAAAACAAATTACCAAAGGCTGGGATAGAAACTTTAGCAGAAATAATGAGAATCAAATATTCATTCTTCAGGGTTTAGGAAATATTTGTTACTCATTTTCGGTACAGTTCCATTCTTCTCTTTGTTGATTTTTGTTGCATTCTGCAATTTTCTAGAATTATGCTATAGTTGAATTTCATTTTAGGAAACAAAACAGAAGAGGTGCTGGCTGGCATTCTTCCATCTCTATTTTTTGCTTACCAGTAATACTCATTAGCGCAGAGAGAAATTATTTTGTGATTTTGATAATAGTTTCAGGGGGATAAAAGGAACATTTTGGAAATCAAATTGAGTAACAATCATTGAGTCTAACAGTTCAATACAAACAAGTGTGTGCTCTAGGCAATTACTGGTGAGCCAAGTACAGTTCACTGTTCATATGTGAAAAACGCATAGCTCCAAGCTCACTCAGCAAATCAATACACACCAACAAGAGAAAACAACCCTCAGTACTAAATTTTTTTTTAAAAAAAAGATAAGGCTGGTGATAGCTCAACTTCCATTTGCTCTTCATTCAATGTAATTTTTACCTCATAAAGTACTGTAATTCTCCCCATCCTCTCAATAAACATTGGAAAATAACAACCTTGTACTTATGTAGACTAAAGTGTTCTTACCTGAGCTTCTGCTAACATCACATCCTTGATAGTTGGTTGGCCTCGAGGTTCCCCTTTTACAAGACGTACATAGATGATCTGATATCCGCGGATCTGTCCATGCTGCTTATTGTAGACTGGAGCCTTCCATGTAACTTTGATTGCTGTCGAGTTCACAGGGTCTAATTCCACTTTTCGTGGAGCAGCACTGGGTACTACAACAATAAAAGAACCCTGCTTACCTACAGAATAATTTGTATAATTTGTTGTCTACTTCTCATAATTATGCACAATTAAAACAGCCCCTAAAACATACACATGGCCACCCTTGAAATGTTACCTTCTACCTACAAATATATATTCCTGGTATTTGAGAATCTGGTATTATTACTAATAAGGCCATGTTTTCAATGTTGCAATGCAGGAAATAAAAACAGACGCAGATGACACCCAGGCACACAAGTCTTCTTTTAGCTGCCAGAACGATGGATTAAGGCAGCGTCAGCCAAACTACGGCCCATAGGGCTGCCGAGAAGCCACCCCCTCCCACCCTCCAGAACCAGTACTAGTTTAGGTAAGTCCGTGTTCAATTGGTATTTTGCTTCCAGGTTTTTCTTGATTGAATATTTGTTGATTCATGGCAAGAAAACTTATTTTGTTGGTCAACTAAAAAGATTGATCATATATTTAATGTAGCTTTTCTTGATGTATGCTTCACAGAGCAGGTTCAGCATGTCAAATAGCCGACCTCTGTTCCTACTGCCCTTTAAAAGTGCAGCGTAAATGAAAAAAATGAAGTGGAATAGAATGTTTACAGTACAGTGTAATAGAGAGCAAGAGGAAATGATCGGTGTACAGCAGTAAAATACCTTGCAAGGAGCAGATAGAAAAAATTACAAATGAACAGGTTTATTGTTAGAAGAAATACAAATGAGACCAAAACTTGCATCAATGTCTCAATGAGTACAGAAAACAGACTGCTCTCCCCACGACCACCATGAAGAAATGTAACAGGCAAGTCCAGAGTAAGTATTTTTTATTATAAGTACTCCCTTAAGAAACAGAAAAAAAACACTTCAGGTAAATAATTACTTGGTAAAGATTTTTTTCTAGCTCGACAGGGAGCACTTTGAATGGAAAATTCTCCCTTAAGATTTTAGTTCCTCTCGATTAACTGGCTTAAAAAATAAGCTGTTAGTTATTGGTTATGTGCAAGCGTAACAGAAAAAGTGACAGTCAGACAAATGCTTTCAATATACAGCTCTTTTATATATTCCACTGATTGAGGAAAGGAAAAAAGTAACAATATAGAGCTGGGTTCTACTTAGTCGCACCATTTTTTCCCCTTCCTTTAATATTCTCCTACAACCTTCTTCTGTTAAACTCATGTAGGGATCAATTTCATTGATGGTGGCATGTCCCACTGAGGTGCCAAGTAATCATTCTCAGTTATTGTTTGTGGATAGCAAATGCTGAGGATGCCATTGAATCACTGAGACCATGACATCAGAGTCCAATCTTGTTTTCATTTAGTGTTCACATTACGCATTTCTAGCAGGAGCGCAAATCGCAGCAAAGATTCCTTTTCCAACAAAAGAATACGGAGGGCAACTCACAAGTAATTAGTTGGCTGGGCTGAAATTTGCTTCCTAATTAGACTTTATAGCCTGCATGGTTAAACAACATCATGTGGGGTGCATTTACCAAATAAATCAATTGAGGCTGAGTGTGTCAAACGACCTGTTCAATTGATTCTGGATGGATCCTCACTGAATCCCATTTTAACAGTACAGTAAACATAATAGCTTAGGTTGTTGGTGCCTCTATAAATTAACTATGACCCTACCACCTTTTGTACGATTTTGATCCCAATGCTATGTTCAGGATAGTATAAAAAGTTAATACCAGATAAATGAGCCACAAAACAGCTAAGGCCCAACTACCTGTGCAAGAATCCCACCACAAACATTAATAGCTCAGCTCTCTGTTGCTTCTTTTTTTAAAAAAAAGTTTTGAAGTCCTTTTGCAAATAATTAGCAAAAGATTCACCTTTAAAGTAAATTCCCTCCATAACTACACTTAAAATCCATAGTTCCTCACACATGGGTGTCCTAAAATGTACTTTCATTCAAATAAATATGTAGTTCCTGCAAGGAAAAAAGGTTTATTCTATGTTTTAGTTTCAAACATCTAATTTACCAACAGAAGAAAACTAACGAAGCATCAAAACTAATGTCTAACTTTTTTAATTTCATGTCTCATGTAAAAGCGTTGAAAGCAATGAGGGCCACTATCGGTTTTAATTGCGAGTTATATTTCCTAAAGTATTACACACAATCGCCATAATTTTCTACATCACAGAATGCAGTATCCCTTTGTTAAATTGCAAAGTCTTCCAGTAGTCAATAGGAAGAAAATTCTTAAGAAACACTTAGATTGAAGCCTTCCTGCCATTATGGTGTGTTTTACAGCCAGGCTAATAGTTACTCCTGGGAAAATGTAGGGGAAATGGAACTATTACGTTGTCTCTGAGCCGGTTTCATTCGATCAAATTTGTAATCGATTCCTCGTTGAGAACCGGCTGTAATCACAATACTATATTAAATTTATGCTACTCTTGTAGATTTATTCCCAACCAATTCTGACAGTACTGAAATGAACTCACTGTGTGGAACATGACTATCAGTGCCACACTGCAATTAACTATTATAAACAAACTCATGAGTGGTTTTCTTCTGCATTTAAACATTCACCTGAACCTTTTGATGAAAGGAGTACAGCAATGTCAAGTTACGTAGTATTCAAACTTTAAAAAAAACTTGTACCTACCATCCTCATCTGTACGAATATTCACAGGTGTGCTCTTCGGTCCTGGCCCAACATTGGTATGAGCCCTTACCCAGACACGATACTCGGTCCATTTCTCGAGACCCTCAACTAGCCAACTGGTCGCATCTGCCTCAATGTTGTCCAAAACGTGTTTTGTATTGTCCTCGCTATCCACCGCTTGGTATATAACGGAGTATTTGGTAATGACTCCATTCTGACTGTTTGCTGGCGGTGGATGCCAACTTACCCGAACGCTAGTAGAGCTGAACGTGGTTCCCTGGACGTCTTGAGGTGGGGCGGAGGGGGCTAGTGGATAAACGAAGGGGGATGAAGGGTAATGAATGGAAAAAGGTGGCAAACGACTAACAAATTTACAAACGTGGGCCAAAAATTCATGCAAAACAACAGAAAAAGAATGCATATTAAAATGCAATCCAATTTTTTTTAAAAGAAACTGTTCAAACCTATTGAATTTTGAGGACAGTATATTCAGGACATGCATGGATACATTCAAATAATATCATGGAAGGGGAAAGAATATAGAAAAACAATGTTGAAATAATACAGAAAAGCAATGCTGAAAGAATACAAAGCCAATGTTGAATATTCATGCAAATCACCTACCTTAAATTCTACAGATTGCACCATGAATTACTCTGAACCAGTTTCAAAATTAGAGCAATTAAGCATTTATTTATAACTTAAGTACAGTAGCATATTGCAATGCATTTATAGAAGAATCTTAAATTTATTTACTCAACTTTTTGGTTACAGGCTTCATACAGGGCCAATATGCCTATCGATAATGATTTAAATTATTTTTTCATAGACTTCAGATTGCCCCATGAACCATGCCAGATCTCCACATAAAAAATATTGTCATTAGCCTGGACTGATAGAATTTATCTTGCATTGTCATTATTCATCCACTTAAAGAAAACGTCCAGCACTGTAATGGACATTCATTGAGTATCCAGTGCCTTGGGGTGTCCTCCCGACGTGAAAGGCGCTATATAAATGAAATAGTGTTGCTGTATTTATGCAAAAGGACAGTATTTTTCAAATAAAAAATCTCATCAAGCTTAGGGGTGATATTGGTATGAAAATGGAAAATAAAAACTGAATGGAGTGGCTGGCCATCCTATGAGGGCGGCTCACTTCTCACTGATTCTGACGTGAGGCTCGGAAGCAAGCCATAATCTTGGTTTGGGTTCCTGCAACTCCACTGCTCATTCCTTTTTGTTACCGTTTGAACGAACAGATGCAAGCTTTCCAATTGCATTTGAAGCAGTGTGACACAAGTGACAACTTAATAAAAAAGCTCAACCAAGCCATCGTCTAGATATTGAATGAACAAATATTTTGTGAACATTGTGAGTGGCAATCAAAGGTTAGTGGACTCTTTTAGATGCAACAAGGAAGAAAAATGAAACTCGGGGATGGTGAGTTCACTCTCCATTGTTTGGAAAATGATACATTTCTACAACTGAAGACCACAAAAAATCTGGATAGAAACACACTTCAACTGTTCAAAGTAACATACTCTTGATATTTGTGGAATGTCCACTTAAGTGAATGGGCAAATATCCTGAAAAGCCATAAATCATGATAAAATCACATTTCATTCACTTAATGCAGGATGCAGCCCTGCATCAGCAATTCTACGCCAAAACTCCCAACTCTCCTTCAATCCACCTCAGCTCAACCTAAATGAGGTTGCTTTTAACCATATGTGAAAGCTCACTGAATACTTCTTCTTGAAAATTACGCGCTTTGTTTTTAAATTACAAACGGTATGCAAGTCAAAGACTGATAATTCCAATAGGGACTGAGACTGCAAAATCTACAATTACAATTGAAAATGAGACAAATAGAATATTGTTTTAAAATAGGTTTCTGGGAAAACAACGAAGGTAACGTAATTAACGCAAATGGAAGAAATGCCATCACAAGGATGGCACACATCTGCAACCTCAGAAATCAAAAATGCCATCATAATGCTCCATCAAAATGAATAAATTTAGCAAGTATAGACACTCAGGCTGGTCACAGCAGAGATGCTGGATATACATTGAGAACATGCAAGTGGCACTGTCCCAAAGCCTTTACAAATTGATCAAATTCATGATGGGTTAATCAAACTTGCAACTGCCAGCTGCAGGTTCCATATTCAGGCATAGTAATACTACAGCAGTTTATCTGGTTGACTGGATTAGCTTTGTGGCGATTTAAAACAATCACACTTGTGATCTTAAGTTGCACATATAGTGTCACGAAAATGCTCCATTTAGCCTGACAAATTATGACAAAGTGTAGTTGAATTTATAGCCCGAGATTTGATGCACCATGATTTGTGAATCAACACCCAACATCTTTGATATTTAAGACTAAATTGATAAAAAGGTCTTCTCACAGTGAAGCAAATCTTACACAAACATTCAGACAGGTACCACAAGCTGCATATGACTATGTTGGAACCTGTAATTTCTACGTCAGAAAAGATAATAAATGCACAGATATGGGCAATGTACGATTCGCTCCTTTTATTTTACAGACACCCATTTACCATTTCGCACATATTCATTTCATTGCGTTGCTGCGTTGGATGTCAATTTTGTCTTCCATATCACGCAGACCCAAACTGTAGTCAGCTCAAATAAAAAGACAATGTAAACCCTGGAAATTCTTTGACCCAAAAGGATTGCACAAATTTACCACCCTAAAAGTGAAAACTCCTAAGCCACTTATAAAAATCACAAAATGCATTTTATCATTAGACATCAAGTCTTTCAATGAACAAATATGTCGCTCATATGACTAACACCTCAGTACAATAAATGTGAATAACGAATATTGGTGCAAAAACGTTCTGCTAATAATATCCTTATACAAAGTATAGAACTTGAATCCTTAATAGTCTATACCACGATATACAGCAATTCCACTCTGAACAGATTCTCTTTCAATATACTCCCATCTGCAGAAGAATGCAGAAAAATGCAAAATCCCACAACTGCCATACAGAAAATAAAATTCTGCCAACATTGTATATTGCAATAGATTATCCATCTCACCTTTCTCTGTGGTTACACAATTATAGATGTATCATCAGAGACGACAAAGGTGGCAGGATACCCAAACTCAAATGGTAAAAAAACATTGTCTGAAGAGTCGAGCTCAAATGGCAAAAAGCAGACTGTGTACATTTTTTTAAAAAATGTGGAATTAATTAGTTTAATTGTTTGATGAAATAGCAATCTTGAATAGAATGACTTAAAATGCCACTTAATTGCTTTCATTACTGCAAAAGCACCTTTGTAACCATCACCTACTCGGTATTTTCAGTCTCACATGTACAAACCTCAGTTGCTTGAATTTTCATTCTGTTGCTTGGATATAATTTACAACTATTGGCAGCCATGGTGGAGAATGAAATACTTACTGGATTGCATGGTTTTTGTGGAGATGGTTTGTGTGAACGCTCCTAATCCATGTTCTGAGCGTGCTGCCAAACGGAAGTAATATAATTTGTCTGGCTTCAGGTCATCCACAGTGTATGAAGATGTGGGATCAAAGGTCACTGCTTTCTATAAATGATACAATTTTGAAAGCATTATTTTTTGATCTATTAATTTCAATGCTACACTACACCCATGACGAAGGAAAATTCAGAGTCAGATTAAACAAAAAATATCCTGAGTGATCTGGGGGATGCAGAGACTTGGATATTACTCCTTCACCACCTGCAGTTATGGTTGCAACCAGATCACCTGCATAACAAAGGAATAATAGATCTTCCACAAAAAGAACACTGAATCACATGAACCTGGGAACGCAAAAGCAGCTTGGTAAAAAAACAAATTCGTATCCCATCTGGCAGCCATTTTGTGCTCAATTTGTGTCCCATGGTTAAGTGAATATTCAATTTCGCTGGAGGATTGTTGGCCACATACCAGAAGAGACTCCCTTTTTCAATCGTGTCATGGGATCTTTAACACCCAGTGTCCACCCACATAGAAGCTGATATGTAAATTGTATTGTGTCATCTGACAATCAAGTGCCACAGTGTCAGTCTGGACTATAACCTCAAATCCCCAATATAAGGGTTGAATGTACAACCTTCTAACTCGAGAGATAAAGAATACAGAGGCAAATTAATAACTGTGTTGGTTGTTCTATTGAAGATTATCAGGGTTAAACTTTCACCCCCAATCATAAACTGGAACGATTGTTTCATTTTCTGCTGCATCAATGTATTTATTTAAAAAACAGGCTTTAAACATCGCTGCCTCTCCCAAAACAGGAATCATTCATACTTCAACAACAAGTTGCATTTATATCACGCCTTTCACACAGTATGGTATCCCAGTGCGCCATCAGTGATTAATCTGGTCAGAATCTTACATTGCCCTTCGTTCCCTCCCCGTAGACTTAGAATCACATGTACCTCTTTTCCATTAAACTCTTCAGAGTACATCAGTTCATATTTGATAATCTTCTCTTGTTGACGCAGCAACCAAGAAAGTGAAATCCTGGTATCAGACTCTGCTTCAGCTTGGAACTCAGTTGGCTGAGCAGGAACTGTAGGGGAAGAATCCAGAATAGGTAATCATCTGATACAAGAACTGCAGATTGTCCCAACTACTGCATAATGAAAACTCGATATTCAACCTCTTTAGTATTTGTGCAAATAGCTTATTTCACTGGTTGCAAGGTCTCATCCAACATAAAATCTTGAAAACCTCACAATCTTTTTCAAATTGCATTTCAAAGTAATAATTGTGGTGCAATGGCAACGATGGGCAGGTACCTTATGGACCAGGCCCCTACGACCATGTTATGATGGGATTCTCTTGTACTGAGACCATGTATTCCTCTTTGTGAAGCTGTAAATGTTTTTTTTGAATAAAGAAAGGGTTAAGGGTATTGGAATTAATAGCAAATTAACTACCCAGATTGAAAATTAAATTGATTTAGCCTCTCTTCCTCTTGCCCACTTTTCCCTTGCATATCCACTTCCATTACCATCATTGTGTATACTCTAGCCTACCCATAACCCCAGTCATTCACAAGAATGCACCACCACAACACTAAAACGAGCATCACCCTCTGATCTAGGGATAGGAAAAAATCAGTTTGAGGTTCCTGCTGCTGCTTGCTCACGTAGTGACCTGTGATGAAAAGTGTAATTGTGTGAGTCGCAGGTGAGATAAAGATCAAGCTCAGCAGTGATGCTCCCAGTGGTTGAATAGCTGCCAGTGTGTGATCCCTTGAAGAAAATGATCATTTAGTTAAGATAATCGAGGGTTGTTGGTGCACATGGAACCGTACTCCAGCAAACGTTCTCAGTGGAGCAAAGAAAATTAGAAATATACAAGCATAAACTAAAGCTAAGTGCAGTTTACAGCTTTGTCTAGACTATAAGAACATAGGAATTAGGAGCAGGTCATTCGGCCCCTCGAGCCTGCCCTGTCATTCAATAAGATCATGGCTGATCTTCTAACCTCTGCCCGCCTTATCCCCATATCCCTTAATCCCTCTATCCTTTAGAAATCTATCAATCTCAGTCTTGAATATGTTCAAGGACTGAGCATCTACAGGCTTCTGGGGTAGAGAATTCCATAAATTCACCACCCTTGAGTGAAGAAGTGTTTTCTCAATTCTGTTCGCAAAGGCTGACCCTTCATCTTAAGACTATACCCATAGTTATAGATTCTCCTACCAGAGGAAACAGTCTCACACTGTGTACTCTGTCAAGTCCCATAAGAATCTTATATTACTATAAGATCACCCCTAATTCTTCTAGGGGTTTACTCAACCTATCCTCATAGATCAACCCCTTCATCCCAGGAACTAACCTAGTGAATCTACGCTGCACCCCCTCTAAGACGAGTATGTCCTTTCTTAAATAAGGAGACCAAAACTGCATACAATATTCTAGGCACAGTTTCACCAAGACCCTATACAGCTGTGGCATGACTTCCCTACTCTTGTATTCTAACCCTTTTGCAATAAACGCCAACATGCCATTAGCTTTCCTAGTTGCTTGCTGTACCTGAATACTAACTTTTTGTGACTGGTGTACAAGGACACCCAAATCCCTCTGAACACTAACACTATCCAGTCTCTCCCCCTCGAGAAAATAATCTGCTTTTCTGTTTTTACTACTAAGGACAATCAGTTTTAACTCAACCCAATAATTGACAGTGTGGCATTCCAAAATGCTCACCAAACAATAATTTATAATAATGGCCACTTTCATACTGGGAAGTGACAACTCCTGACAAGTTGCAGAAGAATCAACAAATCTTATTATTTCACTGTGGAGTTCTGCGACTTATCACTAATAGAAAAGTCACATCACCATTCTGAGCTGCATCTGAATCCAAGTCCCAGAGGTGAAAGCCCCCTAGTCACAAGGCCCCTAGTGATTAATTACTATATTTTTAAAAGCAGGGGTAAACTAAACTCAGTTTTAACAGGAGCAGAATAACTGTGCACTTCCATTCAGTTTAAAAAGTAAAATTATTAAACTAAACAAGAGAAAACTTCAGCACTCACCTCCCTGCTGGGTTTTAACTTTTATAATTTCAGATGGTGGTCCATCTCCCACTGAAGTGAAGGCTAACATCTTAATGCTGTATGTAGTCCCTGTGATCAAGCTGCCAATGGTTGTGAGAAGACTATCATCCAAATTATGTTTCTGCCACATATTCATGGACAAACTGGAGTCTGTGGTATAATACACCCGATAACCCCGAATCTGTCCATTGGGCTCTTCTGGCTCCTCCCACTGGATTAACATAGTGCTAGCACTCAGCATGCGTCCCTGGACCTTTAAGGGTGGGCTGGATGGTGCCTGCTCTCCTGTCCGAGTTTCTACTAATTCACTGGGAGGACCCCGACCAATATTGTTCACTTCAATAACTTGGAATTCATATTCCGAGTATGGGCTGAGTCCTCCAATGCTGTACCGTGTCGTAGCAACTCCATCCACCTCCTGAAAGGATCCATCGGAGGATTTTGGTTTGTACTGAATCACATAATATGGATTCATTTCCGTGTTTCCCGTTTCCCACGTCAATGTAACACTGGTAGCAGTGGTCTCTGTGACAGTGATCATAGTAGGAGGCTTTGGCAAGGCTAGAACATGTAAACAACTGAAATTAGTATCATCATAAAGCACATCATAAACATAATATTGGTTCTTATTGTAACAACCTCCCTCACCGTTCACTCTAATTCATAGACCAGCCCGCGAACAGCTTCTTATGCCCCAGGAAATATGACTTCAAGATGCTTGTTTTAACTTTTAAACGCCTTCATGCCCTTGACACACCCTATGACTGATCTCCTCAGTCCTGCTCGCCCACCCACTTCCTCTGTTCAGCTAACTCGGGCGCTTCCTTCACCCCATTAGAAGGCAAGGTTTTAGTCACTTGTCACTACCCTCTAGAACTCGGTTTCTAAATCCCCCTGGACCGCACCAATCTCCTTTGCTTTCAAGCTTACCTTTCACTGATCAGTCAATGGAGTGCTTTGAGTGGTAAGAGATAAAAAGTACCCTCTACAAAACAACATTTACTGCCCAACCAAAGAGGTCAGAGGTCTCAATATTCCCAATTTACCTTTAACTGTTATTAGAGCTGTTGATTCAATAACACCCAGTGAAGACATGGCAACACAGGTGTAGTTCTTGGATTCCCTGATGTTCGTGAGCTCCAAAACATTTCGTCCGACAGGCATGTCCTCTTCCAGTGTCAGTTCTATTGCTCCCGACACCCACTTCAAATAGGGCATGGGCGACCCCACAGCTACACAGGTGAGATTCACGCTGCCCCCAGGCATCACTTCATGGCTAGTAGGTGGGATAGAGAACCGCGGGGGAACACGCCGCACTGAAAGGGAAGATATTGCCGGTAGAATCATCAAAGCATTCAAAAACAGTTTCAACCATTACCATGCAGGGTGCACAAGCCACACCCACCCACCACGCCAATTTGTAACTGCTTTACTGATACATAATTAAGCAAATTCTATTCTTATATAATATGGGTGTCAGGCATCACCGTGTACCAGTGTAAACTCAACTTCAACCATCACAAATAGAAGGACAAAACAGACTGTCTATGGTGTGAGTTGATCAGATTCATAACCAATATTTTAACATGTAATGGATCAAAATGCAGACTTGCTTTCCTATCCTTACAACTTGCAAAAGAGATAAAATTGAGAGCAATTTAGATTTAGGATTTTAGTGTGTTTTTTTTCCAATTTTGGATCCAAACAACTCTTTGTAGATCTCTGCAATGTTTTCCTGGCAAAGCATCTACCCTCCACTGTCTCCCAATAGCTTGATTGAAATCGAGAATGCTCCCAGGTGGAGAACTCATCACAAATCTGTGTCCAATCATTCAGTGGCACAGTAGTATAGTAACGTTCCATTTTTAAATTTATGGCCCTGTCCAATAGTGTTATTAATCAACCCTCTTAACATGTAATTGGACACATAAATGCTGAGTGCAATGTTATTAAATCTACAAGAGTGAGTTTCGAACAATCTGTTTTTTACTGCATGAGGCATAATGTAGTGTTCCTGCAATGCAGAGCCAGTTGTTTGCAAACTGCATATGGTAGAAACAGGAGAAACCTCTGTTCAGAATGGTTCTGCTTTGCCCGGGAAAGATTAAATTCTTTTTATTTATGTTATCAACATCTTAGAATACCACTGGAATTTTTAATAGATGCGTTCACTTCTGGTTATCCCGATCTGTAAGCGAGTTGAAAGGTAGAATTATGAAAGAGTGTATAATTATGAGAGTGTTTGAGAGAGTAAACAGTGAAAGATTATTTCACTGGTTGAATTGGAAACTATGGGGGATGAATTCACATTTATTACCAGAAACTTTCTAGTAAAGTTTGGAAGATTTTTTTTGTTTTTACTGTTATTAGCATGTGGAAAGCATTTCTATAAGCATCTATTCAAACAGTCAATTGCATCATTTAAACTGGAATTCGCAAAAACAAAACATATATAATACAGGCAACAGCAGGACAATTACATTAGATGATATAAATCCAGTAGGGAGCTAGTCTGGCTTAGCTATGATGGACTGAATGACCTCCTTCTGTGCCAAAATGTCTATGAATCTATATGGGGCAAATTAGTATCAAATTAACTTCAATCCTCAAATTACTGATGCAGAATTAGAATTGCAGTAATATCTTTTCCAGAAACATAAAGCCATAATTACAGCATCAAATTAAATGTTGATTACTAACTTAATATTTTTTTGAGTTCTCTTCATTTCAATCTTTAAATAATAAAACACAGCTAAAATGAATAGAAAATTATTTGAGAATCCCTTGAAAATATCATATTCTCTTTTTCATTTTAACATCACTTCTGCAAAACCCCCCCCAAAAATCTGATGCGCTGTTTAATTTAGAAGTTAGCATTGCATCCATTTTTTTAAAAAAATCTTATTAAAAAGGTCTCATGATATGCCCAGTTGAATTGAATTACTGGTTATCTGTACGGCAAGAATGGAAACAAATGGATTAAAAACTAGATCCTGGGGTGGGGAAATCAAACTTTTGGTATGTGGTGGGTTGCTGAAGCTTGTCTACCCAGCAAGTTAACATCAACAGGTCATAATATACATGAACTTCATTCTACTGCAGAGAACTACAAAATACCCAACCTACATAGCAATTTTATACAAGTACTCAAACATGACGATGATTAGCAGTGCTGTATAGTACACCCCCAAACCCAACAGGCATTTTTGATAATCTTACAAATGGATTTGAAGTCAATCTGTTGCTAACCGTCAGCATTTTGAGAACCAAAGAGGGGAACGCCTTATAAATTAATTTGTTTGCTTTTTTGAACACATAATACAAAATCATTTACTGAATTTTAATGTGTCCAACCAACACTTTATGAAAAAAAACTGTTCAGTATTTGCATTTTCTATAAATGCTTTTAAAGGTACCATAATTATTGTGAGAACAAAAATTAGTTGGGAGCACAATTCCCCTTTGCATCACTGCCTTTAACATTTCTTCTATACAGACTTTCTTAAGAAGAATATTTCCCATTTTTATTAGGCAATTAGTTATTTGAAGGGCAGTGCAGTTGCTCAAGGAATCAGGAGTACTTGACTGTCAATCAGATCACAAGTACTAGGATCAGGTATCTTATTTTACAGTATTCATCAACTGAACGCTCATACCTTTCCAGTTAAATTTCCTTAGTCCTTAGCAATACATTTCTGCACAATTCTACCTCAGTTGCAAGGTGAGAACAGACTGCATATCTCACCACATATAAACTGTGCAACTGCTGGCCAATCACAAAATAGAAATTCAGCCCCTTCCTGTATAAAAAGTTGGAAGATTGAAACAAAAATTTCAATGCAAGAAAAAATGATCCTTATGAGAAAAGCTTCGAAAGTTATTTCATCGGGAGGGGTGTTGGAACTACATTCTCAAACATGATTTGCTCATAACAACTGTAAAGTTTGCAATTTGGAATTCTTATGACAGCAAAACATTAAAATCACAAACTCAAATATTAATCACAAGCTCACTAAGATAATTCTAATTATAAAATAAGCCTTCCGATTTATTGTATCCTGAATGACAACAGATCTAATGGCTGGTTATACTAACTACAGGCTCCTACATCTTTTAAGAATTTAAAGTTTAGAGGCTGGTTTCTTCGAAAAATGCTGTTCGACACATGTGGACACTCTTCTGTTATATACTATAATTACATGACCTGGGTTTATTTGGAGGTCTCCATAATGATATTGTCAATTGTATTTTTATCTTGTTAAGGCTGTAATATTGCCTGGTTTTGGTGTACAAAGCTTGTCTGTTACTCTCCAGACTGGATGTTTTGCTGCAGTAACTAGTCACTATGTCAGTACAACGGAGTAACTCCGCTCATGGGAATGGAAATGGTTTCAACATGATGGCGGTTTATCAAACTGAACATCTCCAGACTATTGAATTCTGACTACATCAGTCTTGGATTTTTTCTTTACACAAGTGAAACACCACTTTCTTTAAACAAAAAGCTTTCAGATAATGAGCTGTTAATGGGGAGTTTGTTCCCACAGCACGGAAAATTTGCTGTGACCAATTTGCAAAAGCTTGGCTCACATAAGCTTTTAAGACAACGTATTTACAGTCATTCCGCATGCAACAGGCTTACAGCTCCCATGCAGTTCAATGAAAGGAATGGTTAACGAATCGGAGAAGGAGAGGACAGAGAAGGACTGGTAAACTTATGAATGGAAATAACTAAATTTCACAAAATCCTATACAAATCTAAAGCAAACAAGCAAGCAAGGCATGCTACACAAATTCACATTTTATGTCGCACATAGATTCCATAATTTTCATGTCTTACAAGGTTAGCAATAGGACGGTCCAGAGTTGCAACACACCAGGACATTAAGTATGAGGACTGGGATGGATATTCAAAACTATACAGTATGATTCTCAAAGCTGCACGGGTACAAGCAAATATAACCTCAGAGAAATCCCTTTATAATGTTGACACCTGGGTCTAATGTCTCAGGCCTGGTGTTATAAACAGACAATAAAATCGCCAACATCCAGGTCATCAGGTTGTCACTTATGTCATTTCCTTCTGCACACACAGCTAACATGACTTCCTGCATGGCAGGTATCTGCAAGAACTGCTCCCTGCTTATAGCAACACCCTGACAACCCAGAAGATGGGTTTGTGATGGTTGATATGGATGGATAGTGTGATTTTGATTTTCAGGTAAGAAAATATTGGGGGTATGGATTATAGCTAAACATGTACAGTCCTGTACTGCACTGAGCTCCTTTCTTATGTTATGAAATGTGGTGAACGAGTCTACATCCAATGTCAATCTTTAAGAATCTAAAATACGAGTGCAGACACTTGTGTGATTTATATAGAAGTAACTTATATACTCTATTTTACGTCCTCCCGACGTGATAGATTCTATATAAATGCAATTTGTTATTTATCTTTTGTGACCTTGTCAGCAGAGTGATGTGTACAGTAATTGAATGTGTGCAGTGTCGAGGGCTACGGGGATAGCAGGCCTCATTCAAGTGTAACTCTTTAATGAGACACTGGATTTGCCTTTCATTCATGAAAGGTACGATTTGCCTTTTATCCCTTTAATTAAAATAGAAAATTAAATATTTAGATTCAAATTTTACAGTTTTAGATACATCAGCAAACTGTAACTGAAGGACATCGCTGATCGCATGCTCCATGAAGTGAGAGCCGCCAGCCCAGATGCTGATTTTTATGAGTAGAGTCAAACTGAGTTAACTGCTTCCTGAAGCACATTAGTGTCATTGCTTTGCTTAGATGTTAGCAACAAGTTGGCATGCAAATTTGTGCAATTTTGTGTTTGGCTGGAGGAGGTGGTCAATTTTACTGATAGTTAAAGACATCATGTCTCCGGTGGCCAAAGTGCCATTGTCATTTGATTTAGATTTTGTGGCCATTTAAATATAAATTGGGAATGTTTAGCCATTTCAACCATTAGCAACATCCAGCTATTATTCAGAGACTGTTATGGCTTGCACTTTTTTTTATTTAAAAAAATCAGCACATTATTATAATTATAAAATATTAAAAGTTTTTGAATTTGGTTGATTTTTATCACTATCCCCAACCTATCCACACATCCATCCCAGTTCCAATTGAAATCAAAGTGTCAGTGTTGTGCCAATACTATGGTAACAGAAAAATGACCATACTTTCCACAGAGGGCAACAGCAGCTATAGACTTTGAAAGTAATTTACAGTTTACACAGAAGGGAAACTAATGGTGGGGATAATGTGCCAGACAAGAGCAGTGCCCACAAAAAACAA